GGCGAAAGGCAGATGCCACGCTCGTTTCAGCGCCGAGCGGTGGTGCGCGCGCTGGGCGTCGACTGCGCCTCGAACTCCGCCGGGCGCGCAGATGCTGCTGCGTCTCGCCCGCGCTGCTCATCAGCGCCTTGGGCAGTCATGATCATGGTGTTGCGGGTATTTCGAGAAATTTCCTGGAGTGCGCGAGGGATCCAGGGTGGACGTGGGACTGCAGGATTGCACGTGCGGAAATGATCAGCGCTGGGCTTGGGCACGCGTGCGGATGGGCATCTCTCTGTCTTCGTGCTCGGCCTCATCCGGATGGCGGACGAGTAATGGCCATATCGACGTTCCGACGCGCTGCACGATCGCGACGCCGCTGCCATGATGTTGCTGTGGGCGAGATGAACGACGCCGCAGCGAAGCGAGACGCGATCGGGCAACGCGCGCGGTGCCACGTGCAATCTCACCACTAATTCACACCCGCGCCGACATATTGTATTCACTGACTCGGCCTCGATATAAGAGCACGTGAGCTCGAAACCCACGTTTCGTCCAACGTTTCGTCTCGCAACTAGCCGGGTCACATCTCACATATCGAACGTCAAGCGCCGAGTGGGAGCATGTCGGCGCCCGCACCAGACGCACCGCTCCGCCCACCACCGCTCGGCGCCCTGTCGACACGGATATCGTGATCGTGGAGGTGTTGGTGCTCTGGAGTGACTTGACGGGGATCCCAAACTCTAGCATACAACAGTACGTGCTGACAATACCGGCAGTAGCCGAACAATATTGCTTGTCAGGACCGGGCTCCATCCCATACATTACGAATTTGCCGCACAGGTACAAACACAACCCATCATGCCACCATCTGCTATCGCACGACCGTCTGCTGCATCTCGTGCGCCGGAGCTGTGTGGTAGTACGCCGCTGCAGCGCCGCTCGTGGGATGATGGATACCTGCGGCGGGCGAAGGGTCGCGGGATGCGTCGCTATTGGAGCTGATCAGTCACAGCTTCGAGCTGGAGAGCGCAAGACAGCCTACCGAAACGGGTTCAACGGAGCTGGCACTGGGTTGTATGCAGTATCGGGCCCACTGGGGGTGGGATCGAACTCGACCCCTGCCTCCGCATTCGCCGGGCTGCTATAAGTTCCACGTGTAGCGAATTGTCCTTTGCGATAGCGATGCAAAATGACGGAGCTGCAAACGTTAGCGGACGGATGGTGAGAAATGGATTGGTCGAACGCACGAGTATATTAGCTTGCCCAGGGACGTCGCGCTACAAAAAGTTAGCACTCGCTGCTGACCGATTGTGAGAAAAAGAGACTCGGTCACCACGTACAGCACCACAATGATGAAGATGAATCCCAGAGCACTGGCCCGGGCCCCGGCGGCGGTGCCCACAATCTGCAGAATCAGGACCACCGCCCACACCAAGGTGAGGATCGAGTTGAACGTGACGACGACTGTCGGGCTCAGACGTTTGCGCGCCAACAAGATGATCTCGGCGAGGTCGAAAATGATGGTCAACGCGCACAGAGCAATGTACACCGCCGCTACTCCGCTATGAGGGGACCCTTGTTAGTGCTGGTTGGACACGTCGGCAAATCTTGTACCAAGTGAGACTTTACTTGAAGGCCCTGTATGCTGGCTTGCTAATGCGGTCCACGCCGTAGCTGTCCGCATAGTCTTCCTGGTAGTCCCTGACCACGGCCAGAGAGAACGTGAAGAGGACCAGGAGGATGGTGACAAAGATGAGCTGAACGATCCAAAACGGAATCAGGACACGCTTGAGCCACATCTGACTGGCCATGATTGTGAATCTCTGTGACGTTCTTGTAGGGTATCCTGGCGCTGGTAGCTCCGACCTGCTGGGTCGTATTCCAGATAGCGTGGTGTGCTATCCGATTGCCTGGCGAACGCAAACCGCGACGGCAGGGAAGTGTTGTTGTGTTGGGAATGACTCCGAGTTGATGAGAAATTGCAAGCCCTACCTTTTCACAGGAACAGACAGGCCAATCTTGTCTTTATGGTTTGCTGAAATTCATACACAGGAGTCACCAGAGTTGTGGTGGCTTGAAGGATTTGGGCTGAGCAAATCTCAAAAACTGCGACAGAGCGGCAGGGGCGACGAATGCGGTCTAGCGAGTTCCTAATTTAGCGGCTACTCCACAATGTTGCCTTGTACAAGCGCCGCGAGAGTGCAGCAAACGACCAGCGAGAGAGGGAGCCGTCTCCAGCGACCTCGAGGTGAAAATTGTGACTGCCATGCGTGAGGACTTCGCACCGGCGCTTCTACATGGTCGCGGTCAGCGTAGCGTTTCACCGCATGCACTTGCCGATGCACGATTGTGGCGCGGCAAACCCACCGCCGCGAAGTTCCAAAGCCATGACTTTGATGACCTCAGTCAAGAGCAGGGCGTAAGCGCACTTATGGCTTCGTTGCAGTCGATGGCTCAGCCTCTTGGCCAAGAACAACCTTGGGCCGAAGCCCTTAGAGCAGGTATGGACTGGAGCGTGAGGGCTTGGCACCAGCAAGACAGACCAGACTGATGATCTGGATCGACAGTGGCTGTGAAGTGGGCTCCGGAGGCGGAGACATGGTTGTCTGCTCTGCTCTGCGCTATTGTTCATTTTTGAGGCCGGCCTCAGTCGCTATAGCGTTCGGAGGCGGTCTTCTTGTGCTTTGCGCTCTTCCGCACGTTTGCGTGCAACGGCAACTCGTTCCTCCCGCAGGCAGGTAAAAATCTACATTTCCATTAGCATTCGACGTGACAAAAGCTGTCTCAAATCTGGACACTTACCCAAAACCACATTGCAATCTCGAAAAAGCCGAAGGTGAACACCAAGCTGTTTTGGAGAGGCTCGCCAATGCCTACTTTGGCAGCTGACCCGGAGCCGAACAAGCCGTCTTCTTTGAACAGGTATACGTATCCGGTCAAGCCGAAGAGAAAGGTCAAACGGACAGGGACGTTAGACAACCAGTACTCCAGAGCCGCGTTCTCGTTCATGTTAGCTGCTGTGATGTCTGCGACTCCGAGAAGCGCCAGCAGGACCGCGACAAATGCTGTGGCTTCGCTTGGTTTGTTCAGAGATGCGGCGTGATTCTGGATGTATTAGTCGGATGCAATGATCATGGTGTTGTTTGTGAAGGACATACTATTCTCATGGACTCGCCCAGGATGAAAACCACATTTTGGTCTGCAAGAATTCTTGGTGCTGTGAGGAAGAAGTACGCCGCTGTGATATGGAACAGCGAAATCGTCCGAATGAGTGTATATGGTGAGAAGAGCCCCATCTTGGTGTGCAGTTGCGTTTGATAGTGTCTCGTGCCGAGTGTAAAGCAGGGAAAGTGCAATGTTGCCGTTGCGGTTCGCGCCAAGACCGGTCCGGAGATCCCGAATCACGTACTTTCCAACCTCACGCGATCTCCGTGTGCGACGACGTCGTGCAACGTCGAAGCATTATTCTGGCAGGGCTCATCACCCCACTACACGATGGCCCCTCGTGACAAGAAAGCCAATGGGCCATCCCCGCAGGTTCTGAGGGTTGTAGAGGAGTCGAAATCTAATAACAAGACTTTGATTCAATTGGTACTTATCCTGACAATAGTGATATATGGTGAGTGTTCAAGACTTATTGAACTCATCGTACTTGGTCGCTGAGTGATACATAGGATACTTCGCATTCGATCCCGATAGATTAAGGCAATACCTCCCGACATTTTCAAGTAGTCCCGCTCACCCACGCTTGACGGGAGCAAGAAAGGTTCTTTCCGAGAATCCTCTCATCGACGGGCACAATGATCTGTTGATACGCCTCCGCGCTGAATACGGTATGTCACAGTCTCCGCAATCGGTGTGCCTCTGAGGTAGTGTCCTTACTGATCCATCCCAGCCAACGAAATCTACTCCAACGACTTCGCCAAACTCTTCGAAAACGGAGGCTTGCCAGGCGAGATCGACATCCCACGCGCCACAACCGGCCACCTAGGCGGAGCATTTTGGTCCGCATTCCTTCCCTGTCCAAAAGACGGCTTCGACTTCAGCGACGCAAACTACGCACCATACGTCAAAGCCACCCTCGAGCAGATCGATCTCTTCAATCGCCTCGCAGAGAAATATCCCAAATATTTCACTTTACCCAAAAACGCCGCAGAAGCTGAGAAGAATTTCAAACAAGGAAAATGGATCTCCCCACTTGCGATTGAGGGCCTGCATCAAATCGGTAACAGCCTTGCGACCCTACGACTGTATCATGTTTTGGGTGTAAGATATGCTACATTGACGTGGAACTGCCATAATCGCTACGCAGACGCTGCTGCCGTTTATGCAGATGGCACTTTTGGGCGTGCCAAGCCGTATTGGGGAGGTGTCAGCGCCGATGGACGAGAATTGATCAAGGAGATGAATCGTTTGGGTATGCTCGTCGATCTCAGTCACGTTTCAGAAGACACCATGCGAGATGTTCTCGGCGGCAATCCTGAATGGGAAGGAAGCATTGCACCGCCGATTTTCAGCCATTCGAGTGCGTATTCGATTTGCCCTCACCCGAGAAATGTTCCAGATGAGATTCTGGATCTGGTGAAGAAGCGAAATTCTTTGGTTATGGTGAACTTCAATCCGGATTTCATCTCGTGTAGAGACGTTGGGGCTGAAAATGGGTTGCCGGAATTTGTCAACAGCACCAATACGATTGCGCAAGTGGCACGGCACGTCATGTACATTGGAGAGCGGATCGGATACGATCACGTTGGCCTCGGCTCGGATTTCGATGGCATTGAGAGTACGCCGAGGGGTCTGGAGGACGTATCAAAAGTCCCGGATCTCATCGACATTTTGCTGAGTAAAGGAGTCAGCGAGAAAGATGCGGCGAAGATTGCAGGCAGAAACTTGCTAAGAGTGTGGCACGAAGCAGATCGAGTGGCTGCAAAGCTGCAGAAGAAGATCAATCCTATAGAAGACGATCTGAGGAGAAAGAACAGTGTGGCTGTGGGAGTAGATGAGGTCGAGCCCGTCGAATTGTAGACTACATGAGGCTCGACTTTTGATGATGATTATGTTACAGTCCGCATTTGTGCCATCTCAGACGTTTGTTTTTGAAGCTTCAGCTGGTGCCGCAATGCTCTCCGTCGCTCTGCTTCTCCGCTTCCTGCTCAACATGTCCAATCGTTGTCTCACCATGATTACCTCGACCCAGAGCCATCGAAGCACGACGGTCTCGATCGATCTACGTCTCCGCTAACCTATTACTCCGCATTCTTCCCCATGTCCGCGCCCGTTGCCTTCCCCTCGCTGTCTCGATTCAGAGCGATCGAAGCAGCACCATGAGAGGATACAGCCGCCGAGTTCGATCCCAAAACAGCAAGAGGCGAGATACCCAACTCCACGAGCTTCTCCCTAAACTTCTGAACCTCCGAGTCCTTCTTACGCTTCTCCGCTTCGAGGTCTTGAATCTTCTTCTGATGTTCTCCCACGTGTCTCAGAAGCCGATCGTTTGCATTGTTGAGTTGGAAGATGAGGCGTTGAGCATCGACAACACGTTCTTGATTTTCAGCAGAGTTGTCAGCTTGAATTTTCCACTTCTTATCCGCCTCGTCGATTTTCTTCTTGCATGATTCCTGCATTTGCTGCATGATCTGCTTGTATCTTCTCTTATCGTTCTTGGCATCTTGTTCCTGAAGTGTGGATTTCTGCTGCAGCTGCTGAATTTCGGCTTCGAGTTTGCGCTTCTCATTGCATACTCCGATGTAGGTCTTATCGAGGTCCCGTCTCTGGGTCTCCTCGGCGTTGGTCTCGGCTTTTGAATGGATGAGCTGTTTCTTGAGGTTCTCTACGATGGCTTTCTCCCTATCAAGCTCTTTCTGCTTTGCTTTGAGGTCCTCCTGACAGTCCTTGAATTTTTGTTGCGCTTTTGGATTACCTTGTTTGGCGTTCTCTTTGGCCTCAGCCTTAAGCTCCCTGACTTCCTCCTTGTAGTCTTCCTTGAGGTCTCGTAGCTCTTCGAGGGTAGCCTCAAGCTTCTCCGATTTGTCGTGCAACTTGCGAGACAGATTCTTTTCGGCAGTGGCGTACTTCGAGCTCACACGCTTCTCAAAAGAAGCGTTCTTGTTTTTGAGCTTGGTCTCATAGGCCTGCTGTAATTCGAACCTGATCTCCTTGGCGATTTCATCCTGCAATTCCTTCTGTCTTGCCGCCTTGACTTTCTTGTTAGCCTCTCGAGCAAGTTGCTTTTGCTCCAGTGCTATACGAGCGGCCCTCTCGGCCTCTCTGCTGGCTTCGAGCGACTCATTTTCCTCTCTGGCTTCTGCCAACTGAGCCTTGAGTTCTGCGATCTGTGCATTTTTCCTCGAAATGATCTCGTTACCCTTTGCTTTGAACTCTTCGAGCGTCTCTGGCTGTTTGACATTTCCTTTCGTATCCTTTGCTGCCGCTCCCCCTGAAGCTGCCTCATTTACTCTAGACTTCTTCGCAACAGCCGATCCCGCTTCGCCCTCGCCGGGTCTCTTCGTGCCCCGCTGCTTGTCCTCTTGAGTACGAGGGTCGTTTTCGGCAGCAGGCTTTGCCTGTGACGCCTCAAGCTCCTTACCGCCGCTTGCAGTAGAGCCATTCTGGTCGCCTTGTCCACCAGTATCGGAAATGCTGACGACCGAACCTGCTTTCGAGCCATGGACCGCGGGTGATGCCGCAGTGGCGGCGACACCTGAGCCTTGTTCGACGATTTGCTCCATGGCCGTGTTTGTGTGAGAATTGGAATGATCGGGTCTTTTGGTCATGCTGCCTGAAAGTTGTTGATGTTGTTGTGAAAGTCGCAAGCGAGCAGCAAGGCTTAGGCCGAAGGTATTTTGAACTGAGCTGCCGAGACCGACAGTCTTATGCTCACTTGTCTTGCTGTGGGCTTGCGGCGGCGAAGCGAGGTCTCCGACGGTGAGTCGTGTTCAAACACCTGGTTGACATGCGAAACAGTAGAGAACCTTTGACCTTCTTTGAGCAAATAATGCTTGATGGGAATTGCGTCCGACCCAAGCTGGGGCGATGGCCGGCCTCGTGAGCTCAGAGCCTGGACTACTCCGGAAAGTCGGGCGGCAATGGATGGGGTCTTATGGTTGCGGCTGATGTCTGCGGAGGGTCGGTGTTGGGTGTTGAGGTCAAGTCAGTGGAAAGGAATGAAGCAAGCGGAGTCGAAGTCGAAGGTCTGGAAACTTGAGCATGAATGAGCAAAGAAAAGCAAGCCGCATGTGAACGATTAGTTTTCAACTGATGTCTACTTATCTCAGAAGCGTTCACATGCCAATGTTGTCATAGGCACATGCTCGACATGCGCGGGTCAGTGCCTTACCCAACGACCACTCCATGCTCGTAGTTGGTATGGGGAAATGTCGCGCCATGACCTGCCTCCCGAATACGGAGTTTGACATGAGTCGACAAAGAGGACGAGAAGGTGCATGTCGTTCATCGTCTCCGCTCAAGTCAATACCCGCTCCCTTCATGCACGACGGTATGAATTCGTACTAGGGCTTGAGTGATAAACAGATACCTCCCACTCTATCCAAGAAGAGTCGTATTTGCAGCCATGTCTCTCGATAGTGAGCCCCGAGGCACATCTTTGGCCGCATTCAGCCTCATGAGCTGGGGAGCCTCCGTCTCGCCAGAGCATAGTTTGACTACTGGTAGTCATTCTAGGACATTCTGGCCAGCCTCGCGTTCTCCTCGTTGAGGCGTTTGATCAAGCTTGCTTGCTCGTCGACTACCTTCCACCCGTCCTCCGTACGCCGCTTGTAAGCAGCGAGCTGTGTCTGGGCATATTGGAGCTCGATAGCCTGATCCTTCGCCTTCTTCTCGGACTCCCGCAAGGTTTTGTCGCGCTCGGCGACCGTCATTCTCAGCTTCTCCACCGTGTTCTTCTCTTTTGCGATATCGTTCTGATAACCTTGCACCATGTAGATAGACCGCTGCGCTTGAGCTTCCAGCGCACTTCTAGTGTAATCGTCGGCGGACGCGACCATGGCGAGCTCGAAATGCGCGACTTGGTCCTGAAGGATGGCTCTTGAGGTCTCGAGTTCCTCACCTAATGCCTTCAGCCGCGAAACCTCTTGCTCTGCAGCTTCGGCACGCAGACGCTGCTCCTGGACGGCCTTGGTGCCGAAATTGATCAGAGCCTCCTGGAACTTGGCATACTCCTCTGTGGCGGCTTCCTCTCTTGTCGTCACCTCGATCTCTGTTTTGCGTTCCGCTGGTGGGATAGACGTCCGGTTACCAAGCTGCTGGCGCAACTTACGTATCTCCTTGTCATCCTCATCAGCACGCTTACGCAGCTTTTCGATTTCCCGCTCGTCGGCCTTCGATTTGTCCGCGGCTTTTTGAAGCTCGTCCTTGTTGCGCCTCTGGAGGTTGTTCAAATTCGTGATTTCGTGTTTGTGGCGGTCCTCCTTGGTTTCGTGTCCTGGACGCCGTCGTACTTGGTAAGGATGGTGACGGTAGTCGTCACGCAAGCCACCGTGCTTCGGTCTGCGGGGATGGGGCGGTGCCATGGCGCCGCTATAGGTCTCTCTCTTGACCAGCAGGTTTCCAGACAGCAAGAGTTGCCCAGTGACAGCTCGAGAAGGGGGTGTCGATTGTTGTATTCACTAGAAAGTTGGGAATGCTGTAAAGAAAAGTCCCAAAGAGGATGGCAAACGGATGTGCGCGTGATCCTTGCTCGACTTCGGATAGCTGCATGACGCTAAACCGAGTGAATGAATCTGCAAGCAAACGCAGCGGGTGCCCGTCACTTGGTAACCAAGCCAGACTCACTCTCTGTCTATTCACGATGTCCCCCCGCGAGCCACGAAATCTTCATGCTCACTTTTTACAGCGTCTCAGGCTCATTTTATCTCGCGATGCAGCGCGCCTGAGCAGGGCGTCTGACAAACGACACGTGGTTCTCTATTCTCTATCATTTTGCAGCATCATCTTTCACGGCACCTTCTCGACTTCCTCTAATAGCTCTTCTACGTTGAACGTCTCATCTCCCCCACTGAACTGCTCCATCAACTTCCCTCTCTTCTCTTTGCTCTCCTGCGCGACCGCACTGTGCGCCTCAAATCCGTAGAACTTTTGCAGGTTCATCAGCAAGAATTTGCCTTCATCGACACTGATGCCTCTGTTCTCCATCACTCGGCCCTCCAGCAGAGCCAGCCCGTTCGAATCAAGCAGATCCAAATGATGTGTGATTGTGGTATGCGGCTGCGCAAATTCACCTCGCAACTTGAATTCAGCAAGATGTGTGAAAAGCACTGTTGCTGTGGTCTCGGTAGGAAATGTCCATTGGAGGAAGTGGATCTCCGCGCCCTGCTCTGCTCGTGGCAGAGGGAGGATGAACTGTGGGTGCTTCTTTGCCGTCTTCGCGATTCGCTTGTATGTCTCCACCTCCATCACTGCGCACAGAGACTGCGGATCTCGAACATGCCGTAACCGCCATATCGTCTCAACCTCTTTGTGGGGAAGCTTTGCAGTCTTGTCGACATCGATGAAGGATGCTAGCGTTTTGACCGGGCTGTCGCTCTTCGGCACTTTCTGTATCGCGGGATCGACTAAAGGCTTCGGCGGAGGAGGAGGCTGATATGGGATACTCGAGTCGGTATTCTGTGGTGTGGGAGGTTCCTGAGCGGAGAGTGGAGCATTAATGCCGGGTACCAGGCTTTCTTTGCGCAGTTTCGCGATGCGATCCTGATAGACTTGCTTCAACTCCTCAACATCATCTACACCCCTCTCTTTCGCCTTTTGCCGCAGCTTGTCCCGGTATCGTTCTTGGATCTTGTCGTTAAGAGGCGGGTGGAGCGCGAAGTATCGTACATCGTGAACCTGAGCCCATCTCCGTTGGCAAAGGCGTGTCTGCGATTGTGCAGCTGCACGCCGGAACAGCAATGTGGATTGATTCATCTTCAACAATAGCAGTCCATGATGACGAGCGAGCAGACCAGGAGAGCTCCAAGATAGATTGTAACACGTGATCGGCTATGACCAGACCGGAAAGCCGATCATCCTCGGCGGGATTGACTTGTCAGATGCCTCTTGCCATACCCATAACTACACCCCACGAAAATCCACATAGGATGAGGACGACTTACTGCTTCCACCTCCCAGAGCCGAGAATCTTTGACGTCGTCTTCATACGCAATGGCTCTGTAAATCCTCGAGCAATAGAGATGGGGAACAAATCTAGACCCCACCAAAATCCACCGACAACACCCTCCCGTCAAGCCTCTTCCCATCAATAACCTTCTTCACTTGTTCCGCCCTCTCAGCACTCTCAAACTCGACAAAGATATCCGTTGACCTCTCCACGCCTTCATTCTCAGCAGTCTTGATCCGAACTGTGAAATCATCCTCGATTTCCAGTTCTAGCAGCAGCTCTCCTACAGCTTTCGCGAATTTCTCGACTCTCCAGCCAGGAATGCGAGCGATGCCTAGCGATGGTGTTTTTCCCTTTTCTCCAAACCAATGACCACCTGCTGGCGCCCACGAGGGTGGGAACTCGGGGTCGTCTGGAGATGTCTCACGATTGGAGTCACTTGCTTCCTGCTCTGTGTGCTTCGCTCCGTCCGAGTTGCGGCGCTTCTTGGCCACTTTCGGTCGTTTGGCGCCGCTGTTCGCGTCCTGCTGGTCAAATCGATGCCACGCACTGTCTTTATTGACGACCAGTGCAGCGCGCGTTTTCGCTGCGTTGGCGCGGATTCGCTCCAGAGGCGTCTGCTTGGTTTTGCGTGCCATGTTGAGTGTGGGTGGCGGAGCTGAGAAGTTGTTCTGTATGTGACGATTGGTTTCGAAGTGATGTTAGTCTCCAAACCCCGAAGGCTGGGCACAAATCAGATGTCCAGTGAGGCGGCAAGTGACTGTCGTCGAGAAGAGGCCGATCATAAGGTGACCATGTGCATTCGCCAAGCAATAGCATGTGAAAAGACATTGTTGTTGTGCATTGCCAACTGAGCGGTATAACGAGTATCTAGTAACTCATGATTTACATTCTCTTTCAATCTGACATTGCAATCCAAGAAGGCATCCAACATGTCTCAAGTACAGAAGAAAGAATCCGGTCCAAAGCCGCACTCCATTCACCATGAGTCCCCATCCCCATCCCCATCCCCATCCTAACCCACACCCTAATAATCCGGACAATTGAAACCATTGATGAAAGGGGGAGGAAATTCCTCCGCAAGCACGCGATTCCCATTGAACTCATTCCGATTGAAGCTGACGTGCATCTGTCCAGAGTCGGTCTCGTCACATTTGTAACCGAAGACGCCACCGATAGCACGGACGGGTTGCTCGAGATCGGTACAAAGCGACTCATGGTAAGAGACGCCGATGATGATGTCGTAGGAGACTCCGAAGGGGCCGTAACTTTTGGCTTTGCAGGATTGTTCGCTGAAGGGGACGTAGTCGGAGTGGCGAGATCGTCGGAAAATGGAAGAGCTCGGGACCAGGGAGGTAGAATTGAGGCCGGGGATGGCTGCGGCTTGTGTTGAGGATAAGAGCCCAAGGAGGGCGAGGAGAACGGAGCGGAGCAACATTCTGGTGTTGTTACTTGCTTGTGTGTCGCGGTGATGTTCGTTTGTGATCTTTCACGTGTGGTTTGACCTTGGAAGTCGAGCCCTGCTTTGCTGTTGTTGCTTGCGTGTCGTGGCGGTATCTGTTGTGATTTTTCGCGTGTGATTTGATCTTGGATTTGAGGCGTGCTTTGCTGTTGGGTGATGTAGTATATAAGGATCTAGCTGGTAGGCCGCAGAAGAAATTTTCATGCTTGCGAGGCCACCGAAAGTCACTTTTTCCGCAAGTTGATTTCTAAGGACTTGTAGTAAAGTTCACTCGCTCAGCTGACGAAGAGCACATGTGATTGGGCTCATGGGCGAGTGAATGGACGCAAAGTTGGTACGCAGTATGTACTGGCCAAATTTGAGGACATACAGACTTACTGGAAGTGGCCTTGCTCCAGAATCTATCGGTTCTCACGGACACTAGTACCGTTCCACCGAGCGCAAGTATTATCGCAACGTGGTCGTGAGGCAGGCCGATAACTGGGATCAAGCCCGGAATGACGCAAAGAGAATGTCGGCTGGGAACGACAGGGACGGCGCTCCAGCAGCTCTCCGCTTCTCTTGCTTTGTGCAACGGCCTGCGTTTGGAATCAAACCAACCTGAGAGGAGGAGAAAGCCCCCGACTGCCGATAGAACACCTTGGAATAATCGGAAATTCAGGCTGCGGTCTGACTTGGCTTCGAAGTCCAGATTGAGCCATTCCTAGACATTACGATGGTTGCTTGTTCGCGCATGTCAAAGCCCACACATATTCTGTCGACCGTGAAAGTTCCAATGTTCCAATGACTGCCTGGTTTACAGGAGAACAGAAGTGAAGTCTCAAGGCGAGGGCAACCCAGCTAACTTAGTGGGTCCTAGCGGCGGACTTTGAAGCCGACCCTTGCAACACCGCATAGACACGCTCCCCAGATGCAACCACCACCGACACTATCTATCAACACTCTTCCTCCACCTCGCCATGGCCGCCACCGAAATCATCACCGACCCCGTTCTCGTCTCTGTCCTCGACGCCGCGAAGGAAGCGCGCAAGCAATGCAACGACCTCCTCGACTTCATCGAGCAGAATGGCGCGTCCGCATACGAAGAACCCAAACTGCTTGCAGAGCAGAAAGTCCTCAGCAGTCGCCTCGCCATCCTCCGAGGCTTGAACCGTAAAGCAATTCTCAGTGTCCGAAGCACCAAGCAAGAGACGACAGAAGCGCGGCAGGAAATCGACGAGCTACATCTCCAATTGCAGAATCTGTATTATGAACAACGACATCTTCGAGGGGAGATTCGCGGGTGCGAAGAGTATAAGTAGGTCATGCAAGACCTTGCAGATCACATTCTAGACACGGGACTAATTGAATCGCGCGATAGTCACAAATACGAACAACTCGGCATGATCCCCGTGGAAGACTTCCTGGCCGAGCATCCTCAATATCACGAATCGACAGACCACGATCTTACTGTGGCGCGGATAGAAGATGAACATGCTGCGAGGAAGGAGTTGGAAGCGAAGAGACTAGAGCTGGAGAAGAGGAAAGACGCGTTGATGAAGAAGAATGCGGCGGAGAAGGAGCAGCTGGCTACGTTGGATGGTACGCTGGAGAAGTGGATTACGGGTGGACAGGAGAAGGCTGGGAAATTGTTCGAGGCGAGAGAGAAGAAAGGCGCCGAGGAAGGTGCGAAGTGAGAGAGGTATTGATCATGGACAACTGCCTGGACAGTATCGCGAAGACTATGACGAATGTCTGCAAGATTCGTGCGACGAGTGAACTTCCAGTCCGACTTCTTCGAAGCCCGAACACTGGCGATGGGCCGCGAGTCTCACGGACGAAAACGCGATACCCAGCCAAAATTCGACCTCATCAGGACGACCTCACACGAAGAATTGCGTTACAAGAACCATGAGCTCTTGGCAAGTATTCCCACGCTATAGCTCGATCCTGCATCGGCCGCACTGCTCCACCGCTTGTGGCCAGAGTACACCACGACCGCCTCGCAAACGCGAAAGCTACCAGTCAGCTGATCTTGCTGCATATTGGAATCCGTTCAGGAAACCGGTGGAAGTTTCAGGCCTCCCAAACTAACATCCATGAGGCATGGCAGCATTTGGGCATGCGTGAATTCGCAGAGGAAGAACTGCAAGCTCGCAAGCTTGATTGCAGAGGTTCGTAGGCTCCAAGCGTGTGTCTATGAGAGGCTTGCGGCGAGAATGTGGCATCGATGAATGCTATGCTGCACAAATTGACAAATATCAATTCTCGCTATCGCGCTTATCGCTGAGCGGCGCACGGCATTACCTCGTCTTACTGCTCAGCTGTGAATTTCACGATCTAGAACATGTCTACGTTGCGCCTGAAGACATGCATGTCTGTGTCACCCCTGTAGAGTTGTGCTTGCGCATGTGAAAGGGTCCCGCGACTGACAAATTGGCTTTCGGCATTGCGCTGAGCTTGGCTTTCGCGCGCAACGTCGACAGCTGCCTCCCACATCTCTCCAGCTGGAAACACGTTCACGCACAACAACGCTGTCGCAAACGTCGCCCACCATGCCCGCCGCAGGCACCGCTCCGTTCGCCACCTTTCTCATCATCGGCCGTAAGTCAACGTGCCCTACGCTCTACCAATTCCCCATCTAACATATCCTCCAGCAACCTGCTTCTTCCTCGGCGTCCTCTTCGCCTACTTCCCCTACGACTACAACGTCCTCTGGTCCACACCCCCCGTCCTCGAAGCCGGCATAAACCCCCGCACCGCCTTCTTCGTCCTCCAAGAAAACCACCTAAAATTCATCCACGCCTCCCCACCCCTCATCTCACGCATCCTCCACATCGTAATCGGCACCGGTCTCCTCGGCTTCCTCATCAAACTCTTCAAACCCACCGAAGCGAACCTCCTCTTCGATGGCGCTTCTCTGGTTCTCTACATGTGCGGCATCACAGTCTACATTGCCAATATCGTGAAAGGATTAAGGACTGTGACGGCCGGGGCGTATGGGACGAAGGCGTTGGATACTGAGGCGGGGGAGACGATTGTGGATAAGGCGTTGGAGAATCGGGAGGGGGAGTATATTGGACGGGAAGATAGTTTGAGGGTTATGGCGGCTAGTAATACGATTTTGGCGCTGGTTTTGGTGGGGGTGCTTGTGTTGCAGGCGGGGCAGTGGTATGCGCAGAGGAAGGAGCAGGAGGAGATGGCTTTGATGGATGCGAAGAGGGATGAGAAGAGGGCGGAGAAGGCGAAGGGAGAGGGAAAGAAGCAGAAGTAGGTGGGGTTGGGATGTTGGGGATGGGGGAATGATGTGTATAGTACAGTATGAAAAGGCATTGGAAACGCTGTCCTGTTATAGGATGCGATGTTGAATGATAGATGATGCAAAGCGCGAGCAGGCGCCCAGTAGACCCAGGAGGTTCGTGCATGTTGAGTGCGGATATGAAAGTGTGTCCAATGCGTTCATACAACTACTCTATTCTCATATCTCCCCGTCACCCTGCCCCGGCAGACACTGCCATCTCTCTCCCACTTTCTCCCCAGCTCCGATCGCGTTACATCGCGCACTCCATTCGATATTATAAGTATACTTATGCTTTTTACGATACCACACCATATTCTGCACAGCGCCATCATTGCCTGCGGATGCCTCTTTGCCACTCGACACCTTTCCGCCCGTAACACGATGATGATGGAAAAGCTGAGGAACAGGAGCGACACAACGGTGCGCTTTGCCGACGCAGTCGATATGTAGTGCTGTGTCGAAACTGTCTGCTTTATCGTTTCTGATTTTCTGTACGAGCCGTGCGGCATGAGACTTTGTGATTGCGTATGCGTAAGTTGAGAGTGGTGCCACGTTGAAGATGAGCTGCTGGGGTTCTGGGGGGTTGGATGCGGCCATTTGTTCGTAGTAGTTGTTGAATTGTGTTTTGAGGCGACTCCAGGGGAGTGCGTGAGGATCGTGATATTTGTAGATCTCGGTGCCGTCGATGAACGACATGCCGAAGTGGCCGGGCCAGAAGATGTCCCATTCGTGATGGCGGTATGGATGTAGGGCTTCCTGTTCTGGGTCTCGAAATTCGGGAGCTCCGCCGGCGCGATCCCAGAAGGCTTTCGAGACGAGTTCCATTTGAGCTCGTATGTCGAGTCCGAAGTCTACATCGTCTTCGAGGACGAGGACTGTCTCATAAGGTGCTTGAGCGATCGTGTCGAGGAGAGCCAAATGGTTGACGAGAGCACGCGAACGACCATACCCTTCCACGACTTGGCCGCTGACTTGGCTAAGCAGTCCCTCATGTGAGACTTGTCGTTGGATTGGTATAGTAATCCGAAGTCCAACCAATCTTGCCGCTTTGCGCAGACCTTGTACCCGCCATGACGAGGCATCTTCCGTCAGGACATAGATCGCCCCAAAACCCAATGTGTCGTTCCCCGCGCCTGGCCCAGTGACGGATTTCGATGCCAACCCATTCCGTAAGTTGAAGAAGAGGTCGTTTCCAGCAGAAAGGTATGCTGTTCCGAGGACTATGCACACGGCAACAAGTGCGAGCTTCCATGATCGCAATGTCGGCTTCACAAGCATTGTGGCAGTCTTGGAGTAAGTTGCAAGGCATTAACCCGTCGCAGGTGAGATGTAGTGGACGACATGCTGAAGTCGATGTGCTGTGCCACGAACATGTCAATCAAGTCAATCAATAAGGCGAATGTTTGCCGCGACCCACTCTTGTGTATTCACCAATATAGTCCGCTACTGTCTTGCATGAAGTGATGCTATTGGCTGTTTCATCTTCGTGCATGTGCTTAGCGGGTCAATGGCGGAGAAGGCGCCGGCGCCTAATGGGGCACAGCTGCCAGGTTCACTTGTACGAGCATTATGCCCGAGCGCTTCGATTAGTAGTAGCTCGTCTTCTACTTACAGGCTATGGGAGTGATCGCGACCTCAGACATTGTTTCGCCTGGCACATAGAGCAATTCTCGATGCGAACAGGTGTTCATGATCACAGAAGTTTTGGCAGATTCAGGTCGATGTCTTTTTCTTTCCAATTCATTGGAGGGGCATTCTAGAATTCGTGACCTGACATAGTTTCCTGATCTGGGGCGAGCGGATCGTAGACAGTGCTCGTCGTCCGAAATATCTCTCCCACCACAGACACACACAGCCCTTTCTGATGCAGAGTGTGCTCGGGATGACGCGGTATCTTGGATCGTAAATGTCACTGATACTGTTCCATTCGTTGTTGCGCATTTGCTCTCAAGGCATTGACTCCGTTGACCCATCGACAGTGTTTCTGACATTGCATGTGGGTCTTCATTGCCTCTCCGCTTCGTTTCATAGCCTCTCCCGGAACGAGCATTCTCCTTCTTCGCTTCATATCGTTCGTGTCTTCGTGAACCCTTCTTCCCGGCCTTGAGGAGTGAATTCGGGACCCCGCAAGCCCTTCCACTCGTATCCTTACAGCTCCAATCGCTGCGGTACGGGGTCATCTAAAGGTCTTGATGATCGAGCAAGGTGTCATGACAAATTGCATGCACAGTGTGCGAGGTGAGCGCGACGTTGCATTGCGGCAGGGGGAAACCCATGACCGCGGTGGCAAAATATTACTCATGTTGTAAACATCGTTGGAGTAGCGCCCAGACCATCATGAATTCAAGGCTGCTGCATTTGTAGGCGCTGCCTCTCGCTTTCGTACTTCTGTGCTGAAGCTCGTGCTATATCCTCGGTGAGCTGAGGGCACAATCACGAGGAACATAACGTTTCAGGACTTACACATGAACGATGGGCCGGTGTACGACATCATCGAGCTCAAGAACGGGCAGAGAAGTCACCATAGGTTCTGATGGTACCAAGTCCTCATATTGAACAGAATCGTGTTGGTCGATGGCCGGGATTCGCGATTGTTCGTTCTCGATTGTGTTCACTTGGGGTACCACCCGTATCTGGGGCACATCGTTCTTTGTACTCCGGTCCTCCGGGATCGATGCTGGTAGTGCTCCTGCTTGACAGAGAGCTGCAAATGCTAGGATGGCTACCTGGAATAGCCAAGAGCAGATCATGGTTTGTTGTTTCCAGGAACAATGTCGCTCAAAGGTAGTCCTTTGTGATGCAGAATCTTGTCCGAGGTGACCAAGCGGCTGAAGAGGTCTTGTTCAGGTCGGTCTTGGAATCAGTCCACGCGGCCAGAGAGCGTCTTGAATCAGCAGGCGACGCGGCTTTCGGCAGTAATGAAGGAGAAAATAGACTTTGACTCGAAATGAACGCGACAGTAGCGAGAGAGGATGCAAAGGAAATCCTACATTCTCGCAATAATGGCGAAGAAGGAGCCTTCTTGAGGAGTGTATACTTTGAACCATGGTGCCGTCGTAGGCGCGCGATCTGATGTTGCTTTCCGCTTGCCGCTCGTCGATGGGGTGAGCGAGTGGAGCCAGTATCACGGTGCTTGCCAAATGTGGCCCGCGTGTCGCCAGAAAAAGAGCGCAAGACTGGCGCGGCGTCTAACAGCCGAGCGGTTCCAGGCCCTACGGAACCTCAGTGCCGTGTGCCAATGCCTGGCTCCGTATCAGTGTTCGTGTCTCAGAGGAGTCTGACGACACAACACGAGCGCGTATCGCTGCGAGTGCATCGTGGGGGAGAACAGCAGAAGTGCAGCTGCGATCGTGTCGTATCAACCCTCCTGGACCAGGCAACCCAGGAACACTTTCACAAGCTCGGTGGTCGGTGTCTCGGCGCATCTCTGCCCCGGTCCGACTGCGACACGCGAGTCATGCAGGAATTGTTGCTTTGGAGCTCGAAGACGTCGCAACACTGAGATCACTACCCCGACTGAACAAAGTCGCGCGCTGTCACAAGTTCGTGGAAGTATGGATGTTGACGTGCCACCACCACCGCCGAGTGACTTGCCTCCTCCACCTCCTCCGCCTAGCGATCCGCTGCCACCTCCGCCACCACCGCCGCCCGTGTCTGAGAAAAGTGCCGGAGCTGCAGCTGCAAATGGCGCAAGTGCAGTCGTCGCGCCTGTGAAGATGCAGAAGATCGCGAGCGCACAGCCGTTGAGTGTGGAAGAGTTGCTCGCTCGTAAGAAAGCCCAGGATGCGGCCGCCGCGAAGCCAAAGTTCCTGTCGAAGAAGGAACGAGAGCGGTTAGCGAAAGAGAAAGAGGCTCGCGAAGCAGCTCTTTCAAAATCAGCCAACGGGAGCTCCAAACAGGATGCCTCTCGTGAAGTTGCGAATGTGCCTACAGGACCTAGGGGCAATGCGCCCAGAGGTCCAGCGTCGATGCGATCCAGTGTTGATTTGGCCAACAAAGGCTACGATATTAAGCCGCCTCCGCCTCCTAAGGATGTAGCGGTCTCGAAAGGCAAGGACAAATCTGTTAACAAGGCAATTGACGAGACCACGAAAGTCGCAGAACTGAACAAACAGCGATACATGGGAGCAGACACCAACACATCGACCTTTTCGGCATCGAAGAAGCGAAAGCGGACCACCGAGAAGAAATTCAATTTCGAATGGAACGCGGAAGAAGATACCTCTCCTGACTACAATCCTATCTACGCTACACGAACGGAAAACAACTTCTTCGGGCGTGGAAGATTAGGTGGCTTCGCAGACGATGCTACTGATGCACAAGCTCGTGCATACGCTCTGGCGATCGCGGAGCGTGACCCAGAGGCAGGAAAGCAACGAGCCGCACAAATACTGGAAATGGAGCGCAGGAAGCGTGAAGAAGGAGGACGAAATGGTATCGATAAGCACTGGAGCGAGAAGAAGCTCGAACACATGCGTGAACGAGACTGGCGTATCTTCAAGGAAGATTTCAATATTTCTACTAAGGGAGGCTCTATCCCAAATCCTATGAGGAGTTGGAGCGAGTCAGACTTACCGAAACGCCTTCTCGATATTGTGGACCAAGTTGGCTACAAGGACCCTTCACCTATTCAGAGAGCGGCAATACCCATCGCCATGCAATCGAGAGATCTTATCGGTGTCGCTGTCACAGGTTCTGGCAAAACCGCAGCTTTCTTATTGCCTTTGCTCACCTATATTTCGGAACTTCCAGCACTGGACGAAATGACCAAGAATGATGGGCCCTATGCTATCATTCTGGCTCCCACGCGTGAACTGGCACAACAAATCGAGATTGAGGCGAAGAAGTTCGCTACGCCTCTCGGGTTCACGTGTGTCTCTCTTGTCGGTGGGCACTCGATCGAAGAGCAGAGCTACAACATGCGCGACGGTGCCGAAATTATCATTGCCACCCCTGGACGTTTGGTCGACTGCATCGAGCGACGGGTCCTTGTGCTATCGCAATGCTGTTACATCATCATGGATGAAGCTGATCGCATGATCGATCTCGGATTCGAAGAGCCAGTGAATAAGATTCTCGATGCTCTGCCGGTCTCGAACGAAAAGCCAGATACAGAAGAAGCAGAAGATGCCTCTGCAATGGCCAGACACGTCGGCCTATCGAAATACAGACAGACGATGATGTACACAGCAACAATGCCCGCAGCCGTCGAACGAATAGCACGCAAATACCTCCGACGCCCAGCACAGGTAACCATCGGCAACGTCGGCGAAGCTGTCGATTCTGTCGAGCAACGAGTCGAATTCGTCCAAGGCGAAGACAAGCGTAAGAAGCGCCTCGCCGACATCCTCAACAGCAACGAATTCGCTCCACCAATCATCGTCTTCGTCAACGTCAAACGCAACTGCGATAACGTCGCCCGAGACATCCAAAAAATGGGCTACACCTGCGTCACCCTCCACGGCTCCAAAACCCAGGATCAAAGAGAAGCAGCCCTCAAATCCCTCCGCGACGGCCAAACAGAAATCCTCGTCGCCACCGATCTCGCAGGAAGAGGTATCGACGTGCCCGACGTCTCTCTCGTTGTCAACTTCAACATGGCGACCAATATCGAAAGTTATACGCACAGAATTGGTCGTACGGGACGAGCGGGCAAGACGGGTACGGCGATTACGTTCTTGGGTGGAGAGGATCATGATGTGTTGTATGATTTGAAACAAATGATAAGCAAGAGTTCGATTTCGAGGTTGCCGGATGAGTTGAGGAGGCATGAGGCTGCGCAGAGTAAGGTTGATCGGAAAGGGAAAGGAAAAGGGAATGCGGAGGAGAGTAGTGGGTTTGGTGGGAAAGGTGGTTGGGGAAAGTAGATGCCAGTACGATGGTGTACAATATAGAAATTTGGATGAATGAGAGATGTCCGGCAGCCAATTGTAGCTTTGAAGGTACTTTAGTAAAGACTTTGAAGACGGCTTCGCCAGACGTCGCAGTGGATGCGTTCTGTCTGGGCGATGTACATGCATCTGAATGCTGACCAGTTTGCCAGTGCAAGGCTACTTTGATTGAAGCAACAAGACATCCAATCAAGACCCTTGCATAGAGTCTTTGCGCTAGTTGATGTTTGTCTTGGCACTAGGTCTCAGAGTGAACGGCGAAAGGCACAGGGGTGTCAAAGATTAGTCAGCACCTTTCATGGTGACAGTTCTCCTAACCTGAAATGCGTGAAGGCGGGTGGAAAGCACTGGGAAGTGAAGGATGAATGAATGTCCAATCAGAGCCCTTGCATGAATTCTTTGCGCTAGCTGATGTTTACCTTGGCACAGACTGAACGGTGGAAGGCACAGGGGAGCGAAAGATTAGTCAGCGTGATTTGCCCTGTCCCTTCATCATCAAGTCAAGGTCTGGTGGTGTTGACGGAACAGCCTCTCTTGATGAATGATGATATGTACTACGCTATAATGTGTCGAGGCTCCAGGAATTTTTCAATCGTTGTCATCGTCTCCGTATATATACAGTCTATTCACACATTTTGTTAAAGTGGAGACTCAGAACATCGTACACCTGCATTTCATCTTTCATCCTCCTTTTGCTCTCACGAAGCCGCAACAGCAGCCATCCCATCCTTCGTCCCTTCACCTTCCATTACCGGATCCTCAATCTCCTCTTGTCCCTTCATCCCTAACTCCTCCACCTTCCACTCCGCACCACTTTGGCTCAGGAACTTCTTTCCCTCCTTATTCCCCAAAACAGCCACACTCGCCCCCTTCTCAATCTGTTCACCCAACTTCTCCGCCGCAGTTTTCACGTCCTGTGGCGTGACATCCAACAACCATTCTCGTCTCTGCTGTTCCATTTCATATGTAATACCGTTCAAGAATCTCGTCATGCCTTCTTGCGAAACACTGGTTGGCGCGTCGAGTTTTTGGAAGACGGAGAGTTTGGCTTCTTGCATATCGCGCTCGGTCCAGGTTTGTCTGGCGGCCCAGGATAATGCGGAGTGGTATATCGAGAGGGTGTTGTCTGGATTGGGGTCGCGGTAGGAGTACATGCCGAAGGTTCCAGTGAGGCCCGATGATGTTGCGCCTCCGCCGTATGCGCCTCCCTTCTCGCGGATCTCGGCGTGGAGGTGGCGGTGTGTGAGGAGTTGGGAGAGGATGGCAATTGGGGCTGTAAATTGGGAGGTGTAGGGTCCAGTAGGAACGGTGAGGGCCGAGTAGGAGACTTGGTAAGGCAAGTTGAAGAGGGTGTTGCGGTGAGAGGAGAACGAGTTTGGAGTCGCAATAGTGGTAGAAGGAGAGGCAAGATTGGTCTTGGTCACGTTGCCCAGCCAGGAGTTCAATGCGGACTCGTTCGCAGACGCGGCGTCGGTGCCGCATGTAAGGGCTGCTCGCAAATTGCCTTCGCGGATGCTCTGCACGGCAAGGTATTGAATTGCCTTAAGCTTGTTGATGAGCTCTGTCATGGCTTCTGGATTCTCTTCCGCTGCCGCAAGGCTAGTGATGAGCTTGACCTGCGTGATGCCGCCAATCTGCTCTGAGATCTTGCCCGCGGGAGAGACGCCTGCCGTGGCATACCGCATAGCGTACATGTGGCCGCTAGCAGCAATGCCATCGACAGCTCCGCTTGCACCCATTTGCAGTAATTGACGAATCATCTTGTGCGCATTCGGCGAGTCAAAGTCAGTTTCCAGCAAGATTGTCTGGATCAAGTCGTACATGGCCGGAACATTGTAGTCAAAAGCCCGTCCGCCGATCGAGAAGCCCTCCTCAACCTTCTGGGTGTCGTGAGGCGACGTGCTGGAGAAGTGACCGAAGCTGATGCCACCAGTCTTCAGCTTCATCTCATCTTCAAGCTGACCCATGGACTTTGTCTTCGTGCCAATGCGCATGAGACTGTCGCAAAAGAGCGGTACGAGCATCCGAAGGTCCTCGGGCAAGTCTTTCAGCAGGGCGATTGCGCGAAAGTATGTGAGCCCATTAGTTGAAGCTTGGTGCCATTGCACTTCAACACCATTGTCGACTGTGTTGTCTTTGAACGTGATCTCCTTGTCCACGCGAGGAATATCGGAGACCTTCAAGGATGGCAGAGAGTCAACAGATTCCGTATGTCCAGCGTCTTGCTCCTTGATGAGGTCCAATTCACGCTCACGCAGCTGCTTATGCGCTTCCTCTTCACTCGGATAGCTTTCGATGGCTTCCTTGATCTTCGTCTGTAGCCGCGATGCCTCCTCCGCGGCAATATCTGCAGAATAAGTTGTGCTAGGCTCCATCGTAAATGTCAGTGTTCTGTTGTTGAGCAGATATTTCCGAAGCAAATCCTCCAGGTAACCCCCTTTGGCGTAGTTGGCCTTGAAAGCATCAACCAGCTTGTTGTACTGCAGTGACTCGAAAGGATCTACGCCGTTGAACCAACCTGGGTTGAGTCGGGAAATGATGCCCATGCCGAATGCTGCCTTCTTGTGCTTGAGACCAAGTTCGAGCTGATGCAGGATTCCGTCCACCTTTTGCTTTTCCAGCCCTTTCGCGATGCTCTCCTCAATTGTTTGATAGATGACATCCTTGATCTTGGGCAGATTCTCCTCGGAAACACCGTTGAGACCAATCGAGAAGATGGACTTGCGCCCCAGTGGCATGTATCCCGTGTTCATGGAGAAGTCAGTACCGAGACCAGATTCGATCAAGTTTTGGTACAGTGGCGAGCCATAGCCATCCATGAGCAGGTTCGTTGCGATTTGCAATCCGAAAGACTCTGTTTGATCGGTCCTGTCGGCTGCTATCCAGCTGATAGAGGTTTTGAACTGCGCATCTGGAGGAGTCAAAGGATCCACAGGGCCCTTGACAGTGACGGACTGAGGACTCTCGATGACAATCGGTGCCTTGATGTCGGTGTCCACTGCTCTCTGATTGAAGTGTGACAATTGCTCGCCCAAGAATTGCAAATGCTCTTCTATGGGTTGGTCTCCATATGTCAAGATCTTGCTGTTGCTCGGGTGATAGTGCTCCTCATGGAAAGTCTTTAACCCCTCGTAAGTCAACTCGGTCATTTTTTGCGGATCTCCTCCACTGTTGTTGATTGCCGGCATGATGTGCTCCATGAACCGCGAGTAGAAAAGATATGTCGCATCTGACATCTGGCCCTTCATCTCGTTGTACACAACACCCTTGAACACGAGATCGCTCCCTTTGCTGTCCGTGACTGGCTCCTTCGGGTTCTCTGGCCCGACTCTCCAACCCTCTTGCAAGAAGTCTGTTCTCTTCAACAGCGGATGCAATGTAGCATCCAAGTATACACCCATTAAATTCTTGTAGTCCTGTCTATTAGTGGTAGCAAAAGGGTAGTAGGTGTAGCTGGAACTGGTCATGGCATTCATGAAATTTTGCAGGGAACGAGGAAGCATCTTGAAGAAAGGATCGCGAACAGGATACCTACCACTGTATCAGCCTACAATATCTCATCTCTTGCCACTGCACTGCACCTACTTCTCCGACCCGCAGAGAGTGACATGTTCGAGGATGTGCGGGACACCAGTGGCGTCGGGCGGATTGGTCTTGAAGCCAATGCTGAAGACATTGTTGGTGTCGTCTCGTGCGATGTGCAGATAGTCGGCGCCCGTCTTGTCGTGGGTGAAGTGCAGGGCCGCTAGCTCCAGCTCGGGCACATTTTCAGCGCGTTGGAGCGTGAAGCCATGCAGTCGGTCTCCCGGCTTGGGATACTGCTGCAGGTCGGTGACGGAGGCGTAGGTGCGGTGCAGTCGCAGGCGGTGGTATGGAGCAACGATGCGCGGCGATCGCGCGGTGCTGCGCAACGTGCTCAACATGAGGGAGAGGATGCGGTGGTGGTGATGGAGGATGACGGAGGCGAAGGCGTCGTCCGTTTATGCATCTGCAGGTCGAAGTCCGCTGGCCGCGTGATTGGGCCGTCGGCGGGAGAGTGCTCGTCGACGACTATGCTGCTTTTGCACGCACTGCAGACTGGACCGGGGAGAACAACGACGTTGCGCAACGGATCCCGCGTGCAATCTGCGACACCCTCTCCTACACGCCATCTTGCCGTCGAGCTCCACCGCTGCCGCCGTCTTCTCCGCTGCTTCACGTCCCGGAGCGGCAGCAGCAGCTTCGAGCAACTCCCTGCTCCAACTCCTCGCGCTCATCATCGACGCACATACCCGCCTGGCATCGAACCCCCGCCGTGCGCCCTGCGAATCGACACGTCGCGCTCCATGCACTAGGACCCCCTCTACCCATTGCACTGGGAGCGGAACCACGGCGCTGAGGCGGCGCTGATGCAGCTTACCGACCAAACGCAATCTCTGCCGTTCCGCCGCTCGACCACCCCGGCGGCGAATGGCTAGCAACCTGCACACGGCGCAAATCCTCGCGCAGAAGAAGAAGACCGACAAGTACGAAGCTGCCAGGACCGGTGCCCGGAATTCCCAGGCCCAGCAGATCGAGACATACACCAAAGGCGAACGCTTTATCAAGTACCAGGAATCGGTCATGAATGCCGTCGCCCAACAGCAACACCAAGCCCAGCCCTCCGCGCAATCCTCCCACCGGGTCTCCCCCTCTATCTCCTACGACTCTCCGCGCGATGCACCCGCATCCGATGCATCGCCTGTCGCTCCTCCTCCGCCACCTGCTGCGGCACCCGCTCCAGCAAAGCCCAAGAATAAAGGGAAGAAGGGGAGTGTCAGTTCCACAAACCCTTCGGATGCCCACGCCGCACTGTTGTCCAAAATATCCCAGCTAGAGTCCACAACCGCAGAGGATGCACATCAAAATGCCGAAATAGAGGCCGAGGTGAAGAAGGCGAATCGCGATCTGTCGCAACTGCTGAACACCATGGAGCCGCATCATAGCAAGATGGACATTCTGCAGAAAAAGTATAGCGACCTGCTAGCCGAGATGAAGAGGACCGAAAGGGAGCACGTCAAAGCGAAGAAGCGTGGAGATCAATTGCAGAAGGAGAAAGAGGAGGTCAGCAAAGAGCGGACGCGGGAGAGAGGGCTGAAGGAGAAATTGGAGAAACTCAGTCGCGAATTGACGCGCGAGAACAAGAAACTCAAGGACGACTATCGCGAGCTGAAAGAGAATGCGGCAAATCGAAACGAAGAATTGCACCAGAAGTTGGAAAACATGGTCATTGATGTGGATGAGGTGGTATCTCAAAAACGCTCCCCCGAACGGCAGACCGCCGAATTGGAACAGGATAAGTTGTTTCGGGAGAAATTTACGTCCTTTCTACACCAATACGAGCTGCGGGAGCTGCACTTCCAGTCGTTACTTCGGGTGAAGGAACTGGAAGTGCAGTATCAAATAGCGCGGCACGACCAGCTGAAGAAGGCGCAAGAGAGCGAATTGAGCAAAAGCCATCAACTGACCCGCCAAGTGAGCACCTTCAGCCAGACGGAAAATGAATTGCGAGGCCAATTGAACGTCTACGTGGAGAAGTTCAAGCAGGTATGTCAAGACTTCTACCAGCATCAACACGCAAAAGTGCGTTCTCGCTCCCCCTTTGCAATGTCTAGCTTCGCTGCTACATGACTCGCTGAGGACAGTTTTGGTCGTTGCCTGGTAACTGACTGACCCCAAAGCAGGTAGAAGATACCTTGAACAATTCCAACGACCTCTTTCTCACCTTTCGAAAAGAAATGGAGGAGATGTCGAAAAAGACTAAGCGTCTGGAAAAAGAGAATCTCAACCTTACGCGGAAGCAGGAAGCCACGAATAAGAATATTTTCCAAATGGCCGAAGAGCGCTCGCAATCACAGCAGACGATCGACCGCCTGACTCGCGAAAACGAAAAGCTTAAGAAGCTCTGTCGAGCGATGCAGAGCGGGGGATACGGCAACGCGCAGCAAATGGCGCAGCAAGCTCACGCGGCTCAAGGTGCGGACCATTTCGACGATGGGCTAGAAGGGGAAACGGAGAGCGAGTACGAAGACGACGAGGAGTACGACGACGACGAAGGCGAATACGACGACGACACGGAAGAAGAACCCATGGATGAGCACACGCGAGTGTATGGACCTCCGCCGCCTCCCCCACCACAGACGGAAGTCGTAAAGCCGAATGGACAAATCCATCGAGTTACTGAGGCCGAGCAGCGCGCGATGATGGCCCCTGCGCATCGTGCGGCACTGGAAGCGCAAGCTGTACAAGTTAATGGCAACGGCCAAAGACATTGATTGATCGATCGGCAATAAAACAACAAAGGATCTCGCTGTACAATATTCGCATGCGCAACTCTCTGCGAGAGCTTGTTTTGTCTTTTTCCCCTGCAGGCCCGATTTTGCGGACCTCACCATGTACAGCACATTTCCAAATCTGATCAAACCGATGCTCGATGGAAGCATTTGAACAGCGCCTTCTTTCCGACTCGATCGAGTAATCCCTGCGCAGTCAAGGCATGTTGGTGCCAGTTTCATACGTTCCCTTTCCTTCTTTTCTCCTCTCTTTTCCAATACGTATACATACAACCGCGCTGCAGAACAGATTACACGCCCACTGCCCTCTTTCTCGAGACCTTCTACGGCAGTGAGGTCACTTTATCAAGCGCAGAATAATGGCTTGCATCGAACCCCTTTGGCTACGGCTTTTGGTGGTTTGGGCAAGCAATTTCAAACACTTCAGATCTTATCAGACCCGCTTGATTTTCCCTTGAGGTCAATGGGCGGCGGACTAAATTTCTGAGGACATGCATGATTTCTATTGGGAAAAGGTCAGCTTCGCGGATCTTTGCGAGCAGCAGTTGAAGACCTGACCGAGTGTTATTAGACAAGCGTTAGCTCTGCTGCCCAATACCCTCGTACTGAGGCTCCACCACTGGTTCCATCCATTTCCACTTCGTAATACCATTTTTGACATCCGGCGTCGTACTTGGAGCTTTTGATGGTGCCCATACCGCCGCTCGCAGCTCCCACTCTGGTTCCCACCACCAGAGCCGAGCTGTTCCCAGTCCGAGGAGGCAGTTTCCTTTTGCTTGTGGCGACAGCTGAATGGTCGCCGATCGCCTGTGCGTGGGGCCCTGTGCGTCGTGGACCCATTTCGTACTGAAACAATTGATACGGGGTTGTGAGGATGAAGGCCTTTGAGCTGGAGCTCTAGGTGGTTGTGGATCTTTAAATCACTGCGAAGGAGCTCTCTTTCAGCTGAGCCAGCGCATCATAACGCCACGATGCATGTCAACTAAGCGATGGGTAACACAGCATATGCCACGGATTCTAGGAGCACAGCCCCCCGTTGGATTGCGGCCTCTCGGGCTCACGACTAATTTCACCGGACTATCTCGATTGAACGAGCGTACAGGTGTCTCATCGTATTACCATTAACCTTACACGATGTCAGTGCCACCTACGAATCAGGTCTATCAAGGCTACGCAGCACTGTCCCGTTACATAAGCGGAGTCGATGGTCTCCATGTCTTCCATCGTTTTGGCGAATTGCACACTCGAAATCTGCTATATCTACAAGACGAACTACGAGACCTCGAAGAAACATTGCACGGTCGTGATTTGCAACCTGATATTGAGCACGGCAGTCGCAGATCTGATGGAGATGCTGATCGAAGACGCTTGATGCTTCTCATTAAGACAAAGCTCAAAGAATACGGTAAGCACCAAGTATCAACTCCGACTGGACTCGCGGAATGTCCGTGAACCATCAACACGACTCGAGAATCCGGAGATCGTATTGTGTAACCACTTCTTAATCTTTGTGTGTCTAGACGACTGCCTCCTTGCTTACGCTGCGATTCGAAAACTTGAACGTCCTAAGAAGCGCCATTTGGAGACTTTGAGAGCTTTCTTCGAAGGTCAACAACCCCTTGTCGAATCAGAGATGCCTCTTCTCGAGGATCATGATCCAGAACTCCTCTCGCTGAAAGTTATGGAAAACGACCAATGTCCCCCGTGGATAACAGAGAAGCTTGTATTGGGGGATTGGGCTCCAGGTACACGCGACCCAGTGAGTTCAAATCTAATATCTATCCTGATATCCATGCCAGAAGCGCTCCGTGGAAGTTTTTGCTCGTGACCTCTTGCATAGCACGATGTTTCAGATACAACAGCATTCATTATTTCTTCTGTTTGTCTTTTCCTTGCTGTCCGATTCCTGCCGTTCAACTCGCACACTTTGTCGATTCAAGCCCAAGCAAAGCTTTCGAGCTCTATAAGGGTCAAGCAAGAAACCACGAGCCAGCATTCATACTAACAGTTCGTGAACCATCCAAAATAGGACGAAGAAGCCCGGTTCAAAAAACTTCAGATCGACCTCGAGGGTGTGCAGATGAAATTCGTCCACCCGTCCCGAACCCGCTCTCTCATCCGCCTCCTCATCACCGTGATTGGAAGTCTGTACATCATTGTGCCGGTTCTATTGCTTTACTTTCTTCGAGCTCGAGTGGCGAAATTGGTAGTGGTGGTCGTCGCGCTGGTCTTGTTTGCGGGTGTGATGGCTGCAATGACAACGGCGAAGAATTGGGAGGTTTTGGCGGCGAGCGTAGCGTAAGTTCTCTTTTTCCTGTACTCGCGTCCATGGTTTGTGCTTCTTCGCACCCATTTCTTGTTGAGTGTAGTGCCTTTCTGGTTTCATGTGGGTCATGAGCTGTTGCTGAAGCTAATGAGGGTTTGTGATGTGTCAGGTATTCGGCTGTATTGGTAGTGTTCATGGGGAGTGATTTTGGGTATTTGAACGCCGAGTAGCGACAAGAGGTGCGAAAAAGAACTGCCAGCAGGGGAGAATATCCAGAAATGTTATTCCGACCTCCGACTTCCCTCAGATTGCTGTGCTGGGCGTGACTGTAGCGATTGTACCCTTTTGCCCGATATGCTCTGCTGTGCCACGCGTACCGTTTGGTACAGGTGAGCCTGACGCTGTCGTCCACGGCGTTTGTTCCCATGGTTCGTGGTCCGGAGATTGGTAACCTGAGTCTTCTTCAGCGAATCCTCGTCCGATCGTCCCTTCCGCGCGACCACGTTTCTCCAGTTTCGCGATCGTGATTATTACTGGAATTGTAAGACACCCAGTCACTAGACTCGCGATGTAGCCCTTTTTATAATTTGGTGCATCAGTCACCGGGAAGAAGATCAGAGGCCACCAGGTGACGAAGGCGAAATCGAAGCTGTTCATGAAACCTGTTGTGATTGCTCGGAGTTGGAGATCGTGGCCGGTCAAATCGGCCATCCATGAATACCAAAGAGCTTGAGGGGCGTAGGTGGTTCCAAGGAGGTAGAAGGCGAAGAAATACACGCCGTCCGATGATGGGTTAGAGACCAAGATCGCACTACAGATGATAAATGTGAAGCCGATGGCCAGCGAGCACTGCCATCGAGACCGAAGTTTGTCGCTGATGTAGCAATATGCGAAGGTCGCGACGATCCCGGTTGCGTGCACGATGGTCGGATAGTTGTTTTGCTGCACCAAGGAGTAGCCGCGGCTCTTCATCCACAACGGTATGACATTGTTGCCAATCGCCTGTACCACCAGAGAGTAGAGCATGAAGACCAGTGGCAGAAGGTAGAACTGCCAGCTCAGCAGCACTCTCCTCAGCACACTCCAATCCCACTCCGTCCTTCCCACCTCGCCTAGCCTCTTGGCAGCAAGGTCCTTCTCCTCCTCCGTTAAATACCTCGCCGCCTTGTGCTCCGGCAAATCCGGTATCGCAAACCACCCAAAGACTGCAAAAGGAATCGTCATGGCAGCAACCACCACGAAAATCAACCTCCAAGCCGGCAGACCCTCTCCTTCTCTCCCTTCCAGTGACTTGATCAACCCGGCCTGAATCCAACCTCCCGCCATTTGCCCCAGATTGCCAAAGCCACAGAATACCGCCGCTCGCGCACCAAGTTCTGATTGCTTGTACCAGGATCCGTAAATGAAATGCGCTCCAACATACGCGATGGCCGAGAAAGCGCCTTCAAAGGCATTGAGGACGAAAACTTGCCAGACCTTTTCCACGCGGAAGGTGACGAGGGTGAGTACACTCCAGATCGTGTTCGCGGCAACAAAAACGTAGCGCGGCTTGAGAATTGTGAGGAGGGATGTGGAAGGAATTTGAAAGATGGCGTAGGTGATGAGGTAAATTGTCGTCATATAGTTGTAGTCTTTGCCCTATGTTAGAGTAAGAAGACTATCAGAAGGTTTGATTCTTAGTGGTTCAATAACCCGGTTCGTGTTCCGCTTACCTGGAAATTCAGGTCTTCTTTCATGCCGCTGATGTAGGCTGTGCTGTAGCTGGATCTGTTGATGCCGAAGAGGAACCAGATTATGGAGAAGTATAAGAGGAGTGTAAAGTCGAGCTTGATCAAAAGGGAGCGTTCGGTGCTGGGAGGGCCCCATAGTCTTGCTATCGCAGCAGGCATGATCTGGCTTGAATTCGATATCCTGTTTGGATGGCTTTTGACAAGATCATCATCTTGGTCGTTTTCTTCGATCGGAGTTCCATTTTGCTGTAGGAGTGGAGAGCGTTCTGACGCCATCTCAATGCTTCGTTGCACAATGTGCGCTCCTCTGAATGGAGGTCGTGAAGATGCAGCGTGGTGGCTTCACGGAGCTAGGATTGGTTTCTTCGTTGGCCGCGACCCATCAGGATCCCGATATCACGCCTATCTCACAGATGAGCTCTGCTCGTTCACCTTGCGCAGATTGAGTCCTCTCGTCTTATCATGTTCGTTGCGTTATCGAGGAAGACGATGGCGCGAAGTGTAGTCGACGGAGTGCGGTCCGCTCCTGCCGAGGCCTACTTTCTTGGCAACGAGAAACATTGCCTTGGTGTTGCTTCGTCGCATCGTTACTTCACCTGCCATGAACATTCTTTCCATATCCAAAGGAGTGCCCGACTCACATTGAGACACGAGTAGCGAGTCTGGAAACGTCAGACTCTCAATGCCCAAAACTCTCAAGACGGTCAGAAGCTTGGAACCCGGAGTCACCAATAGCTTACCAACACGAGATGCTAGCAGTGCAGTCCGAAGCAGCTGTCATATGCCGCATAGCTAAGGCCTCCCACCGGACTGGCACGCAGATGGATGTACAAAGGCTGCATAGCGCGGCCCAGCTCCCAGAACCCTAGGGCTGCGGCAGTCAGCTTACAATTGAAGGCTGAATGCGATGCAAGGACAGGCCTAGCAATACGATCAGTAAAATACAGGATTCGTGCAATCTCTGACGCTCCAGGAGTCCAAGTCCTGGTACGGCTGCTGTTCTGGACCGAGTCAAGCCCGTGTTCAGCCAACCTTGCGGTACGAGTAACACCCTAATTGCCTCATCGCAAACTCTATGTCAGTGTGGAGTGCAATTCGAAAACTTCTCCAATGCGACGTCAATCAGGCCCGCTTGGAAAAGGACCAAAATATTCTGATAGTTGCGCCGGAGTACTGACGATGATGTAGGTGGAGCTGATGAACACGAAAAGTATGTGCAAGTAAGCATAAAGTAGGTATTAATAGGTGCTCAGCTCCACTTTTAGCGTGGCGGGAATCTGCGCTAGGCCAGTCCGTCCGGTGGCCATCGTATGCTTCGACATTGCTTCACCTGAAGACCCTGGCTGGTTCACTAGCGAGATCTAAAGCATCTGACGATGGAGTACAAGAGCTGCTGTTGCCCGGTTGTTGGGGTCACTTTTGTCAGCCATACCCTTGCTCCTCATCACAATGCCTCTCACCTCAAGAGCTCTCATTGCTCTGGCCGCACTACTCAACATTGCTTCCGCAAGACCGATTGAGGAGAGCCTCGAGTCTCGACAAAATGCCGAATGGGATGTCATCATCGTTGGCGCTGGTCCAGGAGGAATCGTTACAGCGGATCGCATGAGCGAGGCCGGCAAGCGGACACTTCTCCTCGAGCAGGGCGGAGGTTCCTACTATAGCACCGGTGGAAGAGAGCGACCAGAATGGTTGTCGAACACAGAACTCTCCCGCGTGGACGTGCCAGGTCTATACAGCTCCATCTTCAGCGGCGACTCGAAGTTACTGTGCGGCGACAAGCAGAATGGTGGATTTGGAGGGTGTACCATTGGCGGCTCGAGCGCTATCAACGCAGAACTGTTCATCCACCCGCCGGCATCAGACTTCGACACTTACTACCCTGAGCAATGGAAGTCGAAAGACATGAAGAGCGCGATCGAGAAGGTCAAGGCCAAGCAGCCTTACACCAACACACCTTCTGCTGATGGTAAACGATACATGCAGTCTGGTTACGATGCAAGTCAGAATTGGCTGGTCAATGGCGCTGGACTCAAGAACGTCGCAGTCAACGGCAAGCCAAATGAGAAGGACGGTGTCTTCGGACGAACAAATTACGCTTATGAGCGTGGTCAGCGAAGCGGACCCGCGAAGACATACCTGACATCTGCGCTTGCACGGCCAAACTTCTCCCTGAAATCTGGTGTCCAGGTCAAACGAGTGCAGCGAAACGGTGGAAAGGCAACCGCCGTCGAGGCGACCGAGAACGGAAAGACCACCACCTACCGTCTCTCCCAAAATGGGCGTGTCATCTTGAGTGGCGGATCATTCTTCAGTCCCCAACTGCTTATGATGTCTGGTATTGGCGATCCAGCTTCATTGACAAACCTTACCCAGAACAAATTGCTTGACATGAAGCCTACAGCATGGATCAACAATACGGCTGTTGGCGATAACCTCTACGACAATCCAAATACATTCATCGTCCTCTCGGGGCCAAATGTCCAGTCATACAACTTCAACTACGACTCGCCAATCGCCTCCGACAAGGACCTATACCTTAAATCCCGGAGTGGACCGTACTCAAGTGCTGGCCCGACTGGTCTCCTTTGGGACAAGGTGAAGCAGGCAGATGGCTCCAGCATCGCTGTGCAAGGTACCGTGAACGTTGCAGGATCCTTTGACTACACCGGCAATGACACGATCACCCTCAACGTCTATGCCACATCCGGTGCCAAGTCCAAGAGCAGACTCGTACTCAACGAGAAGGGTCTCCCAGGCATGGCATCAGACTTCCTGTTCAGCAATCCAGCTGATGCTGATGCCGTTGCGACTGTCATCCACAAGATTTTCCAGGCTCTTCCAGCAAGCGGCTTGACATCTCTCAATCTCCCTGCCACCTCATCGAAGGACGAGATTTTGAGATACATCGCTTTTCCCTCGAAGTACACCAAAGGTTACGTCAACCACTGGAGTGGAAGCTGCAAGATCGGCACCTGTGTCGACCAGAACACGAAAGTCAAGGGCATGGAGAATCTGCATGTTGTGGATTCCTCCATTACTGAAGCATTCACCACGAATCCGATGTTCGGAATTGTGGCTGTTGCTGAGCGGGCAAGTGAGTTGATTCTTGCTCTGGACAAGAAGTAGAGCTTTTCGGAAATACCTCTGTCATTATCGACTGAAGCGTTCAAGCGAGCGAGGCATTGCCATTGCATTCCAATTTTGCAAGGAAGAAAGCGATAGAACCTGCACCAGGGAGAAACAAAACACAGCAGGAACAGCATCAAGCCTCAGAACAGAAGACATCATATACATACCAAATTCATTGATTAATCATCACACATTCTCTACCACACTGTCAACCCTTTTCGTCTTCTTAGTTCTCGGTGAACTCGCCATGTCTTGCAACTTCCGCTTCAAAGATTTCTTATTCGTGCCTGCTTCATGCTCACATACCACACATCCTTCCGCGTTCAGCGGCTGCTCGCAACAAGACCACATGAATCCATCTTCGAACTCTGCATCTCTCACATGCTGTTCGCTCAATAGCAGATCTTCATCGAATTCGACGTTCAAATCTGTCCAGAAGTCGTATCGATGGTCGGGCTCTTGAGTTCCTGCCACAGCGCACACTTTAGCATGATGCGATATCTTGAACCACGAGGTAAGTCATTAACTGGATGTCTCCTACACTCCCCAATTGCAGTCACAGTAACATCGAAATCTTTATCGCAATATCTACATGTTTCCCAGCGTTTTCTTTTTGTTCCTGCGACAACCGAAAGCGGAGTGAGCAGTCGTTCGGTGGCGATTTTATGATTTTCATCGCTGATGCGAATGAGATGCGTCAATAGCTTGCGGAGTTGTGGAGAAGGGAAACTGGATATCGCGTCTTCGAGAGAGGAGGGTTTAACTGGGGAAGAAGATAGGATCGATGTCGATGAGGTAGAGGGTGAGGAGTTTTTGAGGCTTTGTGGTGATTTAGGCATTTACAATGAGAAGGACTGCAGTCGAGGAAGTGGCGATGAATGCGGCGGCAGCGCAATGTGCATATTGACTGTCGTCATATAGCCCATGTACAGGAGTGATGTTCGTCTCTCCATGCGATGTACTATTATTGTGAAGCTCTTCTGGGAGAAGAAGTTTATTTTGATGAGCAGTGCTGGGGTTCCTGATCCGGGCACTGTCACGACAGCGCCGACAAGGCTGTGGTGAGAGTACGCAAATCCTCGGTGCTGACTGTCGTCAGCATGCGAAGCAGGTCATTATAATGGCTGTTGGTGACGATCTTCGCCTTCTCTCTGGTCAGTTGAAGTAATGTCTGCCAGCGGAGCGAAGCAAAGCAGGGTAAAAATGCGCTTAAGTGTTGAATCGTTCTGTTCAATCGCTATTTGCGATAACTAGTTCCACGCGCGCAGTGCGCCACTATGATACAACCTCTACCTTCTTCGCGGGCAGGATCATGATATTCATTAAAACTCGTAAGATTCCGTCAACCTCTTAACCGAGGAGACCGCCGAGGAATCCACCCTTTGGTCCACTCTGGCCCTCAGCCTTGAAGCTGGCGCCTGGGAATTGATCGAACAGAGCGCTCTCGAAGTCGACGAGTTGTGGGCAAGCGAGCTTGTCGGAAATGGGTCCGAGCTGCTGAGCAGCCCAGTTGGCGACAGAGCCGATAGCACCGAGAGCTGGGTCGAGAGCGTCTGGAATGCCTTGTTGAGAAGCCTGCAAGAAGAAGCATGCGGCGTTGTTGCCCTCGAGAAGTGATTGGGCGTTGAGAGCGCCACCAGACAGGTCGGTAATATCGACACCAGTGAAGGAGTTGGTGGTGCCAGTGTTACCTCCGAAGCGGACAATACCTGGGTACATGGCGTTGTTTACGAAGACGTCTGCAACGACCTCGGGGATGTTGTACAGAGACGTAGAGGTGCGGCGGTACCAGTTATCTGGGATGCGCTCTTGGCCACGGTTGTGAACGAATGAGCCAGGCTCACCGGTGACGCCGAAAAACTGCTTCAAAACGTCACGGTTGAGTACGCCGTCTGGGTTCTCCGCAGAGCGGTTGCTCATGAAGTTGATGACGAAGTCGTGAGCGGCACTGGTCAGGCTATTAGTACTCGTTCGAAGAGCAGCGTGTGCTTGAGTGTAACTCACGGAGCCACGAGACCAGCGAATGGTGCAGAGAAGTAGTATGGGTTGTTCTGGATGGACCAGCGTGTGACGTAGTCAGACTGGCCAGCTACCATGTCCAACGTGTACTCCTCGCCCAAGCCGTAGAGGCGCTCCCAGCTGCGCATCTGGAAAACGCCGACGTTGCCGCCATTGAGGTAGGCATCACCACGGACAATGGAGGCATCGGACTCGTATTGGTTGTGTGTGCCGGCGATACCGGTGGCACGGCCTGCGTGACAATTAGCAACTGATGGTTTCTAAGATTTTTTTTTATTTCCTTACCCGTAAGCAATGGGACTGTTGGCCTGTATTCCCCACCAATACTCCAGGTGCCGGCGACAGGATCTCCGGCGATTGCTACAGACAAGACTGCCAGGAAGAGGGACAGATCTGGAGACATGCCGAAGGCCTCACCAAGACCGGTGATCGTATCAGCGATGCTCACGATGCCGGAGCGAGGAAGATACCTGGACAGTCACATGATGTTAGACAGCGTAAAGAACGAAGCCCACAGATCAACTTACGCATGGTTGGAAGCAGCGTTTAAACCGGGGCATTGTCCTCGAATTTGGCCTGCAGTTGGTGACTGAAATTCGTGGCCGGATCCGGGACGAGTATCGACGAATTGATCCTCCGCATCAAATACTGCTGCGCCTGCGGGGCTAGTATTTGGTCGTCCAGACAAGAAGAGTGGCTCTCGTGCAGGTGGCTCGGTCGACTGTTGTCGCTTCTCCATGTTGGAAGAAGCCTCCATAGCCCAAGGGTAGGCAGCTGCCATTGGCAGAGCCACGAGCAAAGCCTTACGAGAGTGAACCATGATTGCTGATTGACAGTAGAATTGGAGTGAAGTGGAGATAGTCGAGGAAAGATCTTCGATGGGTGTGTCTTGGAGTGTATACTTATACAAAGATGCTGCTTTGCCACCGGCAATGATGGCCGTGGCAGTAGACGCTACAATGCACTACTCCGATGGCGTTGATTAGTGATTAGGAAAAAGAGCCTTGCTAGTCACGACGACCATTTGTTACAGCGGAAAAGCACAGCGATTGCCGTGGCTGTAGCCTGTAGGAATCTCAAATGACAATTGCCTGCAACCCTATTGCTCGGCGACCATTAGACCAAGACAGTGTAGGGTAACGGTACTGCCGATCATCCTGTGAGAACGCTCAAATTGCCGTGAGGTTACTGTCAGGCGCTACTGTCACAATTCGGGTGATTCTTGAAGAAGGCATATGACCTATGCCTAGAGGTTGACAGAGCCTCCACCGTGGGATTCGCCGTGCGATGGGGAGAACGCCATCGACGCCGGGTTGTCATGCCAAGTTGTACATTCCGCAGTACGGCCAGCATCGTAGGTGGTGGAAGTCCAGCGACCATGACCTCTGAGGAGAGCATGAGCGGTCGCACGGGGTGCACTTGGCGAGGGGAAGTGGCGCCGATCGCACTTGGCATTGCAGATCATATGCGCGAGGCGTTCAAACTGTGGGGAAATAATGAGCAGACGCTGCATGTAGTTAGAAGAGGTACTGGCATTTGTGGGAAACGAGACCCTGGTATTTTCTCGGTATAGCCCCAATGTGGAAGCTCGCTCTATGGGAGGCTGAGCTTCAGCAGTTGCACTGGCTCGTTGCGTAGGACAAGCCTCACCACATATGCGAGACGGGATGGCGCTGGCGCCACTGATGTCCTCAGATCTGGGGGCTGCAGAAGGCGCAGATCTTCATCCTCAATAATCTGTAGCCGCAGTTTGACGAAAGTGGCATCCTCTTCGCACTCGCGTTGCTGCACCTCACAATGCTCTCATAGCCCAAGCATCGTTCGATCTGGGTGATCACGGCAAAGGTCAGAAAAGAAACGCCTTCTTTGATGAAGTGCTTCAAGGGTCCAACTTCAAATGCGCCCCATAACGCCTGTGGCTTCACTTTGCGCAACGCCTGCATGGAGCCATGAAGACCGCTGTTGAGAAGCCAAGCCGTTTAGGGCGGATGCCGAACTTCAGATTTGCACAGCATAGTGCGAACATCTGGCCGGTCTGGTCCAGCGGTCGGCCAGACGAATTTACTTCATGGAGACGCCAATCCAACCTTGATCATGGCATTTGTCGTCATGCTGCTGCTGAAGGAGCAATTGGAATGCGATGGAGCGCATCGCAGTACCTCGATATGTCGAGAGCCCTCGGCAGTCCTGCCGATGGTCAATTGGGCAAGCGCTGGCGGCGATTTCCACCTTGACGTCGATGGTCTAGGTCGTCCAGATACATCCAATACCGCCAACCACTATATTCCAATAGCAGATCGCAGGCTCACGCATCGCCACGGCTCTTCACCCAGCCTCGGAGCCAGTCGTAGCTTGAAGTCCAGCACTATCAGTAGCTTTGTGGCGACGCCTGGAGGCGCACCTTCAACAACGGCATTCTCGAAAACAATCGCCTCGTCTTTGGCATCGTTCACGGTGGTCGACTGGTCCAGAATGGTCGCACGGTACTGCGGCCAGCGGTCCGTTTCCAATTGCAGTAACTCCAGATACTCTTTGAGCGCCATTCGCCGTGGCTCTCTGTACGTTGGATGGGCAAATTCGATGACTAGCGTGCTGGCTAAGTATGACCAGGCCTTGTCGTACATGTCGAAGTTCTTTTCGTTCACAGCCGTGACGCTATTGCGAGCCAGATGCTCGAGATGGAGGACTATTTCCGCAGAGGAGAATTGCCGACTGTCCTTTCGAGGCGCCTTGCAGAGGGCGCAGTCCATTGCGGCAGCGATGAAGATGACAGCGGTTCAATCGCGGCGATTCCCAGAGCGCGCAGTCCATTACCTGAATGGCAGAGGCACGCTCCGAGGCGAAGATGAGGCGATTCCCAAGGAGTAGACATTGATGGCACGAAGGGAGGTTGCCATGCTTGAGTCGTCCCATGTCGGCCGCTCGGCAGAGTCTTGGCGTCAAGGTCTGGCCCACAAAGCGGGCCGAGGACTTGCTCTCTTCGACAGCAAAGTCAAAGCCACCAACGCCACCTCAACCACTCTGGCAGTGTTGCACCATCGCCAGCCGGATGTAACTCCAGGCTGATGCAGGTTCGTCACGACTACTGCGTGTGCTGGACGGGAAGATATGCCAGAGCAGAAGTCGGCCGGCACACATCGCTCGCGGAAATTCCAGAAATCACCCTCCTTTTCGAGAAAGACGGACGACTTCGCTGCTCGCAAGCGTGGCTGTGTGGTCAGATCCGACCAGGAACGTATGAGAGATTGGTAGCGATTGCTTCAAACATCTCTGTCCTCGCAAGGAAGGAGAGGCGTACGCTCCCAATTGGCTCAACAGGAAAACTGCAACACAGAGCTGCCTGAGACACGAAACATGCTTTCTGCCAGCGGCTCCGACGGCAGACCCTCGCAGAGACTGGCCCAGCCTGAATCAAAATCTAAAATTGATCATACCACAGACAGCAATGCTGCAGCGGGAAGAGCTGCGACTACCTCGGCTACAGTCGAAGATTCCCAGTCACTACCGTCTTCAGCTGAAGATACTCCTCGATGCCGTATTTGCTTCCTTCTCGACCCATTCCAGACGCCTTGACACCTCCAAAACTGGCAGATTATTAGCGATGCTCACTTGGACGATGAATTGAAGAACTTACGGAGCCGCAGCATCGGCGATGATACCAGTATTTATGGCCACCATGCCCGCCTGCAGCGCTTCTGCCACACGGTGTGCCCGTTCCTGATCTGTGGTCATGAAATACGACGCTAGCCCGACATCTACGTCGTTGGCATCAGCAATCACCTCTGCCTCATTTTCGAACCTGAAAATTGCAGCTACCGGACCGAATGTCTCTTCTCGTGCGACGAGCATCGTCTTGTTCGCATTCACCAGAACGGTCGGATGGAAGAAGTTTGGTCCATGCTTCAAAGTCTTACTGCGATCTCCGTTGTCGCCGATCACCACTCTGCCACCTTTGCTGACGGCATCTTGAACGTGGGAAAGTGATTTCGCTGCGGCAGCTCGATTGATCAACGGGCCGTGGGTGGTTGTTGGGTCAGCAGCATGGCCGACCTTGAACGCCGACACCGCTTCCACTAATTTCTCCACAAACTGGTCGTGTATTCCGGCTTGGACATACACGCGGTTTGGACATACGCAGGTCTGCCCAGAGACCTTGAACTTCGATGCGATCAAAGCTGTGACCGCAGTCTCCAGGTCTGCGTCATCGAACACGATGAAAGGTGCGTTACCGCCGAGCTCCAGGCTGAGCTTCTGAACATTCGATGCCGACTGCGCAAGTAAAATCTTGCCAACACGGGTAGAGCCTGTAAATGAGAGTTTTCTCACCCCAGGCGCTTCGCACAACACTTTGCCTACAGCCGGCGTGTTCTCCAGAGCGTGCACAATATTTATTGTTCCGGGAGGCAGGCCAGCCCGCTGTGCAAGCACCGCGAATGCGTTTGCCGTGAATGGCGTCTGTCCGTCGGGCTTGATAACTGCTGTGCAGCCGGCAGCTAGAGAAGCGCCGAGCTTTCTGGTCAACATAGCAGCAGGAAAATTCTGAACTATATCAGCCATTGCTTCAACCACGGTTGTGCCTTGCACACTTACCCATGGTGTGATCATTCCGCACACTCCAATCGGTTCTTTGATCACAGACACGCGATATGCCGGATTACTGTGTGGCACAACATCGCCGTGGATCCTGGCCGCTTCTTCAGAAAACCATTCGAGAAAACCTGCTGCCATGTTCACTTCTCCAGTCGCATCGGCTTGTGCTTTACCGTTCTCTCGACAAATGATCTTCACCAGGTCATCCCGGTTCTCGATGACAAGATCGAACCATTTGCGGAGTACACGGGACCGGTCTCGTCCACTGCGACGCCTCCACGACAAAAATGCCTTGGATGCGTGTGAGATGGCTTCTTTCACGTCTGGTTCAGATGATTCTGGGCATGACCCAATGGACTTGTCTGTTGCTGGATCTTGGACATCGAATCTCGCTTGACTTCTGGCTTCCACCCAGTTTCCGTTCACGAAGTTTTGTTCGACGATTAGAGACGCATCCGCCAGACCCCACGCGGCGACTGCTGCGCCCGTTGACCTCATCCTGATCAGCCTGGAAAAGGTCCGTTTCGATGCTGTAAAATTTCCGAGATCCCAGATTTCTCGGCAGTGACACTCGTCTTATCCCTCAGGCGTGGATCAAAGGCACGATCTCTAGCTGTTGTAAAACAATTTTTCCAGGGCAAGACTCGACGCAAAAGGACTATCCTCGAAGATTGCACGCATGCTACCTACTAAGCGGCTGATCTGACCTGGCAATATGTCCAGCCTTACCGCGTTGGAACGCATTCTGCCGGATAGAGCGCCAACACACGCATTGTGCCTCCAAATTCGTGTCTCCATCCCCTTGCGAGACCGGACGGGAGGCGCAAAAGCCCTCCACAATGTAAGTCACGTGACTTTCTCAACTTTCCGCGTGAGTTTGTTCCAGATTAGGAAAGTTATGACTGCTTGTTACACTTGGTCATTCTTATCCGTGCAAGGCTGGCACACCGACACCTGAGTGGAGAACATATGCCACGTGGCTGAGGGTGCTCTGCATGAACGATCGGCCGACTACGGCTCTCAGTCAATCCTTGGGTCTGGCCCGTCATGTCTCCGGACCAGATGCTCACGAGTTGGACTTCTAACTTGGCCAGTACGTGGCATCAACTACCTTGCACGGTCTAGGTCCAAACTCATTGAATGGCATGATCGTTCTCACGATTATGTAAAAATAACAAAAGGCTCAGCTGACCTCTTGCTCATCGCGATCCGGCGACAGCACATCGCGAGCGCATTGTCCCGGCATCTTCACAGAGCAGTTCCAGTCGGGAACGGCTGCACTGACATATCCAAACACTGGGAGCCAGCTGCTCGGCCAAAAACAGTCCACGCAGGTTAAGATTTGGTCCGAATCTGCACATCGCCAAGATAGTCGTACGCTCTGCTCGGGCAAGCCATCAATGTTCGCCCGTTCCGTGTAGACATTGTCCCTAGTGGGCAGCCGAGACGAGGCACTGTTGGGTCATTGCATCGCCTTGATGAAGCCGACACTCACCGCGGCATCATCGGTAAGTCCTCGTTGTAGGAGAGTGATCACGGTGATGGCAGAATGACTGGTCTAGAACGACGGTGAAAGGATCTTGATACTGGAATGGTAGCTTGTGTCCCGAGGGATGACAACAAGCCGTCCAGGCTTGCGGGACCGGACCACGTGAGTCCTCCCCAGTGGTGCCATACGACACGATGAACTCACTTAGCAGATGCGAAAGGAGACATATATTGCTTCAGCATCCAAGAGATTGAGCAAGACATTCATCTCTTGCTACAGAATTGACTGTTTGTTCTTCTAGCCCTCGCTATAGTGTCTTGCATTACTTTGATTCTCCTTGAGCAAGATGCCACACAGAGTATCGATAGATGCCGCTGAGGCCCACATCTTGCCTACAAAGCACAGAAAGGACATCAATCTTCCACAGCAAATGATTGACGAAGCACGACAGCCTCAAAGGATCCCATTCAGTGCCGAGAAGCATCTCAGGTTCCAGGAACCAGAGAAAATTCACACTACTCAGGAGCTCGGTCTTGGCAAGGTCGGCATATCAGACCATGCTGTCACAGAGCCTTTCTCTATCTTCACCCCTGAAGCAATCCAGCAAATACGAGCCGAGATATTCAGTGATGAGGTGTTGAATCAACACTATTGTCCCACCAGTCCTACGAGCGGACAGATCAGGGGGCATTGTCCAACGTGAGTCAGCTCGGTGTATCTCTCCAGACCAATTCCCTGATCGAATTCCAGTGCCGCTCCTTTCACATATGCAGCATGGACGAGTCCAGAAGTTGTTGCTTGGGTCTCCAAGATGGCAGGAGTGGAACTTGTACCAGCTATCGACTACGATATCGGACACGTCAACATCGCACTACCGAAGCCTGACGGCGTGGAAGAGAAAATTGTCGCCCCTGGCGAACAGAAAGAAGGCGAAGTGAGCGAATACTGCGAATCAGCTTTCGGGTGGCACACGGATAGCTACGCTTTCGTCTGTGTAGCCATGCTGTCAGATTGCACCGGCATGGTCGGCGGGGAGACTTTTATTCGTACCGGAACTGGAGAGGTGATGAAAGCGAGAGGTCCTCAACTGGTAAGTCGCACATCGCTCACAATATGCAGACTTCGCAGTGAAGAACTAACATGATGTCCAGGGCACAGCAGTCGTAATGCAAGGCGCCTACCTCCCCCACCAAGCCACAGCCGCAAGAGGAAATCACGAACGTATCAGCATGGTCACTTCCTGGCGTCCGAAATGTCCTCTGATGAAAGATCATACCATGATGCGAGGGACAAAAAACATCTCACATCTTCCTATGCTATACCATCAATATGCTGAGTATCGTATGGAGAATTTGGAGGAGCGAGTTCGTCGAGAGGCAAGGAGCTTGCGGAAGAGAAGGGCGCTTGAGCCGGAGAAGTTTGATGTTGTGAGGATGAGGACGTGGTTGGAAGAGCAGAGGGATTATATTGATGATATGTTGAGGGAGTTGCAGGTTGATAGGAGGGTTTTAGGAAGTGAGTTGAGGCGAGATTCGGGAGTTGTTGAGGATTTGTGAAATCTTTCGAATGAACAGGTTATGGTTTTGAAACTTAGCGCAGAGAGTGTGTGTTCTTGTGGAATGTGATAAGATGTGAATGCTGCAATGTCTCCAAAGTCATGCTCTCATCTCTCACAGCCAAGATTGACATAGGTAGCCGGGGCAGAGTTTGACGTGTTTGGCAGAAGAAAAATCGCTCAGACTCAGGTACAGATGAGACTAAGCTCGAACGCGAGTGCGGTCACAGGAACTTGGCGATGTAAGAAGCAGCAGTGAAATTAGAATAGGGTGCTCAGGTAGGAGCACATCAGGATACCAACATCAGGCGGCTTACAACTTCGCCTTCATAGTACCATTCCTAAACTCAGTCGCAGAAGCCGGCAAAGCACCAACAACATCGAACTCCACACTCCCAAATCCCTCAAACACCCCATTCCAACGCCCAGCCTCCCACATCGGAACCGCTTGCAAGCAACTCCCAGGCAGAACAACATGCCCAGCCTCCAAAGTAACATCAAACTCCGCCAAACGATTCACAAGCCACGCGACAGCTGCTAGAGGATTTCCCAAAACATTCGACGTATTCCCTCGAATCACTTCCAGTCCATTAAAATACAACACTCCTTTCGTGTCAGCTAACACCAATCCTTCCAACCTCCTCGGCGTCCCACCAAGTATCACCGCCCCCGTAGAACCATTATCCGCCAACGTATCCGGAAGTCCAATTTCCCAATCCCTCACCCTCGAATCAATAATCTCGATGGCAGGAAGACAATACTCCACAGCACTGATGACATCTGCAACAGTAACATTCGGACCTCGCAATGACTTCTTCAATATGAAAGCCGGTTCGAGCTCAACGTAAGGTTTGATGAAATTTTTCAGGTCGATGGAAGTTCCTTCGTAGATGAAAGTGCTGCCGAGTAAGGAGCCATAATCGGGCTGATCGAGGCCGAAAGCATCTTGCATGACTTTTGCGATGTTGCCGAGTTTCCAGCCTACGAGGCGATCACCGTTTGAGAGGGCGTCGTGTAGAGTGATTTGTTGGATGCGCAAAGCATCGTCGGGTGTTAGTTGCGGCCAGGTTTTGGTCGGTGGTTGTATAGGTCTTGAGGTTTGACGAGCATCATGGAGGGTTTTTGCGATGGTATGGAGATCGCTTTCGTGCATTCTGTTGTGGGCTGTGCTGTTATGCGTCGTATTCGGAACTGAGTGTGGCATATACTCGACGATATCTTGGGTCCTAGACCGCGATTTCCGCGTACTAGGTTGACAAGCTTTTCTTCACTGTGCGGCGTATTCTCAGCCTGATCGTTCATCATCGAACACGCCGACGTTCTCGCGGCCCTTCATTAACTTCTCTAAACAGCATCAAGACTGGCGGGAGAACCTGCCGAATTAGGCAATATGGGTGTCGAGTCACGCCAAGACAGTGCATCAAGCCGATGCGATGACACGATGGTCTCGGACTCTCGTGAGACAGGAAAGCGAGCCTGGAAATCCACAAAAGTTCCTCAATGATCGAAAAGGCAAGTATGATAATGCTTGTTGTCGAAGGAAAGGCGAGCGCATGTTCTTCCTGGTTACGGTATTTTCAGAGCACAGCAAACACCAAGCTTGTCGATGCATGGCGAACCATATTCAGTTTCCCGGCGGACTCCTCCTGAGACTGGGCGGGAAATGCTTCTCTTGCGGCACACCCCACGTACGCAGCGCATAGTCCAGATGGAACATTAACCTCAGCAGCAGTTTGGGCTGCTTGCGCACCATGGTGTTCCAATCTAACCTCCTCACCGGATTCTGTCGACTGTCGTCTGAATTATGATCGCGGTTCGAAGGTCCATCATCCCCACTGCTACTCTTTCGCCAAGTGTTCATGCTCGTCGTAAGATCCTCGTTTTGTTGTGCATAAGATATTACGTTGTTCAGCACATCGATCAAGAATTCCGATCCGTCGTATCTGCCTTGCTGAGATTTCAGCGTCCGTGTGAAAATGTCGAGATGACGTGCTTCGTTCGATTCTGTTCGTAGGCCACGAGATGCTGTGACATTGATTGCCTGTCTTTGATTAGAGTCATGCTGGCTCCTGGGGAGCACTCGTACTGATTGTGCAGAATAGCTTACCTGGAGAATCAATGGCGGCGCGAGGAAAGGGATCGCAGTGATGGGCAGATCCTTCATCACTCTCAGCTGGACCATTTCTTGGAATCGTCGCCCGAGATCGGTGTTGGCGATTTGTAGCTCCCTGTGCGAGTCCTCTATTTGAAGGAGTGCATGGCTTCCTGGAAGACTGTCGTGTATCAATATCAGATGCATGTGAAGTGCGAACTTTATCGATGCATGGTATATGAAAAGCATGTTGACATAAATGCACAGTGTCTCGTGCACGTCATCGAGACTCACGGGGAAAGGAAATTTCTCAATGGTATCGTCGTGCCAAATCCGAAGCGATACCAGATGGGCCTTGATGGCCGTGATAGTAGCGGGAAGATCAATTGACGCTGGCTGTAGACGTCCGTCGAGCATATTGTACTGGTATAAGAGCTTCAAAGGACCCAAGAGCCGACTTATAAGTCGGCAAAGCGCGCTGAGCACTTCAATATTCTTCAATTGAGTCTCGGTGTCGTAGATAGGAGACTGACCCAGCTCAGACTCAAAGTCACCAGCATTCAAAACACTATTGTCGTTCAACCAGACCGAGTCGTCCTCGAGGTGTACTTGCAGGCTGCGACGAAAGCCGAACGAGAGTATCCGGTCGCGAAAGAGTACACCCCACCAGATGCGCTTCAGCAACACAGCTGTCGGGCGGTCATCCTCTATGCGGCGATGGAATGAGTCGGCGCCGGCGAGCTTGGCAAAACGATGAGCATGAATGAGCCAGCCCACATTGATCTGCAGCCTACTGAGACTCGGCGACATGTACGATAGAAGGAGGCATGCCTGCGCATTTGCAACAGGATCCATCTCAATGCCAAAGTCGAACGCTAGTTTGGCCTGGCGGTAGTAGAAATTTCTGGCCTGACGTTGTCCGTTGAATCCTAAGCTTGCCAACGTACTGTTGTCGACGTAGCAGCTCGCTGCAAAGAGCATTGCCCGCAAGACTAAGAGTGACTGATGAGCCAAGTCAAAGGTATCTCCATCCCAGCGTACCCAGAAGCTGTTTTCCATAACGATTGGGAGGTTGGGATGCACCATGCGAAAATACTGCCTCATGATTTGCTTCAATATCGCTGGCGGGGGCAGGTCAAAGCATCCCTGACTTCGTAAAAATTCTGCATCGGCGTGACAAAGGCCAGCTGCATCAACCGAAACGTCGAATGTACCACTTGCATGTGAGCCAGTATCGATGAGAGGAGGAACGACGGGTTGTCTTGCAGGGAAGACAGAACTGTCGTTGGTAAATGCGAAGATATCGCCAAGATCAGTCAAATGACTGGAGTCAAGAAGCGTGTGGAACTGGATATCGGACTCGGTCAACAATGTTGAGGAAGGGGTGTTGTCCCATGCCCATCCGTCTTGCCATTGTTGACCAGAAGCCATTTCAGCGACGGAGTGGAACGTTTCCGGCGCGGGGCCATGTTTCAGCGAGGCCCCGTCAGGGCTGGTGTTGGCATCGTGCCCAGCTCGTGGGCTCTTTGGTGAAGGTGAGGGTGTAGGCACTTTTCTCTGATTCTTGCGCCGACGAACGGCACACGCAGTGTGGTCGATTGTACAGCTCGAGCAAGGAACGCCCACCACAGCGACGTTGCACCGAATTTTGCGGGAATGGCAACGTTCGCAGACTTTTCGAGACCTTCGCTGGGTGGTCCGCCGTGGTCCCGAACTTTTCGGTGAAGGGCTGCTTTCCTGCATCATTGCCACGGGCTCCTCCTCAGCTGGCAGCATTGAGACGAAAGAAGCGAGATAGGCAGACTGCTGCTGTGTCGGGGGCAAACAGCGCTTGCCATGGAACTTTCCTCATCATCATCAACGCTCAGAACGAGGGGCGACCTCCTGGTCCCTCACCCGCCCCAGGCACAGAGGGCACATGGCAGCAGCAAGGTAGCTACACTGTGGAGAATTGTCGACCGCGGGACTAGCCTACCAACTCGAAGGCCTGCAGCGAGCGCCACAAGATCTTAGAAGCACGCGACTAGCGGTAAATTCGGTAGAGTCGCTTATATCGCTAATCCTCAAGAAGGAAGCGGGGTTACCTCCGCACATACGCAGAAAGCTGTTGATCATGCAAATATGCTTCCTGTTGGATTGGACTTCTCCGCTAACAAATAGTTTTCCTCTGGCGATCGTTAGTGCTCCTCCAAATGCACTTTTGTGTTCGATCTCGAAAATGTCTCCGTCGTGAGGTCTCCGCGAATGCTCAAGCGTGCGACCACTAGACTCTGTTGCGCTTCGAGCTCAAACTGCTTGTCCAATGAGTGTTGCTCTTCACGAGCCTTCATCCGAGAAACACAGTCCTTCGCGCGTGGCTGTCTTTCCTCGCAGCGAGTGAAGGGCCGATAATATTCGCCGGCCACACTGCAGTGATGAAAGACGGAGACCACACCAAGTGTTGCGCCCCGGCATTTTTAATTCAGTCGGGTTGTTCCCGTTCGCTCATCTCTTCGCGCTGAACGATGTTCTGCATCTCCCTGGGGTCATTCACTTCCCACCATCGATACAAAGGCTCAGGTCTTCTCGGCTCCGCAGTTCGACAGCCACCAAGGTACCAGCGGAGTCGTGACAGCCAAAGCGGTATCACCTCGAGAACCTGGTACTGCCAGAACCCTTTGGCAGGCACCTCGAATATCTTGTAGAGTTCTTCAAGAGCGAGGGCTGTCATATTGCCAGGATTGTCGCGATCAGCCGCTCCGACAGTCTCGCGCACAAAGCAGAAAACCAGCACGAACGCAACCAGGTTGAGGAATGTGAAGATTCCAAGCAGTCCGCCATGGCTGAGGGACGACGCAGTTATCGCCGGCACGAAGAGTGTTAGCAGTCCAGCTCCGAGCAAATTTGTGAAGACTGCGAACGACATCCCAGCGACGCGATGGTCTAGCGGAAAGACTTCTGCGCTGATTGTAAAAGGAACAGGTCCCATGCCCTATAAAGTAGTCAGTCGAATGCAGCAAGACATCTGCCCCACGATTTCGCAGTCTGAAGATGCTTCTGAGCAACCACTTACCCAGCTGTAGATCGCAATGAAGATATACGAGAAGACTGCCAAAGCTTCATCATGCGAACCTCCAATGTAGCTCAGTGCCGCAGCGCCCATAAAGCCGAGCAGAAACGGCAAGGTTGTGGTAAGTAGCCAGCGTCTGCCTTTCTGGTCGATCAGCCAGTAAGCTGGAAAGGCAAAGAGGAAGTTGACAAGGCCTATGCCCCAACTCATCATCAGTGGGCGCACAAGATCGCGAGAGTCAACGTCCTCGCACAGGACTCCGCTCGTTGTCGCGAATATTGTCGATGAGTAGAAGATCAGAACATTCACGCCGCACAGCTGTTGCGCTACCATGGCAACAACGGCCGTCAGTGTAGCATTGCGGATGCGAGGTATCGTGAATAGCTGTCCGAACTTCTGGAAGAGATTGGGACTCTGCGTTCGAGCGACGATGTGATCGACTCGCCCAACGTCGTCGTCTCTTTCGTCGTCGGAGTCCACAGGCCTGTCATGGTCATTGCTGTCGACATGCCTTGCGATGATCAATTCAACGTTCTGCTGATAGTGCGTGTAGAGTAATTCTTTCGCCGCCAGGACGCGTGAGCCGCGCAGTCGACTGAGCGTCTCGTAGGCTTCGGGATAGTAGTCTTTTCCCTTTCCCATCAGGAAACGAGGCGATTCTGGGCAGGCAATGACAGCCAGTGCAAGAAGGATGATGGTCGGGAAAGCGGAGGACGCTGTCATCCAGCGCCACGACGTGGTCCCTGCTGTTATCAGTCGCTCTTTCCGTCACCACGACTTCCACGCGTACTTACCCAACGGCGCGACCATCAAGTTCGCACTAAATCCGAGAAAGATGCCTGCACAATGCATCAGAACACGTTCGCCTCGAAACACGACGTGGATGCTCACCGAACGCGTCGAACAGCTGCCAGTTCATGACCAGCGATCCTCGAATGCGAGCTGGCGCGACCTCAGCTGCGAAAACGGCGACCACAGACGCTTTGCAGCCCATGCCGATACCAAGAATGATCCGACAGGCAAGAAACTGCTGCCATGTCTTCACCAGTGCGCCACCGACAGAGGCGGCAAGAATGAAAACCGCGGAGATGATGATTGCAGCTCTGCGTCCGAACAGAAGTTCGTTGGCGGGATCAGACAAGAGAAGGGCAAAGATGGCGGCGGAGAACCACGGCGCTGCGTTCACAATCGCAAACAGCCACGCTTGGTCACCTTGCGCTTCGCAAGAAGAACGTGTCGGGTTCAGCAAATCGACTGGCCATGTGAGATTGGCGCCATTGCTGCCAGTTTGATTCCCTGCCAAGATCAGCATTTTACTCCACTGTCACAGAAGTCATGCTACCCACAGCCCTGGACGATGGCTCCAATGCACAGGATGATGATCGTTGTCCTCAGTTCCTTCGGCTGGTGCCAGAAACCGGACTTTCTGGGTGGCTCATCAGCGCGCTTTTTCAGATGCGCGGGATGTTTCCTCCAGAATTCAAGGGTCCACGGAGCTTTGCTGTCGACGTGATCAATTGCCTCTTGCTCTTCACGTTGAAGATCAGCTCGCTCGACTGGCGTGAGTCCTGCAACCCCATTGGCATCAATCTGCTCGACTGCACGCCAAGTTCTGGGATTTCGGAGGACGCGCGCTGCTTTGACGAATGTCGTACGCCACACCTGCAACCCATATTCTTCAACAAGTCGGTCTGCGCGTCCGTCCACCTGCTTGTCGCTCAAGTCCTCGAAAGGATGATCAATTCTAGCCAGAAGTGTCAGCAAGCCAACTCGTTCTGCTCAACACAGCAGTTACCTGTGGGTATTGCGGCCAGCCATGGCGGCATAGATCAGCTAGCATTTATTCGAGCGTGCTCATCAGTCAATGGCGAGCATAAAGTCTACCACAGATGTTGCTACACGAAATCTGCCCACAGGCATCTGTGTGCACGGGCAGCGACTTTTCATCGCCCATGCTTTGTGAGGCTGAGGCGAGGTGCAGATCGTGTTACACTCGCACGAGGTCACTTATTGCTCCCATGCACAGCTTGGGGTTGCAGGGCGGCCTCCTCGGTTACACTGCTGATCACCTGAATTTGGCTGCCAGTCCAGCCAAGAGCTTGTGAGGATCGATGCAGACTGATGTATGTTCGTACTTCACTCGACGTTGGATAAAGACCAGAAGGGTAAACTGCGCCTTGGGCCCAGCGCATGGAAGACGACTAGAGACCATCTCGACCTATGATCGGGGTTAGTGGCGACCAGAACGCGCTATGCTAGGCGGAAGGATGACTGGAGTGCGTCGAGTACAGCCTCAACGCCATCAGAGTCACTGAGACGAAGGATGCTTTGCTCCGACCGGTCAGCGTGAAAGATCGGGACCGATTCTCACGTCACGCGTGTGCTCTTGATCTGCAAATCCGGACGTTGGCGGTTGGCCAAGCAGCTCAGCTCGTCCACGCTGCAAGCCTACAAACAGGAAACAAAGCTTTGTGGAGGCGGAGTCGTTCCCCCACCCAGTCGCCCTCCTGCATGCACTCAAGATGCCGCAATCCCCAGATCCTTCAGAAGCCAAGCAGGCGTGTGTGTCGTAGAGAACTTGTCCTCGCAGTCTGATTTTCGATGTGAGGCGCGCGGCGTGCGTGGCGACCGCATCTCCGGTTTTTGCCTGGCCGTTCGCCCTCTCCAGTCACCGCACATGATGGAGACATTGCAGGCTCCAATCTCTTATTCGAAAGCAACGTGCTTCGACAATGTGTCCCGCGCCTCTCAAACCTACTCTCAGCCTTCTTTCGACCGCAGTCCGTAGATCAAATGGCGGACATCGCTGGGGCACTGCAGACCGCAGACGCCGTGGCCGGCCTCACCACCGCCGTAATTCGACTGTATCACTACTGCCAGCAGCTTCGGAAGGCGCATGAGCTAGCACAACTCGTGCTGGAAAAGATCGAAGGTCTGCAGGAAGTACTTGAGGCCGTGGAGCGCATTTGCCGGCGAAGAAAAGGCGGCTCCCCCCGAGAAAGCAACGAGCAGACAGCAAAGGAGTTGCGCGCTATCCGACAGGCAAGTGAAAGATGTCGAAGTGTGGTGCTGCGTGTGAGGGAAAAGCTGGGCGTGTTCGACAACACTGGTTCTGAGACGCGGCCCACTCTGTCGGATCGCCGAAACTTTGTCAGCGCTCAGACTGCCATCCAAGCAGCTCTGGAGAATCTCACTGCCCACAAGCATACTCTGAGTCTGTGGCTAAACGTCCTCCGACTGTAAGTCTCCTGTCGACAGTCTCCAAGGTTTTGTTCATGGCGTTGGCTGATACGCGCTGCAGAAACGACGAGCAGTCCAATGCACAGAGAAGCACGACTTTCAATGAGCTCCGAACCCGGCTACCAGAGAACGTGACAATCGAGGTCAAACTAAAGAGTCTATTGGAACAACGCTCGACAGCATCAGCGCGGCAGTCTGTTGCCGACTCTGCCTCTCGTGACGCGACGCGGCCAACAGATTCCGATGCCGTGCCCAACCCATCTCCTCCCGTGCTGGAGCCAGACGATGATGAAGCTGAAAGCCGTTCCACTCAAGAGGCGTTGGACGACCTGAAATCGGTGCGTGATACGGCCAGGAAACTGCTTGCCAAGAGAAGAACTGTCCGCGATGTGCTGCCAGGCCAGGACAAAGATGCTCTCACGCACCATTTGCAGCGCTATTACGCACGCGGGAAAGAGCACTTGAAAGCTTCGCAACATGCAGAAGCCGAAAGCGACTTCAGCATGGCTCTGGCATATTCCGAGAAGCGATGCGACAAGTATCAGATCCCTTTCCATGACCGCGAAGTGCTGCTTGAGCATCTAGCCCAAGCCTACAAAGGTCTCAAGCAGTGGGACGCTGCCATCGACATTGTAGAGAATGAGATCCTGCATGTGAAGGATGGCGAGACTCATGCAGAGCGCTTGCCGCCATCACGATCTGTCGCGCGACAGCACGAACTTCTGGGAGCATTGTACCTGGAGAGATACTACGAGGCCAGCGTCGACTCCGACTACACTGATGCCCATGAACACACCCAACAGGCATATCAGATCTGGAAAGACATCGAGACTGAAGCCACCACATTGTCGGAAGATGACTTCAAATGCTTTCGTGGGTGTCTATTGCAGCTGATCAACATGCTTCGCAGTAAAGGTCTCACTATCGAAGCCGAACACTACGAGGGCGTGCTCGCAAACAAGGTGACGGGTTCGCACACCTCTTTCCACCCAGTAACAACGTTCACAAGCTCTTCAGACTCCGCTAGTGTCTTCTCTGCAGATTCAAGCATTCTCCGCCGGATCAGTACCGGCCACATCACGTTTGTGGGCGCCTTTGAAGAGGCCGTGAAATGCAAGAACGACAGTCAATTGCAGTTGCTGCACGACTCTCCTCACTTTGACTGGCCCGCACATGTCAATGAGCGAGACAGCAGACACGAGACTGCTCTTCACTACGCTGTCCAGCGAGGAAATCCGGCCACGGTGAAATTCTTGTTGGGCCACAGTGCCGACATCGACGCTATGGACGACCAAAACAGAACCCCGTTGTTCAAAGCTGTGCACAGGCAGCGTCTCGAGATCGTTGAAGTTCTACTGCAGTGGGAGAAGAGTAAGGTCAACACCCGGACTATCCATGATGGTGCCACGCTTCTCCATGAAGCAGTCAAGAGCAACAAGACGGACTGCGCCAAGATGTTATTGCAGGCTGATCCACAATTGGTCAATCTGCAGAGCCGATCAGGACAGACAGCACTGCATGTTTGTGCCGAGAGAGGCCGCGTGGAGCATGTCCGCTTGTTGATCGATTCCGCAGCTGATCTGAACGTAGCAGACTCGGCAAATCGTACGTCTTTGCACTTGGCGTTGTCTGTCGATGACCCAGCACATGAGTTGATCTTCCTGTTATTGCATGCTGCAGGTGCGAGCACAGGACTGGGAAAGCTCACGAGCAGTGAGAAGGAGCGGCAGAACCGGTATCTGGACCAACGACGTACTGCTGCAAGACGACAAAACTCTGTCGGATCCATGTCGCAATCACCTGCTGAAGACGAACCGAGGACAAATGTCTTGAAGGGGAGAGGCGAGAGGCGCAGGACTTGGAGATCATTTCTGTCGCATTGAAAAGCTTGGACCCAAGGACGTGAACATGGATGACGCTACGTTCTGGCTGCTTTTTCGTTTGTAAGCGGCGTCTGATGGGCTCCACATATCATGCACTCTCGTCTGCGCGAAGAGATGCCGCGACTGATGGCCCGCAGGCAAGCTATTGCGGACGGCCAAACGGGAGTTCGAAAATGCCAACACTTTGTGATCTCTCTTCGCCACCTTGATCGCACGCCTCCTGCGCCTTTCTAAAAAGAATGCTTCAGCTATACCGCCGGAGACAGAGATAAGAGGATCACAACAGCAATCGAAGGCCGGGCAGATACACGGTGTTGATCCTAGCTTCTGTTTTGCTTTCTCGCGGTGGCCAACGCTATCTAGCTCTCGACGTGGTCGGTATCCTCACGATAGGTATGGAATATGCTGCCGACAACGAATCACAAGAAGTGTTACATGCTATCGTTCGTCACCACTTGGCGCGAAGACCGCAGGGGACGAGCTATCCTGCCCTACACAGCTGGCCCGGCCCACGCCATCGGTTCCGGTTAATGCCCATGCAGCAGACATGCAGTAGCGCAGACTTACCAACATCGGCATTGGACATACTCACAAGCTAGTGGGGAGCTGCTCCATTGCCATACAAATGCCGTTTAGTGACAAGACTAGGCATGCACACTGGCATCCGCGGACCAGAACTATCAGCGTGATGAGTTGGCAACGTTAGCGAGAGGCACAGTACCGAATGACAATTAGCCAGTGCGCAGAGCGATATATGATCAGAAAAGCTAAAGAATCCAACGAGCATCGAACCATCTATCGGACATGGCACTTACTCAATACTTGCCTCTGGCGGCAGCCGCCTTCTACGTCTGTTACCAGATCTACATCCTCCTCACAGACCCACTCAGAGATATTCCGGGGCCCCCACTAGCGCGGATCACCTCACTTCAGACCTTCTATCATTTCTATCGCAACAACTGGCAAGAAGATATCAGAGTACTGCACAACAAATATGGTCCCATTGTTCGAATTGCTCCGGGACATTACAGCTTCGCAACACCAGAAGCGATTAAGCCAATACATGGATGGAATGGAGGATTTGACAAGTCATCGTTCTATGAACCCTGGAGCCCGCCGGGTACGACAAGTCTGTTCAAAGAGCGGTCGAATAAGTTCCATGGCGATCTGAGGAAAAGATTCAGCGCCATGTATAGCATGAGCTCTGTCTTCGCCTACGAAAAGGGCGTGGCGGAATGTGTGGAGTTGCTCACGAAGAGATTGGAACGAAGTGCTGGTGGAACAGTCGATCTTGCCTGGGAGATCACATGCATGGCATTTGACTCAATTGGCATTGTGACCTATGGCAAGAGATTTGGCTTCTTGGATCAAGGCGAAGACATTGGAAACCTTTCCAAGTCCGTCTACGCCGCTTTTACATACGGAGGACTAATGGGCTTCTATCCGGACTTCCACGCACCCTTCATCGCAGCCAAACGCTTCATCGCAAGGCAGCTGAGCTCAAAGGGTACTGGCAAGATGTACCTCGACAACTTCACCTCCGATACCACAGTCCAACGCCGCAAAGACCGAGCAGAAGACCCTTCCCTCGTGGAACGCCATCCCGACATCCCCACCAGCATCCTCGACAAATTCCTCGACGCTAACGAACGAGACCCCGTCTACTTCAGCGACGCTCACATCACCATGGGTCTCGGCGCCAACGTCACTGCCGGCTCCGACACAACCAGCACAACTCTCACTCAAGCCTTCTACTACCTGCACCGCAACCCTCACACTCTCGCCAAACTCCGCTCCGAACTCGCTTCCACTGGCGTCCCCGCCAAAGACCTCAGCTTCCGCACTGCACAATCTCTCCCATACCTCAACGCCATCATCGACGAAACTCTCCGCCTCTTCCCGCAAACAGGCTTCGGTCTCCCGCGCGTTGTACCTCAAGGTGGAGCCACAATCTGCAATCGCCATTTCCCCTCTGGAGCAACAGTTAGTATGAACGCCTGGGCAATGCACTACGACGCAGCTTTCTTCTCCGAGCCAGAGAAATTTATTCCAGAACGCTGGTTAGATGCGGATAAACCTACGAAGGCGAAAATGCAAGAAGCCTATTTTCCTTTTGGATTGGGAAGTCGGACATGTATTGGGAGGAATATTGCGAGTTTGGTGATTTTGAAGGCGCTGCCGCAGTTGGTGGAGAGGTTTGATGTGGAGTTTAAGGGAGATGTGGAGGAGAAGGGGTTGCCGGTGCAGAATATTTTCCTGGTGAGGGCGACGGAATTTCCGGCTGTGGTTAGTGTTAGGTGAGGTGAGGTGAGAGTAATGAGAAGGAGGTCACTGGGGTGAGATTGGTTGGAGGTGAGGGTGTGGTGTGGAGAATGGTATATTCTTTGGAGATTTGTGTTACATTGAGCCTCGTTCGGTCAGTGCGCAACCACTGATTTCTTTGACTTCCATTCGTGTTCAGCGGTCTTGGGTCGTCCATCAGCTTCTTTCTCTTCATCGCGTACGATCTTCGAGAATCGAACCACCTTTATTCCATTCACCATAACTCATGCCGGAGCTCGGCAATTACACCTGCAGATTCCTTGTCGTGCTGCACAACCTGGGACGGGCAAGAAGACGCCGTTCACACCTTGACAGCATCGAACAGACTGAGACGGTTCAGTAGATTCGCAAGCGCGTTGACAGAATGCTTGTCCGTTTTGTCCAGAGGGTGGTGTGAAGCACCCGTTCGCGACCCAAGCGTTATCATTCGAGCATTGTCGCTTGTCGAGAGTAGCTTCTGCGTCGGCGACTGGCGAGGCTGTGACGAGTGTTGCTGCTGCGAGCAGTATGGCGTGGAGGAGGTTCATCGTGTTGAAGGGAGTTGTTTGGTGCTTGCTGTAATTGTGTTGTATGTGGTTTCCCGAGGTTAGTGACCTACGAGATTTGTGTTGCTCGAGCGGGCGACCCTGTCCCGCATCATATATACCCACTACCATTCGAACAGATACACCGCGTGGCTGAGAATAAGGTGTCGTCCCTTCGAAGCAAAAGCAACGCGCGGCTCAGAAAGGTAGGTGTCAAGCAGATCAGCAAGCTGTGAGTATTGGCATAGCCAATGAGGAAACCGAGTTAGCGAGACACTTGTTAGTCGCAGTTCTAGCTCGTGAAAGAGGCGTTTCATAGACCATTTGGACGTGTGCGGGCAACTGCATTACTTGAATCTCTTATCTTATCAGATCTGATCGGTCCTAAATTCACTTGAACGTTTGTTCGATGGCAACGCAGTTCGAGCGGCTTGGCGTGGAGCAGAAGGATTTTAGAATTGTCCGGGCGTTTGGGTTGCCTTTCGAAGCTTGCTTGTGCAGGCTGACTGTGCTGTTGACAAGCTCGACAGCAACACAGTCTCGAGCGCGGACGTTGGCAATACGTCTTCAGCTAGTGCTCTTTTGCCTGCTCGAGGCTTGCAATCACCCTAACGTACGAAGACGATTGAGATCATCGGAGCAAGACTGGGACCGAGCAGAGAATGGTGCGCGACGTACGACCCAAATGCAGGCCAGCCAGAGAGGGTGCACGTACTAGGTGGTCAACTGGGTGTTGTCTCGACCACTGGTTGTGCGCACCCAATACTGCAAAGCGCATCACTTCTTGACCGCCTTCAGCGCTCGTAGTGCGTCCGAAGCCGATTTGTTGCGCCACTCGTTCGAATAGCCGCTCCACAACGACCAATCGCTAATGGACAAGGAGCCAGGAGAACATAGGTGCGTGGCGTCCCAGATGTTACCCATAGTCACGCCCTCTAGACCACCATCCACCTTGATCTTGCTCGCACCAACGTTGACCGTTACAGCTCGCACCGGTGGCTGAGTCAGAAGCTGCCGCCTCCAAGATGCCTCTGGTCTGGCTATTGCTCGACTCGGCTGCCTCTCAAGTAGGAGCAAAGGGCCCACAAGAAGATGTTCATGAATTGCGAAGGGGCAGTGGCTACCTTGCGAGGAGACCCAGCTGCCATCGCGGTGCTCGCTAGGCGATCCAACGAAGTGAAGGGGGCCTAGGTTGCCTATGGGTCGGAAGAACAGAGCCTGCTGGATTGGAGTTGAGGCGGTGACTATGTCCCTCCACTTGCGGCAGACGCGCTGAACGTTGACAAGAAGCTGCTGGGGTGGCACTTCGAGGAGGATGGCTTCGGCCAATTCCAAGATGCCAAAGAGGGCGTCGAAAGCAGAGTTGTTGTGCTGGATCCTGTTAGCCTGGGCATTTCCAAGGCGTTGCTGCCATACCTGTAAGGCCACCATTTCGAAGCGAAAGTGAAAGAGCTGGGAGGTGGTGGCGCCGAACTGCACATACACTCCAGAATGAAACCTGCGATGAGATTAAGTAACGTGAAAGATGCCAGTTGAGCGACTAAACATTGTCTGTTCAACTCTGTCCTTATTCACCCGGGCATCCCGAACGAGCGACTTTCATGAGACAACATGGTATGGGTAGTGCCGCCAGATAGCGCCCTAGGGTTGCGTAGAAACTGCAACAATCAGTGTGCTCTACTAATCAGGATTGGTGTCGCCGCTATGAGGCAACTGTGCGATGTTTCAGCGTCCAGGTTCTCCCTTCCATGTCTGCTGACATGTCGGTGATCTGGGGCTACCACGATACTCAATTCTAGGGCCTCTGAACATAGTACGGCGGCTGGTGTTCTCGGAGCGCTGAGGCAGATGAGTCGCAGAAGTTGTCCATCGCAAAAGGTGAGACGGAAGTGTCGTGCCAGAGTCCGAAGTACGCAGCGCATTTCAGCCGGGGCCCGTGCTTTCGGCTAGCGGATTCGGCGATAGGCGATAAGCTCCAACTTTGCGAAACTGGAGAACTTTCGTCGCAGACCTCGAATTTGTTCAGCCGACAACATCTTTGCACGATACAACGCACAATGGCCGCCATGGAGATTGATAATGCTCAGGCGCAACCGTACGTGTTCGACTTGGGGAACCTGATGTGCCAAGATCCCAACCCACTCCCATCGTTGAAGGAAGCGGCCACGCCTGCTGAAAAAGAAGCCATCCTCTCCAGCGTTGCGCAAAAATGCGCGCAGTCTCTCATACACCAGCTTCTTGCCCAACCGATCAACCGTAACGAAACCGACGGTAGTCTGCAGATATCACTACCTGCACCGGAGTTTCCGCTACCCAGAGAGAAGCCTGTGCCCAAAGAGAAGGAAAAGACGAAATGGGAGAAATTCGCGGAGAAGAAGGGTATCAAGGCGAAGCGAAAGGACGGCAAAATGGAATTCGACGAGGATCGCAAAGAGTGGAGGGCGAAGTATGGATACGGCAGTCAGATCCGGAGGAAGCCAGGCGAGGTGGAGGCGGATTGGATTCAGGAAATCGATGAGAAGGCGGAGAGGGCGAAGAAAGAGGAGGGCGAGAAGAAGGGACATGGTGGCAAGCGGAAGGGTGAGTTCGCGCTGTGTCCGACTTTGATGTAACTTGTGCTAACTGAGCTACAGCAATGGGCGACACTGCCATTCGGAATCAGAAATTGTCGAAGAAGAGCAGGAAATGAGCAGGCCTCGATTGATCACACGACCAATACAAAAGCACAGCAAGTGGAATGAGCACGACGACGCGGCTCCACGGATCCTGAAATCCATTCGCCGCTCCGATATGATCGAAGTCGCTCAAGACCAACGACGCGAATTATTCACACTTGGCAAATGTGGCGGAAGGACAGCGACGACAGCGTTTCGTCGTGCGAGTGGGATCATTCCAGTCCCAATAGGGCGTCATTGTATCAGTATGTCTATTCTAGTGTCATTATGTCCTAATAAGGCCCCAGTGTCCAGCGAACAGACCCTCTGGTCAATTGCTCGGGGGCCATGAGGCCAGGAAACCTTCCCAAGGCCAGAAAATTAGCTATCCCGCTAAGCAGAGTACAACGCTCACAATTTCACCTGGAACTTCGGGTTCGTTCGAATTCTCTCACCATATTTCCAGAACAGCACCGGAATCGGGCTGATCCCGAACGCAAGGAATGCCAGCAGAGCATTTCCCCAGTCAAGCCCCAATCCTTGGTACATCTGCAAAGCAAAGAGCGGGAACACACCTCCAAAGATTGACCTCAGGATCGTATTTGCTGCTACTGCGCTCGCAGCATAGACTCCGTATACGTCGACCAAGTAAGTCATAACCGCCATGAATGCGATGATCATTCCGATACCCACCCATGCAGTGCCAAATATGGGCCAGAACCAGAACACGTGATACTTGACAGTGAATCCATAGATGAGCAGCCCGATTCCGATGAGCGGTGCAGCTATGATGAGCGGCGGAAGTCGATATTCTGGCTTCATGATGCCGTTGTTTTTTGCCTGGAAATGCTTGATGAGTCGATCGGACGAGTACCCAAGTGCCGCAAGCCCGATGAAGTTGCCCACGCCCAGTCCAAGGTATACGAGCCCTACGATGGAAGAGGAGAACCCGTAGTCTCCTGTGAAGACGTATGTGAAGGTCGTGAAGAGAAGGTAGAGGAAACCGTAGATGATAGCCATGTACACGCACATCAGCGTGCAGATTGGCGAGAGGCACAGTAGCTTCATCGGTCGAACGATCGCGAGGCGGAACATTTCCTTCGGGGTTTGGCCCAAGTCCAACTTCGATCTCAGGTCCTGGTTGCCGGTTTCCTTGCGAAGACGTTTTGTCTTCCGTTCCAGTAGGGTTGGAGCGTACGTCTCTTTCATAAGCAAGAACGCTGGGACCTCGATGGCTCCCGCAGCCATGGCGATCACATACTACCGCAACAATCAGCCAGCTGCCCGCCATAGTCTGGTGTTGAGATTGAGCCACTTACAAACATCCACCTCCATCCCTTCGCATTCGACAGGAAACCACCAGCAACGGGCCCTGTCATCACTTCGTCAGCAAAACGAGGCCTTGGTTCAGCGCCGCAGCGCACTCACCCGCGACAGGTCCCACCAAAGGCCCCAACGACCAAATCGCCATTGCCGCTCCCCTGCCTTCAACTTTTATCAAATCCGCAATCGTTCCCCCTCCGATCGTAATAGGTGTAACCCCGAACACACCCTCAAAGAATCTATAAACACACAACTCTCCCACGCCTTGCGCCCGACTACACGCAATCGTGAAGGCAATAAATCCGATATTACTGATATGATACACCCAAAGCCTGCCATACAATTCCGACAGCGGCGCGACGATGAGCGGACCGAAGGCGAAGCCTAGAACGTAGACCGAGACTACGAATGTGGCGATTGTTTTGGACGAGGAGTCGAATTCTTGCATCAGCTGCGGCACGCCCGGGGCGAAACCGGAGGATGCGAGTGGTGTAAGGACGGACATGAGAGAGACGAGGGCGATCTGTGACCATTTCTTGGTTGGAGACCAGTTTTGGGGGTTGGAGGGGTCGGTTGAAGAGTCCCAGAAGATGATGTTTGGGTCTTCGACTTCTTGTCCATCTTTGTTCGATGGAAGTTGTGTCTCGAGATCGTTATCGTTGGGTTGAGCAGATTGTGGTTCGGGCTTGTCGTGGTTGCTGCCACCGGAGGAGTATATGGACTGGGGCTTTTCGATGTCTCCTTCTGTGGTGGTTTGGGATCGATCATGCGAAGGATTGTTCGTATCGCGGGTATCGTGGCTCGTCTGCTGTTCGTCGCTCCGGACGTTCGAAGTGGGCAGGGCCTCCGCTCTCGGCGTCGACATGCTTCTGGCTCTTCTTTCTAGTCGACTGGATCATCTTGGTCAGCTCTGCCGGCCTCTTGGAAGCCGTCGCGGTGCCCTGCCGTGGGCATCTTTCGGACGTATGCTAAGATACGCCACAGGACTCACATACTTCGTCGCCAAGCGCTTCAACCAACGACGCTCCTTTCGAAAGTCTGTAACTTTGCCGCGACGCTTTATTGATCTGTGCTCGGATAGGCTTCCAGAAGATTATCGTGTCCGCATTTTCTCTCTATCTGGCCTCACGTCAAACTGCTGGTCGCAGGCTCCTCAGAGGCTTTGTACTCCGCAGGGGAGCCGAGTCGGAGACCAGCCAGCGACGCCGATCCTGTGGTCTCGTTGCATATCTGGAACGGCCAGATGAACCAATCGACCCCAGAATATGCCATGCACCACGTGCATATCTGTGGCGCATTGTCGGTGTCGGTGTTCAGTTTCTGCGGACCCTGCACGAGCTTGCACAACTAGCTCCCTCATTCAGAAGCACTAAGACTTGACCTGATAGTCTCCCATGCATTCACGGATTTTGTGAAGGACTTGTCAGAATGTCAACAGTCACGCTTACCTGTGGTGTACGTGGTATCTCCATGTTCACCTGCTCTTGGAACGCTTATCGGTGCCGACTGACAGGACCACATTCACGAATCGATGGCTCTGGCTGAGTCTCCATGGTCTGGGGCATCGAATGCTGGCCCAAGCGACATGTTGACGTGTGCACTGAGGGATCTCCGAGCAAATCCATACGTAAGGATTTCAAAGCAAGTCTCGCTAGGAGGTAGATTGTGAACGTCTTGCGCTTGTTCGCTTATTGTTGTTCTTGCTTAAGCGACGCCGCGGGGATTGTACTGGTGAATATACGAGCTCTGATGGTCTCGACTGTTCCATTGGCGAAGCATAGAGGCGATTCGTGTGAGCACAAGTGAATGATCTGTGTTCAGAAATCGACAGCGGGAGACTCGTGGAAGACCATGGCCGTCAATCTTGAGACTATCGATGGCAGTTCGATAGCCGCATATGTTTAGTGGACGCCATACCTCCCAGAGCAGCTGATGAGGTTTGTGCTAGGCTTCCGGAAGGTAGCGAAGCCGGGTTGTGTTCTCGCAAGGTTGTGGCTGGGACATCGCGTCAAAGTCGCTGTTTCCTTTCGCCGACTCTCCGATGCTTGAGGTCGCGCGGAACGCAAGTGGCTTGGCTCTCTAGAGCTAGGATCTTGTTGTACATAAATAGAGCACGATCAAAATGCTTCAGATAAGACTTGCCTGTTGCTTGATATGCCTTGATGGTCTCTTTCAGATGTCGCATCACGTATATTGAGACAGACGGTGCGTCGGGATGGCCAGCTTCGGATGTGACAGGACGATATGCTGGGAGTGCAGTTCGACAGGGAAACAGGTTACTACAATATGCTCAGTCAAGATGATATGATCTAGGAGGTCTGCGGGCTGATCATCAGGACGGATTCCTGGTCGAGATATGGCACTTACGCGTACAGTAACTGCCAGCGCGGTCTCCGCGTCTTCCTGGCCAATAGCCCCCGACCTCCATAGCAAGACAGCCCGCACGATTACTCGACAGCCTGTACTGCAATTAGCAGTACTCAATGCGACTCTCGAGATGATGACTTGATGTCGATGGAGTTGCCTCAGGAATATGAACGGCGCCGTGGAACTGATGTCAAGCTTGGCGAACATCCCTGATGCTGGTCTCACCTTGCGACAACTGTCCCTGAATGAGAAAACATCTCGCATTACTTCCTTACCTTTTGCTTGCATTCGTCTATGATTTTCTGCATTCAGAGGAACCTGGCAAATATGCTTCCTCCAGTGGTCAGCGCGACCCTGATCGCAACTGCTCTTGCCGCAGCTTCCAACGTCCTGGCACAACAAGTCGAGCACCGCGATAACGAAGAGGCAGGCCTTTCCCGAATATGGAAGGTTGAGGCCCAGCGAGCTAACCTTTGACGTGTAGCAATCACTCATATCCTTACCCGAACTCTTGCAATTCACCATTTGCAACCTCATCCTCTCGCCGCCAAATTTCTATTGGCAGCATTTTCTCGAGCGAAGTTTCCCTGCCCGGGAGCTTCCCTCTGAGAAGTATGATGTCTTACCTCAACATGAGGGAGGCATAGAGCTTGGTCCAGTGTCCGGTCCCGCATCGGAAAGCGAAATCGACAGCAATGCCCCACCTAAGCTGCATTGGAAGAACACGGCCATCAAATGGTTCATTGATTGCATCACCATGGGTGCTCTGCTCAATACCATTGCCTTTCTTACTGTCATGGGCCTCCTGAAGGGACGGACAATAGAACAGATTGGAACAGCTATACGCACAGTAAGTTCCTATCATCTGACACCGGGTCCATTTCTTCGCCTTTGGGGACGCTTCGACACTGTAACACTTTAGCACAGGAGACTTTCCCAATCATTTTTGCATCTTACAAGATCTGGCCTCTGGCTTCTGTCGTAAACTTCACGCTCATACCAGTGGAGAAACGAATCGTGTTCTTGAGTGCTGTTGGCCTTCTTTGGGGAATATACATGAGTTTCATGGCGGCGAGACAGTGAAGAAAACCAGGAACTGGAGGGCGCGGATCGAAGGTGTCTCGATTGGATTATGCATTATATCGCAATCTACGCGCCAAAACCATATCTCACGCCTGGGTTATGCACTCGCCTTGCTGTCCTCGCTACTTTCGCTTCCGCGTTTCTCATTCTCGTCAAGATGTTGATTCTCCTCGAGCAAGCAATCCTGGTCATCCAATGCGGATTTGCTTTTATGTCTCAGCATCTGACCGTACTTCAGGAACAGTATGGGCGTGAACGCAAACACAGTCGCCACCGCAGCCAATATGGTCACAGCAATGTTGGTGCCCAGTCCGGCGAACATTTGATGTGCGAAAAGCGGAAAGACCGCGGCAGCTATAGTCCGAGTCGTACTGAGGGCAGAAACTGCGCTCGCAGCGTAGTCGCCATAAGAGTCAGTTACATAGCCGAAAAGGACGTAGGAGAAGTCTGTACTGGCGAAGCCGATGCATACGAGACCAATCATTGATACTGGCCAGGGGACATTGGGTACCCGCGGAGGAACAGTCCAGCCAAAGATCCACAGACCGATAGCGAACACTGGGCATGCAACTGCAAAGGATCTGATTTTCGTTTCCGGGACGATTCGAGTTTTATTCCGGTGGCATTTCTTGTAAACATGGTCGTCGTAAAAGCGCGGTATGATATCAAGTATGATGCCGATCAGGATTGCGACGAACGAAAGCGACGAAGACACCTCGTTGAAAGTGGCGTCGAAAGGAGGATTCGTGTATGCGACCGTCAGGCCAGCTGTGAGTCCATACAGTAAGCCGAAGGCTATCGCGCACAGTGCAGCACAGAATAGCACGATCGGCTCGAGCGTGAGAAATACCAGCGGGCGGAACAGCGACTCCCTCGCAAATTGCTTGAATGAAAAGCCATGTGCTGTCGATGGCGCATAAAGATCTGTCCTTCCAGTATCCCTCTGAATGGCTTTGACTTTCTTTTGTAACAGCAGATCAGCTTTGCTCTCCTTCACGCCAAAGGATAGAGCAGCAGATACAGCTGAAGTTATCGTGGAGATGTAGAAGACCCATCTCCATCCGCAACGCTCCGTCACGTAGGCTGAATATACTGGTCCCATAGCAAGGCCGACGAATCCAGCCCAGGTGTAGAGGAACACGACTGAGATTCTGGCCCACGCATCGAACATGTCCTGGAAATTCCCAAAAGCGACTGTCGCAGGGATGGCTGCGGCAACGCCTTGGAACCATCGTCCGATGTAGACTCCGGCGACAGAGGGTACGGCTGCGGTAATTGCTGAGAAGATGCAGAACATGACGGCCGCCACGATGTACAGAGTTCTTCGCCCAAAGGTCTCGGAGACTGGTGCCAGGAAGATTCCGCCCACAGTCTGTCCAAGAAGATAGATGGTAACGAAGGCAAAGTACGCAAGTGTTCTGCTCATGTGGAACTCCTCGCGCGCAATGTCCGCAGCACCTGTCTGTGAAGTTTGTGTCAGCGAAGATTACATTACAAAGAGCTGATTTGAACGTACGCCTGCTGAACTAATCCCTGTCATATATAGCTCAAGCCAACAGATCACGATGGTCGTATACCATTTCGTGAACGCGCCCCAGTTCCGAGGATGATCTCTTGCATCTTTGTTCCAGCAAATCTCGTTATCCTTGAGATGGACGCCATGTTTTGCGAGAGCGTCGTCTTTGTCCTTCAATACACCTGCAGAGGAGTCTATGGAGCTCATCCGAGCGGATTGAATGGCCACAGAGGATGTAGTAGGACGAAGTCACCGCTCCTTCCTGCCAAATCTGGTATCGGCTCGAGCGCAGGAAAAGCGACCACTGGTGTTAAAGAGCAAGCGAGGAAAGGGATGCGGCGGTCGTGAAGCAAGGGATTCCAACCAACGGTACCCTTCACCAGATTCTGCGAGTGAGTAGTGAGGCATGTAAGAAGGTGCCGTCGAGCCGCGTAGCTGTTTGTCACATCTGAACGATGACGGCGACATGCCTGCTGCCTCGGAGGATGGAAATCTGAAGGGTCGGTGGCTCAGAGGCGTATCGCATTGCTTAATGAGATTAGCTTTGTTCTAACGGGAGCTTGTGTGTGGAAGAGGTTGAAACAAGTATGGTATGGTTCACGGATACGGCAAAGCGTTGGACTGATGCGCGGTACCTTCTCAGCCGCTTGAGTACGCATTCGGAAGAAAAGGTTGTTGTATGACGCTGTCATCTTGCTGTTTGAACACACTTCCTTGCACGTCGGGTGAGACAGCGCAGTCAATGGCGGAACAACTTACGACATGATGAGGCTGAGCGATTCGGACTTGTTCGTTGCTGGTGTAGGACGAAACGATCGCTGAAGTGCAGATGCAAGATCGTGAAGATGATCGCAGTTCGTTTGGCTCGAGCCGCAATGTGGAGCATGGCGTCTGCTATGCAGATCTAGCCCACAACCAGAAACTCTAATATGGAGAGCTGCGCGTACTTCACCTTTCCTGGAAGTCATGGATCCTATGGTATGGAAGCGTTCTGTTGCGAATATTTTTGGACAAGTTGTGCCGCTCAAATGTTCGTCATCATTCTTCTACTGGCTGTTCGAATGCAATGATCTCGAATCTCGACATCAATGAATCATGGACTGCTATGCACCATCGCTGATGCGATATTGTATCGGCTTGAAGCTCCCACCATTGGACTGCAAAGCACTGCATGCAGTCATCGCGATGATGAGGTCCATCTTTGCCACAAAATCGATGTGATCGCCCGCTTTTGAGGTCGGAGGTAAGACTTTGATTTCTCCCGTCTGTCCATCTATTGGCACGTTCATGAAACAGTTGAACGCGCAAGGAATCCGGTCTTCCGAGATGCCATAGGGCTTGATAGCTTCTGCGATATTCCCGAAGCATCCTCGGTGGGGCTCTTTATCGCCATAAATAATTCTGAATGTGTCTTTCGAGCAAGGCGTCAAAAGAAAATCGTGCCGCCCACATGTATCCTCGACTATCTCCAGCATGATGTTGCTTCGATTCGAGTAGAGCGGATCTCCCGTCGTCAGATAGATTTTGCTCGCATAGTCCAGTGTCCTGCCATTTGAGATGACTTCGTCGGGATCATGTCTATTCCACGCAACAAGGTCGCTGACTTGGACGCCTTTAGGATCGATGACTGTCAAGCGTTGTCCTTTGTTCAGTGTGAAAGCGGTTCCGCTCCGAGGAGGAATTTCCATGGCGTCTGGCATTGTGCTGTGCTGTGGGTGAGGATGGCGTCGGCAGAATTTCTGCGACAACTGTTCGGGTCTGTATGTATCCTTGGCCCCGGTCTGCGTGGCTGTGTGCAATGTAGATGTATCCAAAATGTACCGATCTGATTCAGCGTCCGCTTGTGTGTGTCGTGGATCCTTCTCCGCAGCCCGATTGCTTTGTTCCAAGAACTCAAATGATGGCGTCACAACGCACACTGCAAAGTCTGGATGTCAACAATGCATCATTGGTTCAGATCATACCTGGAAGCGTTCAGCCTCATTGCTAACCGTGTATGTGAAGATGTACGTCATGATTGAACTCGGCATATCTTCCGATGAAATCACGCTAGCACAACGCTACCGCCTGACGTTTGAGACGCGGTATTGGTGCAACAAAGCGTGCGAACAATTGATGAGCCGCTTTTGCGTAAGGTGCAGGTGGTATGCCCTTTTGCGGCTCCGAGGCTACACGTGGCGACACAATTATTCGTCATGACCCAGCTTACATATGGTTTAAAGGTAAGTGCGCCATTGGCTATGCACACATAGCAACAGCCATTCGAGGTTCTCCAGTTCATCTTCACCGTCGCGACCATGCAGCTGGCTCTCAACGTTATAATATTCTTCCTCGGGTTGTACCTGCCCACACTGGTGGCATCGAAACCGCGCAAAGCTCGCCAGAATTTGTCCAGAGATCTCAATCGCCGAATCCAGGGCATCATCAGCGCCTTTGGTGGCCAACACGATGGCAAAGACGACGGAATTGCAGAAGATGACGCTGATCGTGCTGAGAGAGAGACGGGCCGTCTCTATACGAAAGAGCAGGTGGAGTCGGAATTTGATATGAACGCATGGCAGCGAATTGCGTACGAAGAGTTCAGGACGACCATTCTCGCAAAGGGCGCTGGACTGAAAACGTTCCCCTGCGTGTATGCAACCATGGGTTATCGGTCCGGAGACCACAGATATGTGTTCTTGGAATCAGACGATCCTTCAGAGCCTGTCAATGTTCGCATTGTTGCTCCAGCGCTTCGATCGTACCTGAGAATGTCAAAATCGCTCGGGGACAATACGAGTCTTGTCATTATGGCGGCTCCGACAGAGGGCGAGCCGAAATCTGTTGACGAGTACAATCACGGCTTTTGGGAGATGCTCCGAGGCCTGCGCATATGGGACTCAAAGCCATGGCCCAAGGAATTTCCACAGGACACGCAAGATGAGAAATGGACGTATTGCTTCGATGGCACGCCTTTATTCCCTGTCGCATTGACCCCAGCTCATCAGAAAAGGTGGTCGAGGCATGCTCCAGTCCCTCTAATTGCACTTCAGCCGAAGTGGGTGCTCGACCGACTGTTGAGCACACCTCAAAAGCGGGAGTCGGCTACCGCAAAGGTCAGAAAGCTGCTCAAACAGTATGATCAAGTGGACGTAAGTCCAGACTTGACTTCGTATGGAGAAGTCGGGACTAGCGAAGTGCATCAACTGTGTCTTCGGGATGAGAACGAGCCCGCAGACATCCCTTTTCAAGACTTTGACAGAGGAGGATCATCGGCATCTTTCACACGGCGGTCTTCCCTAGAGAGTAGGCGATCATCGCTGGAAAGTCGGCGTCCCTCCACAGAAAGTCAGGCAGCGTGATCGGTGGAATAAGGTTCATCAGATGTGTCTTCTCTAAAGCGTTCAGCGTTCAGCGTCGGTATTTTTCAAAGCATGCGCAACTGTTAGTGGCGGTACGAATATACACCTTTCTCGGTCCATTGTCGTGATGTCGTGGTTGCCGTAGGATAGCGCGATGACCGATGTTCCAAACAATGCGCACGAGCGCAGAGGAAGACGGAGAAAGCGCCAAGACTGGCTGACCGTTCTTGCCGCCGGCAGAACTCCGCTGTCTCCAACTCCAACACGTGAACGCGTCTTCCAGTACCACTTCCAACGCGAACATCACTAAAACATGCTTCGGTGACAACACTTCAAGAGACACAATGTCTGCGACTGATCTGCAAAGTCAAGGCCGCCAGGCATACAAGCGCGGTGATCACGCTAAAGCGCTCGAATACTTCAATCGTGCTCTTGGCCGACAGCAGACAGTCCAGCTCTACGACAATCGCGCTGCCACTTACGAAAAGCTGAACGACTTCAAGAAAGCACTTCAAGATGCGAAGGCTACCATCAGGATCAGTGATGTCGACCCGACCGGGTATCTGCGAGCGGGTCGGATTCTTACGAAGATGGAGAAGTTAAAAGCCGCCCTCGATATCTACGCCTACGGCTTGAAACACGTCAAGCACGTTGGAGTAGGCTACGAGCAACTCAAGAAGCTTCACGATGACCTTTTGGGAAAGCTAGCACCAAATAACAGTGTCGATCCACTAACAGTACTCCCGCGTGAGTTGGCGATATCTGTCCTCGAGTACTGCACTTTTCGCGAGCGCATTGCCATCTGCAGGGTAAGCAAAGGCTGGCAGAAGTTTGTCCGGTCCGAGCCAAATCTCTGGACACATCTAGATCTGGGAGCCGCGCGAGCCAAGGTGAAGACGAGTTTCGTAAGCACTGCGATCAACAGTGGAAAGCAGAAGATCAAATCCGCAACGCTGAACAAACTGTTCGACTTTGACAAAGTTCTTGCAGCGCTGCTTCGTCATTGCCCATTGGAGAGCTTGACTCTAGCGCAGACTGGCTTCCAAGGGATCAATTTTGTCGAGGTCTTAAAGAATGCCAAAGACAAGCTCAGATTGAAAGAACTCCGAATTCTGCCGGGCACGGAGCTTAGTCAAACAACCTTGCGCGAGGCGGCAACGGCTTGCTCGAGCACATTGGAAATTTTGCATTGTGCACACCTGAAGAGCTTATCATTCATGAAGGCGTGGACTGCCTTGCCCTTTCCAAAGCTGAAGTCACTCAGTGTGACTGCTGACCAGATTGAGAACATCAATACATACCTTGAGAAGTTCTTGGAAAGCTCGCCGGACCTTGTGTCCCTGACTCTAATCAACTTGGACCAACATGATCACGAAGCGAATGGATTTCCAATTACTATGGATCTGCAGAATACGACGCTTCAACATGTTCATCTACAATTACGCCTTCGATCCGCCAACTTCATCAAACTACCCGCTACACTCAAAAGCCTTCGATTGGTCACGGTCGGGCTCGGCTTTGCGCCACTCCTGACAGATCCCGATTCGCAAGGATACGAGAATGGGTTTCTTCCACTACAAGATCTGCACAACCTTGAAGATGTGTATTTCCGGCTTCCCTCCACAGATCTGAAGGATTTTCTAAGAGCATTCGAAGTGCCGCCGACAAAGGCTGATCCAGAAACCGAACCGCCCGTCATGTCCAGACTGCGATCACTAACCCTGGAGCAGACTCACGTTCAGCCGAAGACACCACTGGTAATACCCACCAGATTACGGGAGCTTGAATCCCTTTCTCTGCGCGATCCAATGGGCCTCGCAGACGAGAAGATCGTTTCCATTGTCAAAGATTTGCCCAGATTACGTTCTCTCGATGTGAGCGGCTCTCTTATCACAGGCGCGGGCGTAGGGGATCTGCTAAGAATGGAGCAGCTTACGGAATTGGTGCTGTACAATTGTCAGAAGATCGGACATCGTGACGCTATTGACCAAGCACGAAAGAAGGGTATCAAAGTCGAATACAAAATGGATGACTGGTCAAGTGGGAAGAAAGTCAGGTATTGAGCTGACCTCGTGATCACGATTCCGGCTGTGCGAGTTACCCAATGAAGCAGCGTGGCACAGATAATGCGCTTCGTGGCCCGCGCCAGAACAGAACGCTCATGTCAGAAATTGAGCGGAATTTCAGCGTATCAAATCATGAAATGCGAAGTAGACTTGGTCAATAGACCTGCATGGTCGTCACTGAAGGACTTTCTCGTTCCGTTCCTGCGGAAGTGTCTCCTTGCATTACATCCTGTCCAACTTCCAGACATATCACAGCGGTCTCGTCCTATCTCCTTTCCAGAAGCCCATCAATTCTCCGGTCTCTCCAACCCATTCCCTCACACCATTCACAGCAGCCTTGGCCATTCCCGTCTGTGTATTACTTCTCTTATGCCTTGTCCTTCCCCTGAATTCTTCTCTCCCTTGTGAGCTGTTCACATCCATATAACTAGAGCTTCCCATTCCAGCGTTCAGATTCGGCGTTTGCCCTGGTGTGATAAAACTGCTTCCTGCCCCCGTCGCATATTCGCTTCCCATGCTTGGTAGGACATTCTCGCCTGCTGAGAGTGAAACGAATAATGCGAATGGAACTAGCCAGACATTGAGACCGAAGAATGAGGCAATTTCGGTGAAAGTAGGAACGTCTTTTGGTTCCAGATAGCTGTATCTTCCTGAGCTGCTCGTTGTCGGACTGTGTGCGCTGAAGTGTTTGAACCAGAGATAGTGGTTGACAAGAACTAGGACGCAGCTTGCGAGGAAGACTGGATCGGTGAGTTTGACGACGGGGAAGCGCCGGAGGTTGAGGCTGTAGATTACGTGGCTTGCGATCGAGAAAGCGGATAGTGCCCAGGGAAAACTGTCGACGGCTCCGAGAAGGATTTGCGTCGCGATGATGAAGTAGATGAGGCGGTATAGAAGCTTTTTTGACAGGACAGTGTGTTCTTCGACGAGTTCGGAGAGGTAGTAGAGGCCGGATGCGATGGCGAGAGTGAGGAAGAGGAAGCCGAGGATCAGGCCACAGTAGCCCTGTTGCTAGACATTAGACACAATGCACAAGTGGAGAAGAGAAACAACGTACGAGGAGAGGTAGAATCCACATGGTTATCGCAGCATGCTGTGAAGAAATGCGAAAGTGAATGTTGATGGTGGGATGGAACGCAATACGTAGATGGGATACCCCGGATGTGCCTGCCGATGCGGCTCTGCGGCACGTGTCGCGTCGATCTATCGATAGCCGACCGAAAGCACAGCCAAATATTCCCAGGATTATTCCTTCACCTTTGCCTGCCGTTGCAAGCACACGACACTTCTCAAGCAGCCGCCATGTCTCGCCCCGAAGATCTCCTCCCGCCAGATATCTTCTACAATGACACCGAATCCCGCAAATACACGACCTCGTCCCGAATAAAAAACATTCAAGCGTCCATGACCAATCGCGCCCTCGAACTTCTCGATCTGGACGAACCTTCATTCATTCTCGACGTTGGCTGTGGGTCTGGTCTATCTGGAGAGATTCTCTCTGAAGATGGGCACACATGGGTAGGAATGGACATTTCCTCCTCAATGCTTGCACAGGCTTTGGAGAGAGACACAGAAGGCGACATGTTTCTCGCAGATATCGGGCAAGGAGTGCCATTCCGAGCAGGAACATTTGACGCTGCGATCAGCATTTCAGCGATTCAATGGCTGTGCAATGCCGAGACATCGGACGTGAGTCCTGAGGGGAGATTGAAGAGGTTTTTTGACGGGCTATATGCTTCACTCAAGAGAGGTGGGAAGGCGGTGTGCCAGTTTTACCCAAAGAACCAATTACAAAAGTCCTTGATATCGAATGCGGCGATCAAGGCAGGTTTCGGAGCGGGTATTTTGGAAGATGACCCTGAGTCGAAGAACGTCAAGTACTATTTGGTGCTGACAGTAGGTGGAGGAGACGTCAGAGGCGCTGTGCAGGGCATGGACGGTGTCGATGTGCTGGAGAGGGAGAAGAAGAGCCAAATGAAGAGGGGGAAGGAAGTCAAGGGTAGTAAGAGCTGGATCATGAGGAAGAAGGCACAGATGGAGGCGAAGGGTAAGGTGGTGAAGAGCAGCTCGAAGTATACTGGAAGAAAGAGGAAGATCGCGTTCTGAGGTTGTGGCAAGCAGTACCAGACTGGAGCTCTGCCGCGAGTGGATAGAAGTGTGGACTGGATTGAGAGAAGCATGATACCCAATGGATTATTGACGGCTTGAGCGTGCGGTGGTGTACCGAGCCTGGAACTCGCTCGATAAAACGACACAGCCACCAAGTAGCACGTCAAGTGTGCTAAGCTCTACGTCGACACTGTCCATCGAGATCCTCGATCTTCTCTCGAGCCTCGTTCAGCAACACCTCCGATGGAGATTAGCAAGTGTGCGATTGGATGCTGCCACTTGTGCAGCGCAGTGGACGAGCTGCAGTTGGAGCAGCCTCATCAACTGCATACACGAGAGCACACGCGTTCGATAGTGGCGGACTATCTCCACGCGACGCCTCGCATCCGTAGCATGGCAGAAGCACCTGCATCGGACAAACACAAGATTCCAGATTCGCCATCGACCGCACCCACCTATCGAACCAAGAAGCAAGGAGACCTCGCGACCCTAAATACGATACCATGGATGGCCCCCAACGGAAATGAATATCCAGCGACCGAAGGCCAGACCACCTCACATGACCGACACCTCCTGCGAGCTCATCACAAGGAGGCGTCCATCCCTCTCGTCTCCGGCACTCCTATCACCTCGATCCCTGATCAAAAAATTGACGGACATTCCTACATACCGAAGCTCCCAAATTAACCCTCAAAAAAACACCATCGACGGCGAGCTCCTACAGTACCCTGCGTCCTAAATAAGAACACAAGAGAGTTCAGCCTCATTCCCTACAGCGAAACAGCTCTCACGGAGCTTTATCTGATCCATCATAGGTCACATTCAACTCAGCCTGTGAGCCAACCGTCCCGGAGACGGGCGCTTATACCGGCACGGAAGAAAGCAAGGTAGAGCGAGCCGAGAATGTTGCTTGTTTCTCCTTTCAAACACACAAGTGCACGCGCAGACATGCATGCATGCTCCCAAAAGCGCGCTTGTGTGGTGAGGCGAGCTCGAGCTTCTGCTCAACATAAAGCTGTCTTGGCGCTTTTACTGGCTGTCAGGGTCTGTTTGGAGCTCTTGCTTCGCCACAACAGAATATGCGACTTACTCCACCCCCACGAATCTCAATCTTAGCTGGGGTTTGCCAATAGAAGTGTAGAGTGTGTGTTTGAGTGCTCGGAGTGGTTTGTTTCCTTTCGTTGTCGAGAACTACAACGTCAAGGATTCTTATCTGTATACGCAGCACAGCAGGGTTGTCGATGTACGATGACGATTGCTTTGTCTTCCTTCCAGTCGATGAAGAATTCAACCAAAAGGATCGGCAATACCATTTGCCGTTGGAGCAAAGGCGTGGAGAGAAAGAGGAAATATTGTCATCTCAGCTTCGGGGATTGCGATGTCGCGATTAGAAGACTAGTTTCACCGTACTTCTTTTATGCTGTTGCGCATAATTTATCACTCTCACCCTTGATAGTACTGAGCCTCACGACACAGCAAAGAGTCCCTACAACTCCTCTAAGCGCCCAAATACATCTCGACCGTTCACCTCATGCACTTCCAAAAGCATGATCGCAATAACCTTTCAAACTTATGCAACCTCCATCCCTCCTGCTTTTTACACTAATGCACTCTGTCCGCTTCTGTCCTTCTCTTCGGCGCTTCAGCATGGAATCCTGCAAGAGAAGAAGAAGAAGAAGAAGCTGCAGGAACGTTCTGCTGTTTGTTCTGGTTCCGCCTTGTATATATTACGACCACGTTTGCTATTACTTTCCTAGCGTTTACCATGGTCTTCGTCGTTGGGAGGAGTTTGTTGACTGACTATGTATGAGAATTCATGATGTGATGATGGATGCGAACATGGCGCCTTCACGTCAGGTTTTCTCCTTGTCGGATCTGCGAAGCGGGCGCTTATACGAAGTGGCATTCGTCGCAGGCTTCGTTGACGAGGCGGTGAAGTTTGAGAATCAGAGAGAAGACAATGCTGCGGTTGTAGTCGGGCGCTTAAGACAATGCGATCGCTCGCTCGCTTTCCGTTCTCTGTCAGTCCACGCAAAGACGGTGCGTAGATGATGATGTTGTGTGATAAACATTCCACCACAATGTGATGAAATAGTTAGACGAGAGATCTTCATTCAGTGTCAAAAGAAATCTCGATTCATCATGAAAAAGAAGTTTCTTGATTTTACTTTTCCTTTCCCAATTCTCTCCCATTGCGTCAATGAGTGAAGCGCTCGGGAAGAAAAGAGTATAAAGCTATCTACTGTTTTTAAGCGCTCATATGGTTGCTTGCTACTTGAACCGAAAAGAATTGCGGCCCCGAGGCCAAACAGTCTGTCCTCCACCGGTCATGAATCGACCCCATTTTGTCTTGTCTCTCTCATATTCATAGATATCAAATGCCCCAGTAGAATCATGCTCGCTCGTGTCGTGTCGTGATCAAATGTGTGTTGTTGTTTTGTGTTGTGTGTCGTATCGCTCGTTGCTGATGGAGAAAAAGAAGAGAGGGTATCCAATATTATGATGCTGAAAAAAGATAATGCCATCAAGTAAGAATGATAAATGCTGCCGGAGTGGTGATGTTGTCAAGCGGCGTGGTGTGTTCGTGAAAAGTTTCCGGTGCCGGCGTGAGACCTCTCTGTTGAGAGTAGCCGATCACCGAGAGTGAGAATCGAAGAAACGCCCAAAACTCTCTCGCTAGTGTCCGAAGTGAAGAGAGAAAAAGGAAAAATGCATGTTGTCGCGCCAGGAATGGCCAAGTCCAGAGTCCCCTCATCACACTTCTTTGCCGTTGACCTCCACTTCGTAACCCTTTCCTTTCTGCTCTCGTGCCTTGGCAAGCATCAATTCTCTCATCCAGTCAATGCGATCATCCTTAGTCTTGACGGCGAAATGGTGTGTCTTGCCGTCGGGTCTCCTCTCACCCTCTTTGGCGCTCGGCACAAGCTGGAAGGCGAAAGCAGTAGCATCTTGCAGTTCTTTGCGGCTCTCTGCACCCTTGGAGATGGCGAGCGACTTGAATGCGCTAGAGAGCTTGTGGTTTGAGGACACGCTGCTGCAAGCCACGGCATAGTCGTCAACGTTGATGCTGTCCTTGACCTCAGCTGAAAGGCGAGCCGAAGCGTGTTGGGTGAGTTGAGTGCCCTTCAGACGGAAGTGAGAGTCGGTCCATTCGTGACGAAGCATCTTGGTCTTTCGCTTGCGCATCCAGCCAGAGTGAGAGCAATCTGGTCCGTAACCGAAGTCGCGGGTCACAGGGGAGTGCTTCGCTGGGTCGCGAACGGACGAGGTACGTGTGGGGACTGATCTCGACGAGGCATTGGTTGAGATAGAGGGACGGGACTCTCCGTTCGATGAGGGCGAAAGGACCTCGCCTTCTTGGACGACGGGTAGGGCCATGGAAGGTCGGCGCCAGTGCGAAGGATCTGTTCGAGACTTTGATCGCGACAGCGGGGCTTGAGGACGGTACTGCATGTTTGGCGGAACAGACTGAGAAGTGTCGCGAGACAGGGGGGCAGTAGGAGGGCCGACTTGCATTGCTGGCACGTCAACGACCGAGGCCGGTGTCCCCAGGCGGTAGATCTGCTCGGCTCTGACTCCTGGTGAGGCTGTTGCGGATCTGCAGATGTTGGCTGGAGACGCGGTTGCGCTGCGGCAGACATACATGCCCGGCGTGGCAGTAGGGCCCGCAGTCTGTGGAGAGGTAATGGCCGAATGCGAGACTTGAGGTCCAGCAGACTGTGATCGCGGGATCTCTAGCCTAGGCAGCTGATTGAGTTGTCCTCGTGGGCCGGGCGTGTATGCTTGTCGTGGCGGCGGCTGCGCAAAAGCAGGCGCTTGATGTTGTTGTTGTTGTTGAGGCACAGCGGCAGGGTAAGGCGTGAAGGATTGGGATGGGAACATTTCATAGGGTGGTGAGGGTGGTGCATTCTCCGCGACGGGGCTCTGGACATGTTGGAATTGCAGAAACTGCTTGACATTGTCTTGCGGGTCACGGGCGCCCAGGTGGCTGAGCACGTCTTCGTGGAGGGCAAATTCGGGGAGCTGACCGGGGCCGAGGAGATCTGATGATGCGACCACGGACGGAAAGCCTGCGGATTCCATACCAGCGTCAGACACGGGGCGGAAGGGGTCTTCTAGCCTGAGATTGCCTTTTAGCTGCGACTGTGGTTGAGGTCTCACGTTGGGAATCATGTTCTCAGCAGTGCTCGCGTTTCCAGGGTTGCCGGCGACGAAGATGTGGCCGCCTTTCGTAGGGCTGATTGGGAATCGACCTATGCCATGCTCGTTCTTGAGCTGGTCGAGCTCTCGTTGCTGCTTCCGCCACTTGGCGCATCTCTCACCCTTGGCACATTTGTGAGGTTTGGGGAGGAGTTGCTCGATGGCGACAATCGATACAGACTCTGCAGGGGTGATGAGGTCGTTGTTCTTGGGAGCCTTTCGGCCGCGACGCTTGCTCTTGCCGCGATGCTGGGTTGGTGAGTGGCTATCGTCGTCTTGAGATGACAAATCGCGACCTCGGCTGGGAGAGCGTCTGCTTTGTGAGGTGCAAGGCCTGCTGATGTCCTGGAACGGGGTGGGCTGAGGGCTAGGATGGCCTTCTTCTCCCTTCAGCACGCAGATGGCATTCCAGAGTTGATGTCTTTTGCCGAATGAAGGAATATCAAGTTCCTTCAAATCTTCGAACTGCAAGTCGAGAAGGACGGATCCATCGATGTCGTGGATGTAGAAGCATTCAATGACCGTAGGATCAAGTTCAGTGACATACATCCAGTTGACGACATCCTGCGTGGACCATGATTGAATCCTGGTGTGAGGATCATTCTGTGCACATCGCAAGGTCGAATCCAGTGAGAAGGCCAAGTCATGTGGTTGCATTACCGTGTCCTCGGAGAAGGCGGTTGCAGCACGCGACGGCTGTAAGGACATGTCCTTTGGCAGGAGTGGCGACATTTGCAATGCATGCTCGAAGTCGAACTCTGCTGAGACTTGCGACGATCGAAACAGATGTGGTCCTCTCGGTCCCTGCACAGGTTCGATGCGCAGGTCGAGAGGAGGCCGACTTTGGGTGCTCGTCCTCGGGCTCGGCGTGCGTGCTTCATCGTAGGAAGATATCGTTGTCTGACTTCTCCGTCTGCTATCGTACTGCGGAGGTGTCAGAGCTACCAATCCTCACAGCCAAGAATCGCTAAGACTTACCGATTCGAAGCTGCCTTTTGCAGAGGTTCCCCCATAGTCGCTTTCGTCCTCGAAATCGGTGTCGAAGATCTCTGTCGCCTCCGAGACCTGCGATACGGGTCGTGGTTCCAGCATGGAAGGCGTCTTCAGCCGTTGAAACATGTCTCCTCCGGCCTGGAGAGGCGTAACGGGCGTGATGGCCTGCATCACGTGTTGTCGTTGGCTCGCTCAAAGACAGTCGGGTCAGGTTCTGGAGAGAGCGGTCACCGTCGCCGGTATGTCATAGTCTACACCGCATGTACGGTTGCGGCACGTAGAGAAGGTCGCGAGATGGCCTCCGTGCGCGAGTGGGCGCGGAGTGGGCCTTGTATACAGAGGATGCCCATGTCGTCGCGCGCGCATAAGCTCCGACATGTTGTGCAGCGTTCCTCCTGTACAAGCACGTCTATGGCGCCAAAAGCGGTCTTCGAGGTGCATGCGGCTGCATGTCGAGTAGGGAGACCCTCCAATGGCCGGCGGTGGGCGCTGGCTGGGGCTGGGTCCGGCTCGAGATTCGTGAGTGACAGTCCCCTCATCCCCGTCACACTTTGGTGAAGCGTTGAAGTCCCGGGCGGCTACAGACTATTGGACCGCACGCCTCGACGCTGCTGCGAGTGCATCCCGCTCCTGCCTATCCGGGCAGCTTTGGCACCAAAATAGCTGCAAGCAGGTCTGCCGGCAGCAGAGAATGCGCACTAATTATCTATCTTTGGGATGTGCTGTTAGAGTTGTCGAGCAGGAAAGTCTCCAGGGTAGATCGGAGGGCAGACTTTCGCTGCATCCCGCGCGGGCGATCGACTCCACAGGCGAGACGCTTCGGGACGATGCGGAAAAGTTAACACGGAGGAGTGGCCTGTTTCGAGGTTGGGATAGGTGATGGACAAGCGAGCACCTCATCGCCGTCGATATTGGGATGTTCGCATGCAGCAGTCATCGTCGCACCGCAGTTGATGTCTCCTCCTGCCTCCCGTGTCGTTCGCGTCTGGCCATTGAACGCATTATTGACGGGACGCGACACCCGTTCCTGACGAGAAGTAGAGTGCGTGCATATCAATGCTGTGGTGCGCATACCGCGATGCAAGGGATTCAGGCACATGCGTCGCACAACAGCCACTCTCCGACACGGCTGCGCGACTGCCACGAGACCAGCCGGGAGTTTCTTGCTGTTGTGCGCCCGAACACGACATGAGCGCAAAGGTCACGAGTGCCGCGCACATGCCCGAGTGGGACGCGGTCGCAGCAACGGCCTGGCAGAGGCAGTTGGAATATTATGGCACCCAATTGCAACGTCAGCTGCCTATGCGTGACTCGAGTCCATTTGCGCGGGCAGCAGCAGCAGTGCGCTCATCAGCAGGCTATCGGATCAGTTCTGCCGGTTGAAGGCCGTTCTGAGCGAGGACAATCTCTCGACGCTTGAGACGCGGTGAGTCGCTTCCACTGCCACGGTATCCAGTCAGCGCGCCGCGTCGTGAGGAGAAGGTCGAGCACTCGAGCACGACTCCATCGTCGCAATTCTCGTGCAGCCCGTTCATCGTGCACTGCGCATTGCCCTTCACAACGCAAGGTCGTCGCCGTGCGCGCGCGCTCTCTCCCCAAAGTTTGTCTGCTGGCCACGAGGGCGCGCATTGCTTTCGCCCACGAGGCGTGATTGTATCGTGGCCCCCAACGGCCGTGTCTGCTGCTGCCAAGTTGCGTGTCGTTGCGAGTCAGACTGCCCTGGCTGCGGGGAAAGAGGCGTCCCCGGCAGATCGCTGCTTCCCGCTGCTGATTGGCCCTGAGGCTGTCGTTGAAGCACACGCTAGCGCACGACCTCACCTCTCGTCACAAGCCTTTTCTATCTGCACCGAACCTATCGGCGGCTACAGACCACTTCTTGCACGCAGTCACCTGTTCGACCCACTCGCCAGATTCTTGCGAATGCTGATCTGGTCGCCGACCACGGGCTCTCCCAGCACCAACCGTCCTAAGCCCGACACTATCCACACCTCTCGCGGTAGGGTTGAGCCGGAAAAGAGCAGACGGAGTCGTGGTGAGCTGGTGCGCCATTTCTGGGACAAGCCTGCGAGTGCCACCATATTGCTCTGCTGGCCATGCAGGTCCCAGGTGGCAAGTAGAGTCGAGATCGCAGCGAGCCCAGACTCCTCCCGCAAGATTGACCTTCGTGGCTGGAGTTACACGAGCTTAGTGCGCTACGGTTCAAGTCGAACTGTGCGAGCTGCGGAAGTGCTTGCAGATGCATGGGCAATCCCCATGTCTGCAGCGGTCCGCATCGGGCTGCTATCGCCGCCTACTGCACGCAAGCTATCAGTTCTGTGATCAGTTGCAACCGAAGCAGAGCAACCTCAGAATGCGGTCAGGGCACCGACCCACATAATCCCGACCTCCTCTGGGCACGCCTCGAACCATGGTGTAATCAGATATTGCGTGGCGAATAGCAACACCGCGGCCTGGCGGACTGATCACGTTGGGCTGCGCGCCGTTGGCAGACAGATCTCAGACTCATCAAAACGACCTACGAGTGCCGGTCCAGGGCATCATGGTGGGGTCGAAACCATCGCTCACATCTAGCAAGGTCCAAAGCTAACAAACGTTGCCATATTGCGTCTTCGGCCAGTCGGGTGACAGCATGTGCGACAGCAAGAATAGTGCAAGGCATACGGCCCGTTCGATTCGACAGATCATGCAGCCACAAGACCACCACATCCAATAGCGACATGGTTAAGCTTTTGCAATCCCGCTCAATTTACAGGACATGGCGGCATCCTCCACGCCTGCTTTTGTACTGCCGGCACGCATTAGTGCACAATCGTGCTCCCTCCAAGAATAGAATCGAGGCATTTAGCTTTCTTTTCCTGCGACGAGCCATCATATAAGGTATCTCCTCTCGCTCTCCCACAGCACCTCAGCAGTCGTTGATCGATTAATTTACAGTCTTTTTAACCTCGTTCCTTCGAACTCAAGCCCGCAGGTCAGGCTTGTCGTACCCTGTCGTTTAATCGAAAGCATCTTTTGGTCCCCTGCTCGTGTCCCGGCCATTGTAAAGATCCGGTAGCGTTATACATATACCCTCATGTCTTCTTCCGCGCACGCCCCGGCCCAACTCAAGCAGTCTTCGAAGATGGCTGCGCCCAAAAATGTCCCTTCCACGACGTCAGAAACGAAGGGTGCTGCATCCAAGATGCACCGACGTTCGCGATCAGGTACGTTGCTTTCTGGGGTGCATCGATTCGCGCCATCTGGACGCGCTGACCCGTTTCAGGTTGCTTCACATGTCGATTACGAAGAAAGAAGTGCGAAGAGGGTAAGTTCAGCTTGATTCAAACTTGCATCACTCGACCCTCGACTGATCATGTCATATAGGCAAACCAGCGTGCAAGGCCTGCACACATCTAGGACTGCGATGCGACTACAAGCGACCCATGTGGTGGAGCAACAGCGATCAACGAAAGCAACAAAAAGAGCACATCAAGAACGCGATCAAGCGAACTCAGATGACCAAGAAGGCTACGCAGACTCAACAACAGTCACTAAACACGAGCAGTCCGCCTCCGCCTCTCAGCCACTCCGTTCCATCATCGGTCGAGCCTCAATTCGCAGAGTCATTCCCTCATTCGAGATGTTCATCTGACTCACCTCTGTCGACCGGCTACGATCTACAGTGCCCTTCCGGTGACGGCTACTTTCCCCACCCTGCACAAGCGTTCATGCCTCACGGACCTTATCCCATGTTCTCACCCTACGAGGTCGATATCAAGACGGAGCGCGAGATCTACGTCAACAACGTTGCGACGCGGAAAGATTCTACCATCTCCACCTTCAGCACTTATCAGCCACCGCCGACTGCCGACTACCCTGCCGACAGCTGGGTGCAGCAGGAGCACTTCGAGTCAACGTGTGAGGAATTCGGAGAGGAGCCTGTCGATTTCAACTTCTTTGAATTTCCTCACGCTCCTCTTCCCCCAAACCACGAGGCTGTCATCACTGTTGACGATGGCGACAAGTATCTCCTCAATCACTTTCTCGACAAGGTTGCGAAGCTTATCTTCCCCATCCTCGACGCGAACCAGCATGGCTCCGCTCGCGCAGATGTCATCCTCCCAGCTCTCGAATCCAACAAGGCATACCTGCACTGCTGTTTGAGCATTGCGGCAACACACATGAAGGCGACTGGAAGTGGTGCCCACGAGCAGATTGACAATGACATTGTTCGACATCGCTATGCCGCAGTGTCGGAGCTTTGTGAAGCTCTCGGGTACGACACCGACCACGCTCAAATCCTCGAAGCGACGCTCGGCATGATTTTCTTCCAGTGCTCGGTTGGCCGTCCCGACGATGTGCTCCCAGATATCCCGTGGCACCAGCACTTCCAAGCTGCGACGAGCTTGGTGCTGAAGCTTGACTTGCAGAAATCTGTCATTGAGATGGCCGGCACTCCCCACCAAGCACCTTTCAACATGACTCTCGCATCGTGGATCGACATTCTCGGATCAACCATCATCGGCCGACAGCCACAATTCGCAGACACCTACCGCGAGCTGAACATGAGCAATTCTACTGTCGGACTGGCAGAGCTCATGGGCTGCGACGACAAGATCATGTTCCTCATCTCCGAGATTGCCTGCCTCGACTACCAAAAGTCTGTCGGCATGGATGAGGCTGCCGTCTGCCAATATGTTCTGAGTCTCGGCAATGCAATTGGGCAAATTGAGCACTCTGCTCCAGCAATCGAAAGCTGCTTCTCCACCACGGGCGCTATTCGTCCGCGTCAGCTGACCATCAACCTGACAGCCGTCTTCACTGTCGCAGCTCGCATCTACCTCTGCACTCTGATCCCAGGCCACAACTCTTCCGACCCCAGCATGTGCGCTCTCGTCGCAAAATTCTCGGAGCTGATGAACTTCATCCCCGCCGGCCCCGAAGGCTTCGACCGCTCTCTGGCGTGGCCTCTCCTCCTGGCAGGCAGCTCTTCATTGCGTGCCTCTCCTTTCCGCTCCATGTTCGAAGAGCGCTGCGATCGTCTCGGCGAGGCTGCCAACTTTGGCTCCTTTGGCCGAGTGCGTGAGCTTCTCAAGGACATGTGGCAGATCAACGACAACGCCGCCTCTTCGGGAGACTTGCAGGGCATCCGCTGGCGTGATGCGATTCAATCCAAGGGCTGGGACTTCCTCCTCATTTAGGAGGTGTCGTCTCCCTTGAACTGTTTCCCGGCCTGTCCAAGTCTCTCGCCTTCACCACCAACAACACGACCCAACGACCAAACTTTCGGTTTTACGACACGTTACATTCTGTGCATAGCGACGGCGCTTTCTCCACACTAATCATCTGGCATGATGATTCACTTTTTTTCTTTTAGAAATGATACCCACGACGCCACAAAGAGCGTTCGAACAGCATGAGGCCATGATCTAGTGCAGCTCTCTGGCCGAGCGTTAATGCATATGGAAAGCGACATGGTAGCTTTCAGAAATGGCAAAATTGAAAATGAAACAAATATTCAACTCACTTTCTTCTCTCTTCTCACTCGTTCACGCGGTATTGCACGCTCTGCTGAAAGACACATCATCATCGATTGTGATCAGACACGTTCACGAGCTGACTGCAACCCTGGACGACGGCTCTCCCACCATCGTCCGCAGAGGGTCTAGGCCAGCGTTATAGCGGTGTTTTAGTGGATGCGGCATAGGCTTGGCGGTCGTGTCGAGACGGGCCAGCGAAACAACTAAAATAGCCTCGACGCGGTCTGGTCGTGCCGAGCGGGTCCTCGGAACTAGTTTGGCCGTCGTCGATCTTGGAAATTCGCCCCCATGCAAGCCTGGCCTGGCTGGTCGAAGCACGGCATCGAGGCCGTCGGCAGGAGCAACAAACGCACGTCGAAGCAGATCGGATAGAGAGACACGCCCATTGCATGCTGACCGATGCATCCGACGAGCGACTGGCGACGCGTGCTCTGAACGGCATCCAAGCTGAACACGAACTCCTGGAGAGCTCTCCCCCTCCCTCCTCAGTCTCGCAGAGCAGTGCAGCGCGCGCGCTGAGACAGCATGACTTCACCCACCACGACTGCCCGACCGCCTGCTGCTTCTGAACCCAGCGTCGACACATCATTCAACACCAGCGCCAGCGCCGCGCGAGACGATGTGGAGTCTCCCTCGCTGACCAACGGCAATGCGCTGGCCCGTTTCGAATTCGAGCCCGGCCGCAGCAAAGATGGGACGAAAGTGTTGATGGTGGAATGGGAAGAAGACGATACCACAAAGAATGTCCCTGGTGATTGGGAGATCAGCTGGGAGGGAAAGAGGACTGTCCTCCCTGCGCGAGATCACACCACGCCCGCTGCCACATCACAGCAACAGTCAGATTCCGCTCCTGCTGAACTCCCGCCTGTAAACCGGCTGTACTTCCTCCTCGGTCCTGGCGTAGCGATTCCCCCAACAGTGAAACTTCAAAAGGGACATACGATCACATGGCGCACGAACCCCCTTCCAGCCATCTTCTCCCCCGAACTAGGTGCTACAGCGCGACAAGCTGGCAAAAAAGGCGTCTTACACACCATTTGGGCAAAGAAGCGATTACAAGTCTTGCAGACAGAAATCGAAAACGAATTGAAAGAGAATGTCGAAGGCATCGGGTTAGAAATGGCCACAGCAGAAAAGGAGTGGATTGAGCAGAACTTTGGAGTTGTGGCCCGGACGGGAAATCAAATCACTGTACAAACGCAAGGGCAGAGTGCGATGGGACTGGCGTTGAGTGGTTTGCAAGGGGCAGGTGGAGGACTGAATAGTCCGACGAGTCCGAGGAGTCCGGGGGGTGGGAGGTTGATGGATAAATTGAAAGGATTGAAGTTGGGGACGAGTGCGTCGGATTTGACATCTGCTTCCGGTCCACAACAACAGCAAGGCGGACCTCCCGCAGCGGGATCGGAGCATAATCCTCTAAGTCCTGAGGGAACGGATGTTGCGGTTGGAGGGGGCTTTGGAGCTTTTGCTGCGTTGAAAGGGGCGGCGCCTCCGAGTAGTCTTGGTGTGAAAGCTCCGCAACAACCTGTCACAGCACCAGCTGCTCCGGCGAGGAAATTTGTTGCGCAACGGCCTCCCGAGGCCTTTATCGCGCAACAACGACAACAAACGGGTGGAATGGGATCCTTGGACGCGGCTTTTGCTCCTCCTCCTGCAAGCAGTGAGAACGTCGCTTTCACTGGCACGGCTGCGCCAACAACAGACGACGATGAAGATGACTTATTCGCTCTTCCGATGTCTCCGCGAAGTCCAGAAATGACGAAGAGTCCGTTTTCGTTCGCGAAGCAGGATACGATGCGGTATCTGAAGGAGGAGACGACTGCAGGGACGGGTTCTTAGCAGCCTCTCCTCAAAGGGGCGCGTTTATGTTCGATGATGATGGATATGAGTATGCGATATATGACTATGAGTATATGGTTGAAGGATTTTTCTTCGATGAGCTGCGATGAGGAAGGCACGGCATGAATAGATTTCGCGAGGAAGGGAAGTTTGGCATTGAGTTGGGTTTGTGAAGGAAAAGAGGAAAAGAGGGAAAGAGGAGGTGGAGGCGTTGTTATCACCGGTTGAGAGAGAGAAAAAGATATCATACCCCCCCAAATTCTAGCTTGCTCTCACCTTCGTTGGCTCTTTGAGCTTTTTCCGGATTGCGCGAGGTTTCCATGGCGTTGAGGCAGGTTTGTCCTGTCGAGGGGTTTGCTCGTGTTGTCGGGAATACGGTGAGTGAAGCCATATTGAGACGGTCCAAGAACTTTTACGATGACAACGGAGTGTGAAAATTGCAGTAGCCTGGCTACAGAACGGAAATTCTCGATTCGAAGAAGGACCACCAGCGACGTGTCCACTCCAGATCTCGGGGTGACCATACTCTCCTTAACGCAAGTCTCGCCGCGGCATTCTACCCATATGCTCGGAGGAGCCAGTCGACCCTCCTTCAACGACGACACAGCACCTTGATTCCCTTCTCGACATATGTCCCATTATGCGAGAATTCATAAGAAAGCAAGCCTGAACTTTTCTCCCTGGAGTTCATCAAGATACATCTCAAAGACACTTCATTCTCAACAAAGTCTCGCATTTCATCCCAACCTCAGAGCCGTCGTCGCAGAAAATCCAAGCAACGAACAAGCACAATGGCTACCAGAGTCATCCACATCTTTGCAATCGTCACTTCAGTCGATGCAAGGATCGTCACTTCCCAATGTCTCGACGACTCTTCGACTCTTGCAACTCGAAACCGCACCCGTGAATATCGAATTTCGTGTGGAAGCTATGTTGAGGCCGATTCTATCGGTCTGGCGAAGACGACTGAGACGTACGAGGATTGTTTGAAGACTTGCGATCAGACTGGAGGGTGTGCGGTTGTCAAATCCCTCGAAGCGGAGGATGGCATCTCGGGGCTGTGTACGCTGTTTAAGGAGACGAATGTCGTTTCGGGGGGACATCCTGGCTGGGCTGTGTTTACTGTAGAGGAGTAAGGAGGGGTTGAAAGCGGTGGGAGTAGCTATTAGAATGTTTGGTTGCGATGGTCGTCCGTCATTCTCTCCCGTTTTATGTAGCTTCCAATTGTACTGAGCTTTCCTGATCATGAATGATGCGCAATGGCCCAGCTCAGGCAAGAACCCTCCTTGGCATTCACTTCAAGCCTGTCGCGCCTGCTTCCGCAAACTTTCGATCAGTACACAACGAGAGGAAACAGGCCTATTGCCACGATCTTATCGAGGGCGTCAGAGAAAGTTGGATCAAACACGCTCTATTGATATTTGGCTAGACAAGCTCTAATCTAAGGCCCATAACCATACTGTTCTTTCAGCATCGGTAGCAAATCCATCCTGTTCTCTTCTCTCATCCTGTGTGCTGTTACCCTATCTGGATAATTTCGAAGAAACATATTCGAAAAGTGCGTCCCGTAATGAACAGCTTCTTCATCCTCGGGTGTGCCAGTTTTGAATTCTGGCAATCGTCGACAGACTGCATTGAAGTTTGGCTCATGGAAGTAAGCGAACGCGAATCTCTCCCGTGTATTCAATCCGACTTTGTGAGGTGTGGAAGGGAGGTATGAGTTGGTCATGAATTGCATCATGTCTCCAGGGAAGACGGTGAAGACGTTCTCCTGAGGGGCAATGTACAGCCACTTGTCATCGTTTTCGTGAAGGCCGGCGGAGGATTTCTTCCAGTTGGAGTATGTTTCGTCGGCTGATGGTGGACGGACGAAGAGGCCGCCGACTTCGTCTTGGCTGGCGATGACTAGCAAGCCGTAGTCGGTGTGGGAGCCGATGCCACGGCCTTCTTTGCCTTTGCCGTTCGTGGCATGCGTTGCAGGAAACCTAAGATATTTGAATTAGCCATGTGTTCTTGTAGATTGAAGATGGCTCTTATCATACCTGAGAACTCTCATATGATGCCAACCGTCCTGGGTCAGTTTGTTCAAAGCCCAACGATCCTTGAGATCAAGACCAAGAGCAGTAAGCTGAAGCAGCCTCTCTCCTATCCCAGCCTTAAAGTCCATTAGCTTACGCATTGCGTGAGCATAAGCATCATTGGGCCATGGATTCGGTCCATGGCAGGGCCATCCGCTCATGACACGAGGGTCTCCAGGGTCGACTTCTTTTGTGACAGTGAAGATCTCACTATAGTCAGCAATACCGTCTGTGAGCTCCTCACCAGAAGCAATGTATCCAGCGAAAGAGTTTGGATCCACGCATTTGGCCTTGGTGGCATGGTCTTGGAGAAAGTATTGCTTGCTTTGTTTCACGGCTTCGGACAGTACGCGTAGGTTTTCTGGGAAGGCGACTTGGATGATTCCGTCTTTGCGCCATGCATCGATGAGGCGGCGACCTAGTAGACGATCTGCATCGCTGCCGGTCACTGCAACGGGTAGCTCGAATGTGTCCAGTTCTCGTACTTGAGCTGAATGGTTCGGTGGCATTGTTGCTTGTGCTCTTGCCATATCGAAATTTGGTCGCCATTGAGAGCCCTTGGAGCCTTGTACAACCGGTTCATTGCGATGGAACGGAGCCGAGTCGACAGTAGTTGCTAGACCTCTCTGCAAGAGAATTCTTGACTTGAAGGGATTACCCCGAACACGAAGCGTTCTTGTCAACATTTTGGCAGTTGTTTTTTGAAGATTAACGAGAGCAGAACAGAACTTGTGCAGCTGTTGGACTACCATGAGCTGACAGACCATCGATCTTATATTACACTGCCCACTGCCAGACCATGAGTCTGGCCTGGCATTCTAGATCGCCACCACTGCTGTGGACATCGAGTAATGTCTTGGCCATCTCGTTCGTCATCAGGGCTCAGGTTCAGAAGCTTGATTGGGATGACACGATGACAATTCGTGCCATTGGCCAGTTATAGAATGTCAACCAGGGCCTGGCATGTTGTTCTAAGTCCGGCAGTCGCCACAGTCTGCACATAGCAATCTCAATCATCCGCACCGCGATGGACCTTGACGTTGCGCTTGCAGTGCTGTCAAGCTAGGATCACGCATCGGCCATCGCCTCGTTGCTAAATGAGAGATAATGTTCCAAGGTGCTTCTAGCCTCTCGCATAGTCCGTGTGGCAGTTCAGTAGCGTTATCTGTCATGTATACGTATTGTTGCTAGGGGTTGCAGCAACTCACGGTGCTTCTCAAGGGTCTGTTGTAACCATATGCACTTCCCTTATTCAATGCGGAGCTTAGTGCGCAAGAATGCGCGAGATGTACTTACTGCTAGTCATGCCAAGTTGTGAGATGAATCGCGCGAGCTCCTGTTGCCTGAGCATGGAAAGTTGGCCATCGGCTCTGGACTCTTCTCTTCGCATGATAACATCCATCCTATACTCGCAGTTGTTGCTCGAAAGAGAAGCCGTAACAAAGACCAGTTTTCTCCGCTGTGCAATGCTGGCGTCGATCAGGTTCGGTGACATGTCAAGACAAGCTTGTTCTTGTGAAACGTTTCATGTGCCAATTGCAATAATCTTGTTTATAGCACACTGCGAAATCGCAGGACCCTGTACGGCCAGTATCTGCCACTGGACACGACCGCAATGTTCAAAGTACGGGGTCCTCGTACGGAACGTGCGGAGCGCTTCTGCTGTCAGGTGCGTCTGAGTTTGGCATATGCCTGTTCTGCTCGGCACCTTGCAACGAGTTCTTGCTATACTTCTGCTTCACAATTCATCAGCATCAAGGCCGAGTCATTACAACATGACTAGGCTCCAAGAAGTAGTCATTGGCACAGTATTGGCACCACAGCTCCAGGACGTCACAGGTACGGCGTGCATTCGTCGTTTCGAGATAATTTCCTCTTCTTTCCTTGGACATCATGTCCTCACATCAAGTCCACCGAACGCGACAGACTCTGCCCAGCAGGAACCCAAAAATAACGATTGATGCATCGTTTCGTCGATTATAGAAGCTGCAAAGACTTAGGGTCCATGGAGTGAACAATCTTCGCATTACTACTTGCGGTCATTTGCCCTATGGCGTCAATTTATAGCCACAGGAATACGGCTTACGTGAGAAGGGTTAATCCGGCCGAGAAAGTAGTTGCCGACGAATAGAAGGCGGACGTTCCATCTGATGGGGAAAGGATCATGGCACTGCCACGAAGGCTAAGAAATGCTGTCCAATAATGATTGTCGACCGGAATATGCTGAAATTCGTCTCTTCCGTCGCCGTTGGATTGATAATCATCGAGTTCGACTGCCAGGTCCTTCAACAAACACCATCGAGCCCCACAAAAATCCATAACTGCTTGCAGTCGAAGCATGCAATGACATTCAATTGTCGAACTCCTACAAGCTACGCTGCCATCAATGCTTCATTCAATTTGCATGCGACGATCATCTTGGCGCTGTTGCTGAAATTGCCCAATTCGGCAGGTTGAGCTTGGAGACAAGAATGAATGCCGTATTTTCCGGCCAGCCGTCTATCCGCGACAGACACACCAGGGGACCACGTGGGAATCAATTAGGCATCTAGATATACTTCTATCGGTCAAGTTCTCGGATTCGATGGATGTCCGTTTGGACTCGTTCGATTCGTGGGAGCTCCGTCTTGAAATGATATGTTTCGTGTGGCAATCAGATATATTTTTGTAGACGGCTAAACAAGTTGCGACAATTAGGTCCTTCATGTCGGCCAGTCCGGTTTAGGCGGGTACCTAGATCCAGACCGCTACTCTCAGCAGAAAGACAAGCGCATGCTTGTCTGCGTTTTTACTTTGACGCACAGGACAGCTAGTCAAAGACATTGGAGAAGGGTCGGCGTCGACTTGTTGTTTCAATGGTATGATGGCCCCACTTTGCCTCGTGATATCTGGAAGATCAACACCAACATCTTTGGACTCCATAAGTCTCCAGTGAAGAAATTTGATCTGCCGAGCAGTAGGTGAGATCAATTCAGGTATTACTCCAGCTATTGAAATGATCTTCCCCGCCATCAAGCGACCATTGTTGGACTGGCGCAACTATGCCATCTGCATTTGTCGTGAGCCAGCGCGCCATCGATACTGGGGCTATCGATGACATTGGATCGATGAAAGATGCCGCAGCGGCATTATTGTAAGGCTGCCTCATTGGAGCAAAGTTGGACTTGGCACAACTTAGGGATGGATCGGGCCACGGCATTCTCTCGACCATGCCGGGAGTGAAGAAGGCATTGCAATCGTGCAACGGTAGCTGCATCCGATTCGTAGAGTCGGCCACAGCAGATTCGCGATGTACGCTGTCGACAAATTGGGGCTCCTGTCCAGTAGATCCCGAGTCTTGCTTCGTCTGAGCGACAGGCGATCTTACTGATTGAGAAGGATTCGTTGGGTCAGAGTTAAGCTCTTTCGATCGGTTGCTGAGTCGGTCGAGGATTGGCGCCATGTCCTCCAATCGCCGCAGTAAAGTCTCAGCTGCGGTGAAGATACCACTATAGGCTCGAGATAGGGCCACCGCGCTTTCGAAAACCTGGCGAATCTTTGCCACGGTATCGAATTGTCCTATGCATCCGGCCGTGGGGTTCCTTTCGATATATGTAACGACCAGGAACAGAAGTGCGCAGGCTCCTGATAGCATGTGCTGGAAGTGAGCATGCTGGTTGCGATAGAAAGTAGTATGTTCGTCCAATTCGACCAATGTCTCCACAGAATCGCTGATGAGATCGAGTGCTGGCTTGACCTGGCGCTCGGCAGCCGATCGCGGGCCACTTAAGACGAAGAAGAGCCGTACCAGCATGTTTTTCACTGAGTTGGCCCTCAGGTATAGAAGTAAAGACCAAGATGGCAGTTTGTCGTGGGAGCAATAAGCACGCTGCAACAAGATCGGAGCATGGTTTGACAAGGCTTTGCGGCGCCATTGTTCGATTTGAAAATTGACGAGCTCGAAAGCATCCCCGTCATCGAATGAGCCGCATTCCAGCGCGTCGGCAATCATCGTGGAAACCATCTCGCTAATGTGAAGGAACGGTATCATAGCTTTGAGATATGGCGTGTGCACCTGAAGATTGTTAGTTGGCTTGATTGATCGTTCGTGTAGGGTGCAGGGCGCTTACAGCTGACAGAAGTTCTGTTGAGAAGGAAGCCGTCTTGTAACGGGTTGGCAAGCCCACTAATGCACTATACTGATGATCGAGCGTGATCACTGCGCCAGCTATGACTGCCGCTTCTGCACGTTCTTGATCAGAGCCAAGCACGTTCTTGACAACTTCGGCGTCGTGCAGGCCGAGCTCCATCATCATGGAGCCAGCAATGCCACATAATCTCCAAGAGGTCCGTACGATGTCTCTGAAGTAGTGATAGTGTGCTGCCAGCAGGATAATGATGATATCTTTCATGCTCGAAACGGGGGAAAGGGTTCTTGATTGGATGCTCTTCTCCAGAGTATAGTAGAGCTCCTCGCTGTCAATTGGCTTCGCAAAAGCGACCTCAGCAGCAAGTGTGATACAAATCACTAGGAGTGTTATGAGAGAATCGTCCTCATCCAAGGGGCATGACTTTGGAGGGTCATCGGTCCCAGCACTGAATCCAACGGCCCATGCATACCATGTTTCGGCTTTTTCTTTCAGACAAGCAACCTCCAAGAGCGGGTATCGCTCGCCGACGAGCTGTTCATACATGTCTATGAGCCGAAGTGCTTCGACCAGAGGTATTCTCAAAGGCAGCTCCACGAGGCAAGTAAAGGTTGATGACGGACCGGCATGCCGGCCACTGCTTTGAGATGCGCTTCCTTCAATGGTGTCTGGTATCGAGTGACTGAGCCCGTCGCAGAGTTTTTGATCAGCACAGGTTATGTTTGATCTTCGACCACGATCATTGACTCTATCACTCTCACGCAAAAGCTTGTCTCGTGCCAACTGGAAGCTGTAGTCAGGGCTCATGTAGCCTGAGAACGTGGTCCTTGTAGTCGCCGAGGCTGCATGACTACTGTTTTCTGCATCGGAGAAAGCATTACCTTGCTTCACGTTGTTGGTCTTGTCGTCATGCTGAAGGGACCTTACTCTTTGTGCTCCAGTATCGCAATTCGAAACAAACGCAAGAGGTCTCTCGGCTCTTAGACCATCCTGAACATGTGATGTCTGCGCTTCGTGATCATTCTCCCGTAAGTGTTGTCCAACGATGGCCGTAAGGTATTCAAGCTTTTTCTGCAGGCTCAGTAGCATGTGCTCGACGTGGCCAAGAGGACTTTGCTACAGACGTCAGCCACGCTTCATTGTGGTCGCCGCGAAATGACTCGATAGACTGACGCATTGCTTGACGGCTGAGTCGTTGGGACGTCGCCGAGCACGCTCCTCCAGTCGCTCGGCGTCAACGAGTAATGGCATGTTTGTCCTCTCCCCGCACAGTAGTCGCATGGCACCTTGCCATCACACCTTCCTTTCCTTCGACGACAGCTATCACAAGCTCGCGGGGCATATGCCAAACGTCGTTTGCCCGAGCCTGGACCGCATCTTTCATCCGTGGCAATGGCTCGTTTGCCAGGCCGAGACCGGGCCGCGTCTATCGTGGACTCTTCATCCTGCTCGCCAGCATCAGGCGCTCGCTTGGTCGGCATGAGGTCGTTCGGCAGCCGCTGTGTAGTTGTGGTTCGCAATCGAAAGAAAAAGTCATGGGTGCACAATGCTCTCTGTAAGCATAATATCAAGGACTTCGGAGTGTGTTCATCTCTTGCGGAAAGACCTCTTGGAAACTTGTGGGCTTTCGATACGGACGAAGGGCTTTCTGGGGGGAGTTTTCGTCGCAAACGTCAACCTTAGGCTTATGTTTCACGGCCCGTCAATTAGCGAAGGACTCCCCACCGCACAGTCCGATAAGTTCCTAGCTGAGCAGCAGTCCATGGGGAGTCAGGGAATCATGGTCCCTGGCCCGCGGTTTCTCCAGGCTCCAGCTGAGACATGCTCGATCCCAATGCCAGCTGGGGCACGAAAGAAGGCTGCTGGGACGAACAACATCATGTATCGGCAGAATCAGAGATCAGGATGCCTTCGGAAAGCTGTGCCAATTGTTGTGAAAGTTGTGATTGCTCTTTTCAGCTACAACGGATTTGTTCCTGCCCATATGTCAGGCAGATACGCAGTGCATGCAAGCACGCGGTCAAATCTGGAAAGCACCACCTGTGTCTCACCAACGATCATCGCACACACTCCCACGCCTCGTTGATCATTTCGGCCAAGACTTTCCCACAACCAAGTCTGTAGACTCTGACTTCCCGTGTCACCATTGCACCGGAGCAGTGGTGTTGGTCAATCTGCTGCGAAGTAGCACTCATTGGCTGGCCATGCAAGTAAGGTCAACATGTCACGGTCTCGACACCGATACGACTTACTGTAGTTATGCCCGGCGAGAGCCCTAAGAAAATGGTGCCGTTTGCCGTGGAACTTTCCGAGCTGACCACGCGTTGGGAAATCGTCCGAGCTTCTGCAACAAGGAGTTGGCTGATGTCTGAGACCCCTGAAGGAAAACTACCTCTCGTACAGCAAGAAGCTTGCAGAGCTTATTACAAAAGCTAGGGCCATCGAAACACCTTTACTCTATGCCAGTCGTAATTGTGCAATGCAGGAATCTGCCCCAGCCGCTCTTCTGCCCACTGCCATGAGGCAGAGCAACTTCATCATGTGCAGTCATCGAGCTGCGATTGGCTCGCACCCTTTGAAATGCGTTCGAGATGAGGACTTTGTCTTGTTACACTCAAGCTTCGTGGATAAGAACAGGTGTCGCGTCTAGTGTGCCGAGAACTTGTTGATGGTCTCGTTAAGGACATTTGACATGGTGCAATACCCAAATGAATACCGTAGGGCCGATCCAAAGCCATCCTCCATATGATATGTTGTGCCAGATCGGGGACATTAGTCCAATAGGCATCCGCAATGCTGTCTATGGTGTCTCTTAGTTCCTCAGCTCCAGGCCTGATACTGATATCCAGATAGCCTGTACTCGCTCTGACGTCCTCATGAATGATCCGACTCAACTCCAGCCTTCGCATCTTCATTACATTCACAGCCCAAGGCTGAGAGAATCCGTTCTTGTGCCTCTGTCTACCTCAATTGCACAAACGCCTTCGAAGCCCCTTCAACCACGGCCTCAACATCTGTCAGAGACGCGGTCGTCCGTGAGAATCTCTTCGGAGATATTTAGATGAATCGTCTGGCCTGTAGAAATGCAACGTGGCTGTAGTAGCCGCCTCGGTCCCTGTCTCTGTCTGAACTGTGGCCGGGCGAGCGCAGACGCCATGGTTTCCGTCTTCGGTTGAGTCGTCTCCAAGGGAACATCGCGTTCGTACAGCAGCTAAGTTGTCCTGGATCCTGGTAATCGATAATTGAGTTGCTTGTGAGTTGTGTACTGTACGAGAGGTGAAGCGAACGAAAGTCCAAACGAGCGTGCTCAACCAGTCCGCAAGATTGAATGCCTGGCACACAACGACTTGGCTAAGCCTGAAAGGTCCTAGGGCCACTCCCCCATGGAACAGAAAGCGAGGCGAGGTGTCCGGAAAATACGGAATCGTTCCTAAGGTCTCAACTTGCCTGATTGGGAATCCAGAGAAGCTGCCAAGAATACGGTTGCCTTGGGCGGGTCCCACAAATCTGACTCCAGCACAATGATGGCTTCGCATGAGGGCACCAGGGTCTGTCAGGTAGCGGCAATGCTGCACTTGTTGGATATGCCTTGGCTGAAGAACTGCCAAACTGCAGAATTGCTAGATCGCTCCCAGCTGCGGCCTTTCTCGGCAGCAGCAATTCGAAATGTTAGAGAGGTCAGGAAGCTCATTCGCTGTCAGTTTTATGCGCGGAGGCGTCGTGTAAGCGACAGGTGTCAAATCTTCGGTTGCCCATTTGCGTTGCGTTGCCCACTTGCGCAAGAGCCCAGCATGCACCTCTCGTCCTTAAAATACAAAGCTTGAGGTTAAGCTTCAAGATGAACCAAAAAACTTCGTTCGAATCGAAAGGGCATCAGATGTCAAGGCACTTGCAACTTTTGAAATGTGACACTTGTGAAGGATGATGTTGGACCGTTCTGCTTTCTGAGATGTAATGTCAGCATCTGTCGTTCCTCACAACCAACCTAATCTGCAATAAGCAAAAAAACTTAGATTTCACAAGTCGAATGCGGCCTCAGATGCTTACAAAGATGGCTTCCAATTCGTTCTCACAATCTGTCTTGTCCTCAAATCGCACACCTTCTTTCCACTCAGTACCATGGATCCACGACAGTATTTTGGAGATGGAATCTGGCTTCTTCAGAGAGATTGGTTCACAAGTATATATGTTACACCCACCTCCCACCTAGAGCACCCATCAGTTCTTAGACCTTCTCCAGTTACGGACCCTTCGAAGACCCAAAATTTTCAGAAGCAAAAGAACTTGATAAAACCACTCACACAAGAACTTCCTTCGCTCTCCGATTTCAAGACCAGAGCTCAGCCAACATGCCTTCCCAAGTCGAGTTTCTTGCCGCTCTCAAGGCAACAGAGAAGGCCACTCCCGCCCCCGTCGCTCTGCAAGTAGAAGAATCCTGCGAGCCAACCGATTTGCCCCCGGCCGAGATTTCTCGCGCTGCGACAGTCGGAGAAAGCCAGGAGGAAGAAGAATCCACCTGCTGCCCCATCTGCACCCTCCCGGCCGCCACCATGGTCACGACTCCCTGCTCCCACGCCTTCTGCCCCGACTGTGCTGAAGCGTGGTTCCGCTCCTCTCGCACATGCCCAATGTGCCGTCAAGAACTCTTCTCTGGTGATCTGGCACCAGCCCCATGGCCACCAGCCTGGCTACCCCAAGATATCGTCTGGTTGCCTGTCGGAGAGAGCGAAGTCGAAGACCAGGCCGCTCGAGCTCGCGCGTCGCTTGTAGGCCGCGAGGGTGGACGACTCCGGGAAATCCTCGAAGTGGATGAACCAGAGAGAATGCCGGTGGGAATGTCTCGCCCCACGTGCGAGCACATGGTTCCGGACGTTGGAAATGAGGAGATGGCGGATTTCTTGCAGAATTTGAAGTTGGCGGTGTTTATGGCTGTACATTGGTTCAAGCCTCGCCTTCCGCCACTTCACGAGAACGATGTCAATGCATCAAGCCAAGGAGGACAGAGGGAGGACGAGAATCCACGAAGATATGCCGAAGGAGCGTGCTCGACTGCTTGGAAGATCGTCATGGACTCGATGATGAAGACGGTCGCAGAGTTCATCGATGCTGAGACCGGGGAGCTCTGGCATGTGCATGAGTATGGAGAAGATGCCCTTGCAAGGTTGAGGAAGAGACTGCATGGGAACTGGAAAGACGCTTGGGCGGAGCTGCACGTTCGCAGTCAACCCTCTGTCGCCTCAAGGAAACAGAAAAGGGCTAAAGCCAAGGGAAAGAATGCGAAGCCTGTATTCGAATGGCCACGTTATTCGGACGGATACGAATCGGTCATCATGCTCACGACTCCAGCGCCAGAAGACCCGCAAGCAGCGCAGGACGAAGGCCAAAACCACCACCAACACCAAGAGAGAGTGGGACGTTTCGCTTCACAGCACAGCATGACACCGGGTATGCGTCAAGTCAGCCGACAATTCGCCCAGGACCTCCATGATGTTGTCGAGTACGTTATCGGCGTGACGACGGAATTCTTCGTCCATGAAAAGCCAGCCTACGCGACAAAATGCGAGTGTGCTTCCGATTCCGTTCATGGCGATGGAGCCGATGGTGAGCAAGACGGCGACGAAGATAGTGACGAAGATTGGTATTCTGATGACGAGAGTGATGTTGGCCTTGGTGGAGATGATTAGGCTTGGCTCCGCTTGGGTTTCGGATTCTTGGAATGCAATAGAATGCTCTGTAGAATGTTAATTGAATTTGCTAATATCACCTCGTCTCTACTATTCAGATTTGAATATGCTGCCACGGGTCTGAGCTCGAATTTGGAAGCGGCAGAAGCTGACCGACAGCTGAAGTCTCGTTGGTCGCGTGTCGTCGGCTTTTGCTTGCCATTTTTGGCTCCGGACCGCTGTCACTTCGGCTTCCGAGCTCCTTCACCAGAATCGACTCTGCCGTGATGATGGATATGGCCCCATTTCCGATGAATTCTTCTCCCAAAGCAGGCGATTGTGATGATGTTGGTGGCGGCGGAGGAAACGGAGGAGTCGAAAGGTGGTGATGGCGGGGAGATTCTGGACCCTGGTTCCTGGTCGCGCCGAAATGTCAATTGAGACTCACTTTCAGATTTCGAGTCACACAGACATCTTCACCGACAAAGACTTTCTGCACCTCAACACGCTCGCCGACATTCGCGTGTAGAACAGCAGCTATACCGCCAGCATGGGTGACTCCGAGGTGTGTTCCCTTCTCACTGCCTCGGTCCCGCTGTTGCAGCTTCACTTGAGATCGACACAGCTGACCATGAGTGACTCCTCACAGTTCTTCCTGCCAAATCCCGCAGTGGGCGACCGCAATGGCGTCGAAGACTGGCGTATCCGTGGCATGACACCGCTCACCCCACCTGACCTCCTCCAGCACGAAATCCGCCAGAATGAGAAATCGAAGCAGACAGTGATCAAGGGCCGCAACGAGGCCGTGGACGTGGTGCATGGGACGGACAAGAATCGCCGCCTGTTGGTGGTCATTGGGCCATGCAGCATTCACGACCCGGCCATGGCGCTGGAATACTGTGACAGGCTGCTGAAGCTGAAGGAACAGTACGAGGAGGACTTGCTTATTGTCATGCGCTCTTACTTGGAGAAGCCTCGCACGACAATCGGCTGGAAGGGACTGATTAACGACCCGGACATTGATAACTCCTTCAACATCAACAAGGGTCTGCGCGTGGCGAGACAGATGTTCGTTGATCTCACCACGAAGGGCATGCCATTGGCTTCGGAGATGCTCGATACCATTTCACCACAGTACACTGCCGATTTGCTGTCTGTGGGAGCTGTCGGTGCTCGCACAACAGAATCGCAAGTCCACCGTGAACTGGCGTCTGGTCTCTCCTTCCCCATCGGCTTCAAGAACGGCACCGATGGAACTCTGGGTGTAGCCATTGACGCAATCGGCGCAGTAAAGCACCCCCACCACTTCCTTTCTGTCACGAAACCTGGCAATGTCGCTATTGTCGGAACTGTGGGCAACGATGACTGCTTCGTCATTCTCCGTGGCGGCACCAAAGGCACCAACTACGACACGAAGAGCATCGCAGATGCGAAAGAGGCACTTGTCAAGAAGGGTCTCCGACCCAGCTTCATGGTCGACTGCTCACATGGTAACTCGAATAAGGATCACAAGAACCAACCCAAGGTCGCACACGAACTCGCCGAGCAAATTCGAGCTGGCGAAACTGCCATTAGCGGTGTCATGATTGAGAGCAATATCAACGAGGGCAACCAGAAGGTGCCTGCTGAGGGCAAGAGCGGGCTGAAGTACGGCGTCAGTATCACAGACGCGTGTATCAACTGGGAAGATACCGAACTCGTCCTGAAAGAGCTGGCAGAGGCTGTGGCTGCGCGAAGACAGAAACTGGGACCTGTCGAGAAGAACGGCGTCAACGGTCATGCTTAGATGCGGAAAGATGAACATGATACACCTTTTCCACACAGTGTTGGCGTTGGCTTCTCAAAAATAGCGTTTCCTGGGGACATGGCTTGGTTTCGGAAAAGATGCGCATATGAGTGATGACTAAGGGATGTACGTAGGACATTTGGGGAACAAAAAAGGAGAATCCACACAACGCCAACTTCCATTTCTCCCATCACGCACGTATCAGCAACTCCAGACGCCATCAAATCTAGTAAAACCTGCAATCCCGATAACTGCAAAAGCCCAACGCCACCTATCCCTCCTCCAAACCTAAACCCCCGTCCCACAAAACTTCGCACTCGCAGCATCATATCCATACGCATGCTGACTATGCGTAGAAATCACTCCGCCCGAATTATAAGCCCCACACAAGCCCGCAATCATCGCACTCCTGCCCCGTCTCGTACCCGCATCGCACAAATTATCTCCTCCGAAATTGCAAAAGTACGCCACAGTGTTACCGCGTATGGCGTAGAAATTCCTACCCTTGGGCACGAAAGTCGCTTGCTTGCCATCTCCGCATTGACGATCGAGGTCTGCGTTGGCGGCGTCGAGGTCTGCTGCATTGAGGGCTTTGGCGGAGTAGCATTCGGTTTTGTAGTCCCGGCGGAGGAGGCGGGTGAGGGGGTGGGGTTGGACGTTTGGGGTGGTGGGGATGTATGTGGTGCTGTTGGATGCCAACTCATGCTGGTCGAGGCCTGTCGTGGAGGATCTGGAGACTATGTAGACTCCGTCGGGAGTTCCAGCGGGGATGGTGAAAGCGCTGATGGCTTGGAGAGCTCCAAGGAGAAGAGATACAGAGAACAGCATTGTTGGTGAGGCGGCCTATTCGATTGTATCGGATCGTGGTCGATGTCTATGGGCTGGAGAAGAAGTAAAAACAGATGAGCAGGTTCATGTTCTTATGGAGAGGAAAGGAGCATCTGGGACACGTAGTTGGTGGAGGCTGGTGTTACGTTCTGGCTGCATGTCTCACCGGAGATCAGAGCCTACACTTGTTCCAAGCTACTTAGGATGAGGGCAGTGCATCTAGAAGGCGTCCTATGAAACGATGCTTATGCAGAAAGTGGACACTTTGTGCGATCTTGGGCGTTTCCGGTGAAGAGCTTCGGATTTGGGACGTGAAAGACAAGCGGTCGCAAGGCTATTATTGCAATTCAAACCTCCAACGCTGTCGTATGCTGCTTGACCGGCCGGATCGAAACGCTGTAGCACCTGCCGAGCGCTGCGGAGACTGCACGTTTCATACACGCAGGCGCAGCGCGATCGTGTGCGCGCCTTAGGGAGTTGGGAGGTTGTGAATGAGATGAGCTCGTTCGGATACGACTAGGTGTCATAGAGACTGAGTGGGCTATGGGATTGCTTCGCATTTTCTTGGTTTCATGTCGTCTATCACCCTACTTCATCGATTGATTATGGGCAGTCCATCGGCTGAGTCTCATATCCATCACATCGTTGCTGCAGTGACCTCATCAGCCCAATCCTTCGTCTCAGCGCCCTGGTCAGCAACCTCTTCAACTTTTGTGATACTTTCAGCAGCCACGTTTGCCTCATCGCCACTTCCGCCAGCCTCAGGCGACGGAGTCATGATGCCAGGAGGACTCTCGGCACCCAGTCCCTCCCCATCACTCGCACTTGTATACGCCAGATCTCGACTGCGCTCCTTTTCTTCCTCTTCCACTTCGGCCGCCTCCCAGTCATCGACGATGACAGGCGCAGCTGCAGCCGGAGCCTTCGCCTTGAGCGCGGGCGCCTTCTTGGCGAATGTCACTTTGTTCCCGGATAGTGCCGAAAAAGCATTCGTAGAGCCAAAGGTGCTGCTGGTGAGGGCTACTTTCGGAGCAGATTTCTTTGCAGCAACTCTCGACCACCCATCACCTGGCGCGCCGTCTGATTCGAAACGTGTGATATTAAGGGAAGTGTCGGTCGTGCAGAGCTGCATGCTTCCAAAACCCCGGTTGGCAATTTTGGTGCCGAGGGGTTCCTTGAGGTTGAAAAGCATGCGTTCGAGGTCCTGAGGGGGCAAGGTGCGGGTAATGGCCTTCAGCACAATATCTTCGCTGGGCAGGAACTCCACATCAAAGGTAAAAGGATATGCGCTGTGTAGAACTGCGTTGATCTCGGCTCGAATTTCATCGATCGTCAGACCGAACCGAGCGTTGGTGATCCGAAAACTGTTGAAAGGCTCCAACGATCTAGCCTTGGGTTTCGTAGGCGCGCTTTCGTTGTCAGAGGCATTCGTGCTAGCGTTGACTGATCGCTGTGCTTGCTGCCGCAAACGCAGGGCATCGGCCAAGGTCTTGTTGGGCGCAGAAACGAAGCGCGGAGTCTTCCAGATCATGACATGGCGATGTGGCTCGGGATCAACGCTTTCCGAGTCTAGTCCAAAATCCTCTGCGAGCGAGTGCACGAAGGACCGCTGCTGTGCTTGCATGGGCTTGAACCGCAGACGCTTCTCATCGGGAGAAGTTGCGAAGACCCTAAACTCGCGTTCTTGCGTCTGGCACCACTTGGGATGTGCTGCGAATAGATTGAGTGTTTCGGTGGAGTATGGGATATGGTCCCCGCCTTCAACATGAGTGGACTGGTCGATGTTCAGAGCAACTGCAAGTCGCCGGTTGCGCTCGAGCCTAGCGCATTCCTCGTTGCAAGGCAGACTCTTGAGCGTATTGCCTTCACCAGACGTAGAAGCGCCGCACTTGACTTCTTGCTTTTGCGCCTGGCATTCACAAGTGATGAATATCTTGCTATTGCAAGGTTTGCTCTCCTTACAGGCAAACGGAGCATGGCAAGGTGCCTCGTCTGGATGGCCGCACACCTTCTTCTCTTTGCCACAAGGTTGCGTGCATGCTTGGCCGCCAGCATCCTCGCACTGACCTTTGCGATGACACTGCTTGCGGCAAAAGTGCACACCACACTTTAGCTTCTGGCCGCACACAGTGCCACAGCTGACGTCGCGGAGCCAGCACTGCTGATTCTTTAGCGCTTTCTTCCCACACATGCACATTTTTGGTGTCAAAAATGGGCACTTGGGACAAGCGTCATCGTCTTGATGGCAGTTGTGAGCAACTTGAGGATGTCCGCAAGCCTTCGGCCGTTCGCATGGGTAACGACATGGAGGTGGCTGTGTGCCGCAAGGAAGTGGAGGTTGCAAGACAGTTCGCTCGCAGTTGCAAGCAACCTCTTCAAATATGGCTTCTCTGCATGAACCACATGGACCTTTGTGGCAAAGCTCTTCGCATACATGGTTGCCGCATTTGAGTGGACGACCGCACTGGCGAGTGCAAATGTGCTCAGCTTCATAACCTTCTTCGGCAGTCCGTGGTGCGGATCCGAGTGGTCTACCTTTCTTGCGACTGGCCTGGCGCTCGTGTGCTTTGCGCTCACCAGTACAGCAGTGCTCATCACACATGTGCCTTCCGCAGTTGAGAGTGATTCGGCACACCCGCATACACTGAGGCGGCTCATCCATGCCTTGATGGCAGACCGTGCTGTGCGATGTTCTTCCACATCGACAATTGATTGAGACCATCTTCAAACATGACCCGCAGCTTCCCACATGACATACTTGTGGGCAAAGGTGTCCACAAGGCAACACCTTATCGCAGGGCTTCGAGCAGCTGGGGATGTCATCTTGACAAGATGTTCTTGGGGCGTCGGAAAGCTCGTGTAGGGGAGTCTTGCCGCAAGAGCAGTGAGTAACGACGTCGGGCGATCTGGGGCAATGTCCTGCCTCTCCGTCTTGCGGATGGCACCGCTTCTCGCACTGATGGGTACCGCAGTCAAACGCTCGCCCACAAGTGCTGCCACAGTCAAAGACTCCTGTCCAGCTTTCTAGAATCGACTGAGACTCCGGGATATTTGAAGTGACGTCTCTATTGGCTGGTCCTGGGGCCGGAGAAGCGTCGAGAATGTGCTTTCGACTGCTCTGTATCGGCACACCGCGGTCACTGCAGAGCACGTCTTTCTCCATCTGGCCACAATAGCAGCGTGCCGGAAGACGGACCTCGCATGGGCCGCAAGATCCAGCGTGGCATGGCCTCTCACATTTATGCTCGCCGCAAGAAAGCGTGGATCCGCATGTCTCGCCACAACTCCAGCCAGCCTCATAGTTGGTTTCCATGCATCGCTTGGTCGATTCATGTGACCCACAATAACACTGTTGCGTAGGACCCATATGCGTGCACGGTGGACAAGGTCCAGCATGGCAAGTCAGTTGGCATGGGTGCGGACATTTTCTCACTCTCTCCTTGCCGCATGTCTGTCCGCATGAGTGGGGAGGGATGCCCTGAAGCGGTCGTGGATCGGTCTCCTTCTCGCACCAACATGTGTACGAATGAGGCAGATCGTCCTTGGGCAAATTGCATCCCGGGCATCGCCACTGCCGCATATGAGGCACCCCATCTGAGTTTTGCTGTGCAGCAGATGCTCCGGCATTCGATGACCATTGCTTGATGCACTTCAAATGAAACACGGTCCAGCAGGTATGACATGACCACACCTTGGAGTTTCGCAAGACCTCGCTTGTGCAAATGGCGCATTCGTAATGGCGATTGTCGATATCTTCATGAGTGCGGGTCGCAATGTCCGGTGCTTGTGACTTTGACATGCGTCGTTGCTTGGGCTGACGATGTGGTCGCTCAATCGGCTGCTTCTGAGTGACATTCTGTACATGCTGTTGGCCGGGAACGAACACAGGTGCTGCCCCTTGCAACGATGCAGCATTCGAGGCTTCGCTTTGGTCAGTCTCCGTTCGTGTGAGCTGTCCACCGAAAGTTCTGCCGTTCACAGTTGAGCGCTTTTCCGACCCTTGAACGCCACCCCGGCCGCCTCTGCCCCGGCCTCTACCTCGACCGCCACCTCGACCTCCTCGCTGAGGCGTGGCATCTGATTGCTGCGAAGAAGCTTCGACTGGAGCGATACTCGCTGGCCTGAAAGCTAGCGATGGATCTTCGCCACCTCCTTCCCTTCGCGAGCCTCTACCACCTCTACCACGTCGTGGTCCGCGTCTTCGTTGTGCTGGTTGTGATGGTTGTGCAGCTGCGGGCGTTTCCATGACGAGACCGTTCACGACTGACGTCGGCGATCCAAGCGGATCCAGAATATGCAGAGTCGTCTTCTTATCGTTTTGTTGTACGGTGTTCAAGGTGGCGCTGATGAGATCAGTGGAGAAGCCCGTGAGGTTGTTCCTTCTGACGAAGTTTGTAAAGAAAACGGCAGGCTCTGATAATGTCGGCCTGCCTTCAACAGTATAAACAGCAAGCGCGGCGCAGACAACGAGTGACGGCGGATGATTGAAAGTGAGTCAGTCAGGATGTGGTGGCTGAGGAGGTAGTGTTTGTCTGGTGCTGTGGCAAGCACAGGCGATGCTTTTCGTCATAGCCATCCCTGCCACGCTAGACCGGATCGCGGCATTGACCTGCATTAGTGCATAAACATGTGCACGTCTGCACAAATACTAGCGAGCTTCTCACAAGACATCAGCAATGGCAGCAGAGGCGGACGACGTGCCGCAGGGCACCAAACGCTCGCACGATGAGAGCGAGCAGGATAACGGACAGACTCGACCGAACGACAACGAGGACAGCGATTCCGGCGACGACGACCTGGGCCCAGCTCTGCCCTCAGCCGATGCGCCCAAGAAGAAACGACGAAAACTGCCCTACGAGAGGCAGTATGTCGCGGCGCTGCCCTCTGCGACGCGATACTCTAAGTCGCTGATGCACAAGGACCAGCTCGTCTTCTGCACTTTCACTCCGCAAACCGACTTTCTCATCACCACCTCAGTCGATGGCTTCGTGAAATTCTGGAAGAAGACTTCGGGCGGCATCGAATTTGTAAAAGAGTACAAGGCACATGAGGGAGAAATTCGAAGCGTCACTGTCAGCGCAGATGGGCGGAGCTATGCGACTGCGGGCGTGGATAACACCATCAAGATCTTTGACGTGGCCACCTTCGACCTGCTGGCTATGCTCGAGCCGCAGAAGCCACCCAAGGCGGTATGTTTCGTGCATGGCCATGGAACGTCCTTTCCTCTGCTTGCTGTGTCGAACGAAGCGGATGGGGGTATTCACATCTATGACGGGCGAGGCGAAAACAGTGAGCCTATGCATACCATTGCATCGCTCCATCGCAAACCTGTGCATATCATGACGTACAACAACGCCTATGATTGTGTGCTCTCAGCAGATGAGAGTGGCATGCTGGAGTACTGGCAGCCTTCTTCGCCGTTCGAAAAGCCGAGCAACGTATGGGAGATGAAGAGTTCCACCAACTTGTTCGAGTTCAAAAAGGCGAAGTCGGTTCCGTCTTCCATCACTGTTTCGCCCTCGGGTGAACAATTTGCGACATTCTCGTTCCCCGACCGGAAGGTGCGCATCTTCAACTTTGTCACTGGCAAACTGCACCGTTCCTACGACGAAAGCATTGCGACCATCAACGATATGCAGCAGGCCGGCACACTCAGCGCCACTCCATTAGACGCCATTGAATTCGGCCGTCGCATGGCTGTTGAGCGAGAACTGGACACACCTGCTTTGCGACCTCGCGTCAACGTCATCTTCGACGAGAGCGGCCACTTCATTCTGTACGGAAGCATCCTCGGCACGAAAGTAATCAATACCTTCTCAAATCGGCTTGTCAAGCTGTACGGTCGCGAGGAGCCTTTCCGCCCTCTCAACATGGCGCTATACCAAGGCCAACCCGACAAGAAGGCTTTCACGACAGTGCAAATGGCCGCGTCCGAGAACCCCTTGCTGGCCGAAGCAGAAGCGCGAGACGCAATGCTGGTTAACACAGGTTCCGGCAAGGTGCGCTTCTACATGTTTACCAACGATGACAGTGTTTCAAAGTCCGATCGTGACATTCACAACGAGAAACCGCGCAACTTGGTCGCGAACAAGCAGAAAGAGGAAGCGGAGCGTGAAGCCCGGATGGGTACCACTGCGACGATTCACACCACCATGGGTGACATCAGCATCCGTCTGTTCCCGCAACACGCGCCAAAGGCTGTGGAGAATTTTGCAACTCATTCCAAGAACAACTACTACAACGGCATTATATTCCATCGAGTGATCCGCAAGTTTATGATTCAGACTGGCGATCCACTTGGTGATGGAACAGGTGGCGAATCGATATGGGGAACAGAATTTGAGGATGAGTTCACTCCAGAGCTTCGACACGATAAGCCGTATATGGTGAGCATGGCGAATGCAGGGCCCAAGACGAATGCTTCACAGTTTTTCATCACGACCGAGCGTGCGCCGTGGCTGGATGACAAGCATACAATTTTCGGACGTGTGGTGAAGGGAATGGACGTTGTGCATATGATCGAGAACACAAAAGTCTGGAAGGAGAAGCCGGTGGATGACATCAAAATTGTCAACATCACCGTGGATTGAAGCGTGAAAAGTATGATCTTTGGGCAATCGAAAAGGTTGCCGGCTTCATCGGCTGATTTTTGAGGATGCGCCGAACTATACCAGGAATACCGGGCCGAGCATGTGGTATCCTTGCGAAGAAGCCGGCACTGCACTGCGATAGCAATTTTGGTGACAACCAAAAAAATGCCATGGCGGACCGTGAACCTTCCAGCACGCAAAAGGACTTTCATCAATCTTCTAGAGAACTATCTTGGCGCCATGCAGCACGGTAGATTTCGGGCTTTGCTTGAGCGTATGCCACCGACTTTATTTACCAGCGTCCTTTTCATCGAGTGTGCCCAAAGAGGAAACTCGGCATCAGTATCGCCCTTTCATTCTTCCCTCTCACTCCAAGCTCCACACTTGTGCAAGCAAATATTACGCCCCAATCATGCCCGAGCTTGTCAAACGCCCGATGGTCCCAGAGCAAGCATCCTGCAAAGCAGAGCCAGCAGCTCCCGATTGCGATGGCGATGCTTGGCGTGTGCCAATTACTGTGCCTTACGAGAGTACGACAAGTTCAGAAATTCAAACTGCATCGACACCGCAACATGGCTCAGATTCCAAGCAATCACGATTCGGCTTCTTCCAGAACAGTTTAGTATTTCACGCCCGGCCAAAGAATGGCTCCATCTTGTCTGCCACCGCAGCCTATGCTCGGGATGCAGCACAGAGGAGTAGTGAGGAAACTTTGGTCAGCTTGATTTCTGATTCCTCGAGGAGTTCAGAACAACAGGCTGCGCGGGCAACGTCACTGGAGTACAGGAAGAGCTGCACGACTCGTCGCAGACGTCAGTTGTCCCCGTCATCAGTCTATTCGCGATCAACCAGCGCAGCCTTTGAGAATACGTTCGGAGGCCGTGTGGGAGGGGTAACTCAGGGGTACAGTAGACATGACAATCAGTCCTACGCCAACCAATACATACAGCTGGTTGGATTAGAAACTGAGCGTTATGGCAGTGAGAATCCAGTCCGACCAAAAGACGATGGAGTGGCTGCGTTGCTCCCAAGCACCCCTGCGCCCGCCAGAGCCATGCCTGCAACTGAACCTCGAAGCCGGGGTGAAAGGCAAGCACGTCGGAGTACGAAGTACAAAGCTGAAAGTGGCGGCGATCTTGATCATAACACGGGCTCGAGCGATGTCGCACTGCCGTCCTCGATGTCAACAACGGATGAGGATGAGATCGCGTGGCTCGAATTCCGACTGGATCGATTACGGGAGGAGAACTTTCAGGCATTCGCTAGCGGATCTTCGATGGCGGTTAAAGAAATGGCCCAGCGACTGCAGTCGCTGACGGAGGCGGCTGAGCGTTTGAGAGACCTGAAACTCGTGACAGGATTGGCAGTGCGTGAACTGGAGGACAGGCACTCGCATGCAGAGGACTTGAGCGGGATGTCGCATTTGCCTACTGTGTCGAGACTCCGTCGCGGAGGTGATCGTTCCGGCAAGAGTGCCATATCTGGCGATGCAGGCAATGATGTCGAAAAGGGCACAGATTTCAGTGTGACCGAGACACAGGCGGAGGAATCCGCAACTGAACGACAACCTAGAACGAGCAAGATCCCGGCTCCGACACAGATCACGAAGAAAAGATGCACCTTTGTGCCGACAAGAACAGCTGGAACTACGAGCAGCGACGTTGTGCCCCTAATACCAAAGCGCAATCCAAGACGACTGCTGAGGAGCAATGATGTGGTAGAGCTGGAGCGTTAGTCGTCAGATACCGCTACGTTTAACGAAGCGCCACGTCTAACTGTTGGTATTGGTGATGTACTGCTTCTGCATGCGAAGTCATTGATAGAAGCGACATGAATCCCAATCTCGAAAACCGCTCTGTAGCACAATCATGCTGGTTCGTCAAGTCAGGGAGCAGAGCCTTTCATCCTTGTTCGGAGAAAGATAGCTCCTAATGCGAAATGTACTGATGCTTTTCAAACAGGTCTTTGCGGCATCATCTAGATCGGGCTTCAGCGAAGAGGCGGTGGAAACTGCCGAAAATGAAGGCGGCAGAATGAAGAGCGGTGAAGTCACAAGCAGAAAGAAATGCAGCGCACCAAGCAAAAGCCAAGGTGCCACCGCGCGAGGTACGTCCTGCCATTCAACTCACGCACGGGATCAAGTTCATACTCAGCGACGCGCCAACAAAGACACATGCTGCCATGTCCAAGAAGTCGCGCCACAGCAAGTCAAGCGAAACCAAAGCCAACCCTCGTGAGGTACTTGAACTCTCCCAGCACTCACAGTAGCTCTCCCTTCGAAGCACAGGACGAGGCGGATGAGATCGACACGCGAAGAAAGACTAAGACAAGAAAGCATGCGGCACCAAAGCCCGCGAAGCGACAACAAACAAGTCCTGATCATGTGGAATCTGGAGAAACTGCGCAGAACAGAAAAAGTTCTGGGAAAGCTAGATCGTGCACGCTGCGGTCACAGACGATCAAAAGATATGCAAACATTACAACAAAGACGATTGCACTTGTGCTTATCGACAACAGAAGTGGTTCAAAGAACTACCATCGGCAGCACAGCATGCATGGATGTCAAGCATGAATCTGTTCCTGGGCACGTCATACCTTAATGGCACGCCAAATGAAGTTTGTCCTTTCGGTCCGGAGCACGAAGACGACTGGGCCATTGCTGCCAATCACGCCATGGCATACTACAAGGAGTACGAACACGCTCACGCCAGTTGGGAATGCAAAGCTGCATTGCCAGAGGACCAGAACTTCATGGACATGTGCGCATTGCGCTCATACGAGGCTATTCAAAAACTAGGCTATCTCGGCTCATTCAACTCCGCCCACGTAACGAAGTGGCTCGAACAGGCTGGTTGCCTGGACGAGATATGTTATGGCACCACTCACAGATAATTTCCAAAATTGGAACAAAGGTCCAAGAAACAAGGCCTACGGCGCCATCAATGGCTTGACAGTCGTGTTTACCCCCGGGTACAAATGTCCGCGGCCGGGCTGTGGCTCTTGCCATTTCATTTTCAAGCCCCGATTCCTGTTACAGACGTGGCTAGGAAGGATCACAGCCGCAAAGTGTCGGGAATACATGGCAGAAGGTCTTCACAACTCGCATCTGGACAGCGAGACAAAATGTATTGACCCGATGCACGCACTCTACGAGACGACAAAGCTGAACATTCAGCAGGTGACGTGCACGAAGTCGAAGAAATGCTCAGGACACCTCGGCAGCCCTGCATGCCTTCTCGAGTATGCTGGAGTCGACAACGCACACTTCGACCAATGCCATCACGAGATGGTCAAAGCGCACGCAGCACATATGCTTCAGCCTCACGAGTGCCCAGAAGAAGGATGCAGTGCCTGCTTCACTTGGCCAGAGATGTTCTACCACTTCCTGGGCGAGCACTTTCCAACACTGTCGAAAGTGCTTTGCGAGGGTGGATATCACATTCCGTGGCCAAATGAGAATGAGGGATGCAAGTTCCATTGGCACTTTAACTTCAGGTCTTGCCTCTCACCTATGGGCAAAGGCGACTTGGGAAGCAGATATCTCAAAGCTGAAAGGATTCTGCACTTCGCATTGTATTTTTTCTTCAAGGACGCGCATGGTGAATACGGTGGCGGCTGGAACAAGAACTTGACGATAAGCCAGGAGAGGAATCACGAATTCCTCCGCGTGCCGATGCAATGGTATCCGTCGGCTTACGACTGCAATACAATACCTAACGTAGACGGACTACATGCGTACTTTGAGAGAACGCTTCTCGGCATCAAGGTACTGTCGGAACTGGAGGCAATGTTCTCCAACATGAACTTTGTGGATCAGGGGGAGTTGACCACAATCTCCAGACGGAAGAAGGAACATTTTGCCACGCAAATCCGCAGAGAAACAGCGAAATTATCTGATGGCAATTCGGATGATCCATCAGGTGCGGACGGTGAAGACGAAACGCAACCCGCAGAGCACGAGTCCATAGCAAGTGACGAAGATGCCGACATGGAAACAGAAACGCTACAAGGAATCAACGGAGAGCAGTACCACGAGGGTGTCGAATATGAGGGAGAAGGTCATGACGCGAACGGACAAGACAACGCCAGCGAAGGAGACGAGAGCAGCGACATTGGGTCACAAGAAGCGAACGACGAAGATCACGAGCTCTCTCCCTTGCAAGAACGAGCAGACAAAGTCGCAGAACGTGACGAAGACTTTATCGTCGAAGATGATGAAGGAGGCGACAGGTCAGACGGGCATGTTCAAGAAGATGAAGGGGAAGAAGCCATGGAAGCTGAATGTAGCAACCGAGGTGCGAACATAGACAAGAACGGCCAACATAGATGAACAGCTCAGATCGAGTAGCTCAAGCCAGTCACAGCGTTTACGTGCGAGAGCACGCCCAGCTCACGAAGCTGGCTACGGCCGAACAATGCGTCTTCAATTTCGCTCGAGACATAGCCGCAGATACAGGTTGCTCTGAACAGAGCGGAAGGCCTCTACTTCTTCGTCTAGCCCTGGAACGAAAGTGTGCCGCATATTCGAATATGAGTAACAAATGTATGCTATTCACTTACATCTGGCGGTCCGGCGATTAAGCTTTGGTTGCAAAAGCTTGGCAACATGAGTCTGTCGTCCTCAATTCGAGAGTTTTCGCGGTATTGGCTATGCTGCCTCATGATATTTCTGCATACATTCTACTGGCCTCGCCGCCCTCCATAGCTTCGATGGCATGATTAGGATAGAATTGTAAAAATTGACAACAGCAGTTTTCCGGAGAAATTATCACCAGAACCCAGCTCTGCTTCCAGCTAGCAGACCAAGCGCTGCGATCGAACAATCCTGAAGCTGTACGATCTTCGAAAAGACAGAGAAAGTGCCGGCAAAACTATGACTCCGAATTCGTTCGAACTTCAGTGGCACCAAGCCGAAAGAATGTCCCCTGCACTCATCGAGGCTCGAGACGGAGATGATTCCCTGCCCCTCTCCACCATCGTTGAGAGCCCTCATTACCTTCTCCGCCGTCTCCTCACCACTCGTGGCTGCATTATAGAGCTGATCAACTCTCACTGGGAACACCTCGAGGCGAAGACCGGCCTAGTCCGACTCCCTGGCTTCGCTTCCACCGACACGATCTACGGCATCGGAGGTCGAGCCACCATTTCCGCCCATGCGAAGATCCAACTGAAGCGGCAGGATCTTACGGAGAAAATTTGCACTTATTCCAGGCGAATTACTTTCGGCATTGGAAGGAGAAGGAATTTGAGCGTGAGACTCTGGGGGAGATCGTAGAGTTGGAGAAGGTTTTGGAGGATATAAATGTGGAGATTGATAGGCTGAGGGAGAGGCTCGCTCGCGAGATGCCGGAGTGGAGTAAGGCCAGGTGGGTCGCTATCGTTGCTTCTGCGAGGGAAAGAGTGGCGATGGTATCGGAGGTGACTACGGTGGTCAAAGAGGCGGAATCGCTGGACTGTAGCGCTCAGAGATGGGCCGCTATTGCAGATGATGCGAAGGGAAAGGTTGACAGAGGTGATTAGGCTATGGCGAGTGCCGCCAGATCTGTTCCGGTGCAAGGCGACCACTCAGGCACGCTTCTCCACCATAGCCTGGTGGGCCGAAACGATTCTCCAGATCTCGCAGCCATGAACGCTTTGGTGATTCTGGGAGCTCAGAGCCTTTGTAGTGGGAGTACTCAATCTGCTTGGAAGCTGCTATTTCATCATTTCTTCCAGCGGCGCGGCAGTCAGTTGGGTCGGTTGAGTCGCTTCTAAAACGAGCTTTCAATCCCGCGTAGTACCCACGTTGTTCGTCACATGCGTCGCGTATTGCATATGGTGCCTTGAAATGCAGTGTTTTAGGTCCGAACAGACTGTCGAGGTAAACTTCTTCCATTGTTGCCGTACAATGATTCAAAACAGTGTTCCAGTGCCCTCCTTTATACATTCTCATGCAGCGGAGCGTGATATCGCGAAGTTGGGGTAAGCTGCGTAGTATTTCGAGCAAGTGGTCCTCTGAGGTGTCGAAGCCTTCCAGAGTTAACTTCTCGACCGTCTGCAAATTCGATCGTTGCAAGGCACTCAGTATCCCCTTTGATTGTGCTTGCGATATAACGGGGCTCCTATGATCCAGCTTAAAGTGGGAGACTTCCAGGCATTTCAAGCGGCGGCATTTGCGAAGCATTTCGCTGAGGCCCCCGAAGTTTTGCTCGTCGCTCGCTTCGCACAGCTTTGCTCCTACTGTGCGCCAAGTTGCATGCGGGTCCCATTCAGCATCGAAGCTGAAATCATGCAGATCCATAGGGTCCGTATTGCTTGAAAGGATGATTTTGTCGGAAATGCTCATTGAGAGGCTTTCAAGATTGCCCAGAAATGTGTCGAGGTAGCCGGAATTGTGGGCGAGGTTCGAGAACTTGTCGCAGGCTATACTACATCTGAGCATACGACTGTTGTTGAAGAGATTCAAGTGTCGAGCTTGGAGTCCACTGGTATCCAAGGATGCGAATATTGAGGCCAATGCGACATCTGCAGCGGTCCATATGTGCTTCCAGCCGCCTCCATATAGAGGCATAAGAGGTTTGCCTTCGGGGGCTCGGTACACTGCAACCTCTGCCGTTATTGTGTAGAGTTTGCAATCCAGAGTTTTCAGCATGCCAAAGGCCCGACTGAGCAACGCAATATGCCCGCCTCGGTTGACGAACTCAGTATGCTGGTGTCGTTGCAGTCGGAGTATGTCAAGATCAAGGCCAGTCTGCATCAAGTCCTTATATCCGAGCGAGATCGAATCAATTTTGTCGAACTCGCCGTCAGCATAAAATACCGGAGCCTTCGTGGCCTTGTACTTGACATCGTTTTCAAGCTCCAGCGGGTTGTACACCGGAGCAATGACTGTAAGGTGTCGCAGCAGATGCGCCAAACCACCTCCGGATACAAAAGCTACGAATCTCTTCAAATGCCAGTCAGTGAGCTCGAGATGATGAGTGTGGAAATTGCGTTCATAGTGTTCTGGTGTTGCCGTAGACGCCAACGTGCGACTTGTCAGGCGGAGGGACGCGATGTCATGCAATGGGAGCTCGACCACAATTTGGTCTACAAGCTCAGGTGGAAGAGCCTCGAGCGACATGTCGCTGCCAACGTGATTGTAAGTGTGATTAATGACAAGATTATCACAGTTCACGACGAAGCGGGGCCACTGCCAGGATCTGGCTGGTCAAGTTGCTGATGCAACCTGATCGCAGCTGTCGCCAGAAATCTCGGCCGCACAGTGCTGGTCAGTGCTTGATCTGGCGTGCGGTTGTGTCGCTATGCGCATTCTCATCTCGAGCGTTGCATAGACTGCAAGACCATTGTACGACGCGAGGCGAGTCAGGGGAAGTCTTCCCGTAGGTTGTTGCCTCATTTTGGCCTGATCTCTTATCGATAGCATCACAGCGGAAGGTACGCCGAAAGGACTTCGAAAAGTTCAAGAGAAGCAGAGCACTCGAACACAATTGACACCTGTGAACAACCCACATATTCCTCACCATGTCGACCGTCTTACCACCTCCTTCAAAGCGGCAAAAGACTGCTGCGGCCACGAAAGCACGCGAACCCTTAAACACAACTCCCGAAACGATTCCAGATGCACAGCAGCGCATACAATTCCTTGATGCAGATACTGGCGCGCCGGCGAGCGAGCCCGTGTTCGTGCAACTATCACAATTATCACCAAAGAACCTCTCGTTACTACTAAATACTCTTCTCGGGCACACAAATCCGGATGATCGCCTACCATACCGGTTTTACAATCCATACAGCGATGGCAGCGCCGAGTTCTCACAAGAGGAGGTAATCAGGAAGTATTTGGACGGAACGGCCACAACTGAGTTGGCCTTGAATATACCTTTCCGAGCAGAAGCTGTGTTCAAGGTCAAGCCTGTCACAAGATGCTCAGCCAGCATCAGTGGACACGGCGAGTCGATATTAAGTGCAGCTTTCAATCCAGCGACGTCGTCATGGCTGGCAACAGGGTCGGGAGACAAGACAGCGCGAATTTGGGATTGTGATACTGGTACGCCGAAACATACTCTAAAAGGGCATACGGGATGGGTGCTCGTGGTGGCATGGTCGCCGGACGAGGGACTGTTGGCGACAGGGAGTTACGATAATACAGTGCGACTGTGGGATCCGAAGAAGGGCACACAACTCGGCGGACCACTGAAAGGGCACACGAAGCCAGTTCTGAGCATAGCGTGGCAACCGTACCACAGTCGCGATCCTGGGCGCCCTCTGCTGGCTTCAGCATCGCAGGATTTCACAGTACGGGTATGGGATGCAGTGAGCGGGCACACGGATAAGGCGCTCACTGGGCACAAAGGGCATGTCACATGCGTGAAATGGGGAGGTACAGGATGGATCTACACGAGTTCGCGAGACAAGACAGTGAAAATCTGGGATGCTGACAAAGGGACATTGGTCCACACTATCAATGCACACGCTCACTGGGTGAATCATCTTGCGCTCTCGACCGATTTCGTACTTCGCACGGGTTACTTCGATCACAAGGGCAGCAAAGAGGTACCGGAGACGGTCGAAGGCAAGCGGCAGAAAGCGAAGCAGCGATTTGATGCCGTGATTGCAGGCACCGGTAAGTGATTTGCGCTGTCTCAACAGTTGTTTGAAGTGAGAATGCTGACATTGCGATTTTTTTTCGCAGGTTCAGAACGCCTTGTGACGGTGAGCGACGACATGACCATGTTCTTGTTCGATCCATCACAATCTACGAAACCGATACAGAGAATGCACGGCCACCAGAAAGCGATCAATCATGTTACCTTCTCCGCTGATGGGGTTTTGATTGCCAGCGCAGGCTTTGACAATCATGTCAAGCTATGGCAGGCGAAGGATGGCAAGTTCATCACCACGCTCAGAGGTCACGTTGGGCCTGTGTTCCAGACAGCCTTCTCGCCAGATTCCAGGCTATTAGTCAGCGCCAGTGCCGATACGACATTGAAGGCATGGAATGTGAGAGAAGGCAAGCTGGCGGAGAATCTGCCTGGTCATCAAGACAGAGTGTTCGCGGTGGACTGGAGTCCAGATGGCGAGCGCGTTGGCAGCGGCGGCGAGGACAAAGCCGTGCGCATCTGGAGACACTAGTCACCATCTTTACAGATTGCGACGTTGACGCAAGAGAGTCTCTGTCCGCAGATGACTTGCCAGAGGGCGGCTTGTATGAGTGAGCTGCGGGACGACCTCTCGGCATCGCCTCAGGATTAGCGGTGCACACAATGGCGGATGTGGGAGACATGATAGTCCGTCGGCCATGTCGTGGGCGTATTGCCATTGTAGTAGCGACCTACGAGTCCGCACTTTCCTTCTCGTGACTTGCAGACGCAATGGGAAGTCGCGACTGCCTCAGAGGTCGACCAGGCAAGTGGCAAATCTCATTCTCTACCATCATTCCTCACACCTGCTCTCCTCAACACACACATCCTCACATCCTACAATGGCGGAATCACGAAGTCGCCAGTCGACTTCGTACTCCAGCTACAGCACATCGCACGAGAGAACTACCTCGCAATATCCAACGACCTCATACAATACGGGCCAGCAGCGCACGTCGAAGACCAACACAACAAGCTACAACCGGAGTGCTTCCAATCGTATTCACGAGCTTCTGGGATACAATGATACCACTACTGAATCACGCACTGGGGCTCGCAGTGGCAGCAGACCAGCAACGGCCCGCCCTCGCACCGGCGTGTCAACTCTTGGAGTCGAGAATCAAGAGATCATATGTGCTGTCAGCGAGTCGAGAGGCATCGCGCCGACTGTCGGCATAGCATTTGTCAATTTGGACACTGGTGAAGCCGTTCTCAGTCAATTCAGTGACAGCCAGACCTACGTCAAGCTCGTGCATAAACTCATGGTCTTCAATCCAAGCAATATCTGCATTGTCGCCACTGCTTCCAACCCTAAGTCCAAGCTGTTCTCGATCATCGAAGAACACCTCGAAGACATCGGCTGCCTGCTCACTTTGCTCGATCGCAAATACTGGGCAGAGACAGCAGGCCTTGAGTACATTCAGCAGCTCGGTTTTCCCGAGGATATCGAAGCCATCAAGACTGCGGTCACGGGCAACTACTTCGCTGTATGTAGCTTCGCAGCTGCGCTGAAGTACACTGAACTTGGAATGCTGAAGACATTTCCCTATCATTCGCTCCGCATCAAATATGAGCCACCTGAGGGATCGATGATGATCGACCTCATGACCATCAAGTCACTGGAACTGGTGCAGAACTTGTGCAACCCAAAGTCCAAAGACTGTTTGTTCGGCCTGCTCAATGAGACTTTGACTCCCATGGGCATGCGACTCTTGAGGAGCAACCTGCTGCAGCCTTTGACTAATCAGGAAACGCTCAACAAACGCTACGATGCTGTGGAGGAACTCAGCACCAAGGAAGAAATGTTCTTTGCTGTCCGCGCTGCGTTGAAATCTTTCCTCGACGTGGATCGCATCCTCACCCAGCTGATCATCATTCCGAAAGAGCCGAATTTGCACGATACAGAACAGTCGATCAACAATGTCATCATGCTCAAGCACTTCATCGCCCACGTCAGACCAATGTGGGAAGCATTGACTGGGTGTCGCTGTGAGATCATTGCCGAAATCCAGCGCATTTGTGCTCCTGAGAACGTCGAGACCGTCGTCGGACTCATCTCTGACACCATCAACGAGGACACCATGTATGCGAACCAGGCATTGGATTTGCAAAATCAACGCACCTATTCTGTCAAGTCTGGTGTCAACGGCTTGCTCGACGTTGCCCGTCAGACCTACAAAGAAGCAACGACAGATACATTGCAGCACATGGATGACATGTCTCAGGAGCACAACTTACCGTTCCAGACAAAGTTCGACAATTCACGCGCGTTCTTCTTCCGGCTTCGTGAACATGAGCTTGAGGACCGCGCTTTGCCAGCCGTCTTCATCAATGTTTTCCGCAAGAAGGATGTGATCGAGTGTCAGACTCTGGAGTTGGTTCAGCGCAATCAGAGAGTCAGAGATGCTCACTCGGAAGTCATGCTCATGAGCGATCGGCTGATCAAGGAATTGATTGCCAATGTGCGTGAGCACATGTCTGGTCTTTTCAAGATCTGCGAATGCGTTGCCATGTTGGACATGCTCGCTGCTTTCGCACAGCTTGTTACTTCGCAAGACTACAGCAGGCCTGCCATGAGCAAGACACTGGCGATTCGTGCTGGGCGGCATCCGATCCGCGAAAAGATACACAAGGCCAAATTCATCCCCAATGATGTCTACGCAACCCAGCAGGCCCGCTTCCAAGTCATCACGGGCTGCAACATGAGCGGCAAGAGCACTTACATCCGCACCGTGGCCTTGATGACAGTCATGGCACAAATCGGCAGCTTCGTGCCTGCTCAATACGCAGCATTCCCCATCACCCGGCAGCTTTTCGCCCGCGTATCAATGGACGACAGCATCGAAGCCAACGTCTCAACCTTCGCAGCCGAAATGCGCGAAACAGCTTTCATCCTCAAAAACATCGACCGCAACAGCATGGCAATTGTCGACGAGCTAGGTCGCGGCACAAGCACTCGAGACGGCCTCGCCATCGCCATCGCCATCGCAGAAGCCCTCGTCGAGTCCCGCGCTCTCGTCTGGTTCGCAACCCATTTCCGCGATCTATCCAACATCCTATCCGAACGCAACGGAGTCGTGAACCTCCACCTCTCTGTCAAAATGTCCCCCAACCGAATGGAGATGCTGTATAAAGTGGCCTCTGGAACAGTGAAAGAAGAACACTACGGTTTACAGCTCGCGAAAATTTTACCATTTCCGTCAGAAGTCATCGAACACGCTGAGCTCGTCAGCCATACCATCGAAGCACAAGTCAAGAAGCGAAAAGAACATTCCATAGGTGTCGTGCATGCCCGACGCAGGAAATTACTCCTCAATCTCGAAGAGCATTTACAGCAGGCGCGAGATGGGACGATGTCGGATGAGAATTTGAAGAAGTGGTTGGAGGATTTACAAATGGCATTTGTGAATCGGATGGCTGCGCTTGAGGAGGAGGAGAAGAGGATTGTCAATGGAGATTATGATGAGGATGAGATGACTGTGGTCGAGGAGGCGGAGAGCGAGGAGCACGATAATGTCGATGATGGTGATGAGACCACCCAAGATGCGACGACTACGATGTCTGGTCAGCACGCTGGAGACGAAAATATGAGTAACTACACTCTGCATCAGGATCCGGACGCTGATAAGGAGAATCAGCCTCCTACCACAGTTTGCCCTGACGCAGACTTCGTTGTGGAGGAAGCCGGACCATCGACGACGCAGTCAACGACTATTCAAGTCAGTCAAGGACGATACGATCGCTCTCGGCATCAACAGCGCAGAGACCCTCGGGCCATGCCTGGTAGGGTTCCATTGCGCACATTGAGCTGAAAAGAGACGGTGACCGGAATACGCAGCTGAGCTGAAATGCTGCCGAATCACGAGCAGGTGACAGTGGCTGAACAAACATGTGCAGCACAGCTTCCAGAAAACCAAGCCCCTCGCTCGCAGGGGTAAAAAATGAAGGCATCAACTAGAGAGCAGCGATTGACAAAATTTCATAAAACTACTACTACTACTATTGCTGTACGTACGCAAGATCATCGCAAACATTATTACTTCCTCCACTTGTTTCGTTTTCCAGATTGTCATATCCTTCATTCATATCGGCACTGTGTAACCATTCTCTGTCTGTCTGTTTGTTTTCCTCATTCTGCATTTCCATCTGTTTTCGTTTCATAGCTTAAGTCGCAAAACGAACGATCATAAAAAGTGGTATCTTTCGCATAAACCCCATAAACCAAAAGCGATTGTCGTACCCAGGATATTCCGCATCCTAGAATCATAGTTCCTGTCGCTCAAACATCCTCCTTAAACTTCGTCGACCTCACAGGACTCTGACTCTTCGCCTGACCCGCAAAAGCCGGAGGAGGAGCCAAGCTCTCATCGAAATGATCCCTGGCCTCTTCGAAATTGTCATTGTCATCATCGGTAGACTTGCTCAGTCTACCGGCTTCAGTGCTCGATTTGTGGAGAGTTTCCTCGCCTGGAGGAGGCTTGTGGAGTTTGCCGTCTTTGACGTGTGCGTCACGGTTTCGACCAAAGCCCAACTTCTTGGCGATGCTGCGCTTTCCGCGGCCGCGGGCGTAATCATCCTCGTCAGCGCCGGAGGAAGAGACATCGTCGAGGTCGGTGGCTCTGGCATCACCGCGGGCGAAGGAGGATGGTGAGTCGGGCTCATTGATGTCGCGGACCTTGGCGGTCTCGAGGGCGGTATCGTCAGTGGTGACAGTGTTGGAGTTAAACTCGTCGCCCGTGTCGATAGGAGGGATGGATGCGGCAGTAGTCTTTTGCTCAGCGAGGGTCTGTTGTACGGCAGCGTCAGTGGCCGCTTTGTTGTAAGTGCCGTCGTTGGTTGCACCTACAGTTGGCTTGTCCCCGGCCTTGGTCGACTCGTAGGGCACCGTCTTGCTATCATACTTGGAGTCGTCATAGGTCGAAGCAGTGCCAGCCGTGATTGCGCCTGGTGATTTCTCGGAGCGGGACTTGTTCCTCAACTTCGAGAAGAATCCTCGTACTCCCTTGCCGTCCTTCTCCTTCTCGTGCTTGTCCTCCGACTTGGCCGAAGCCTTGGCTGCTTCCTCTGCTTCCTTCTTCGAGAACTCTTTTGTCGGAGCTGGTGTTGGTGCTGCTGGAATGGTGGCTACACCAGTGGTCGTTTCTTGCGCCGGAGCTCCAACGATAGCAGGCAGGTCCTCCTCACCCTTGATCTTCTGCTTCAACGTTTCGCCCGTTGCCTTGGGAGAGGAGGTGACCGAAGCTGGTGGAATGGCCTTCATGGAGGCTGTGTCAGGAGCGGACGTGTCGATTACCACACCCGGCGTCTGAGGTCCAGGTGGGTCCGCTCGTTGGTCCTCAAGACGGGAAGTTGTCTCGAGAGACACGATGTTGGCCGGGTGAGGTGGCTCTGCCTCAGTAGATTTCCCAACATTCGGGTCGGAGGTCAATGCCCGGGTGTTCTCATCGTACACATCCGTCAATGTTCTAGGAGGGTGTTCAGCTGAAGTCTCAGTGGAAGTGACGATGGCAGCCCCACCTGTGGCACCAGTCGCAGCGGACGATGCGGCCAAAGGCTCCTGTTCCCGTGGTGTGTTCAATGTCTCGTAAGTGGCCAGACCTGGAGTGACAGGGGCGGAGTCGAGTGCAACGGCGGTTGGCTGCTGATCTGGAACTGTTGGAGCAGGTCTAGCGACCCGCTCTTCGTTCCAGTCATCCTCATCGCTGCTAGAGTCTCCATCGCTGTCAGGAATGTTGGAGATGTGCCTTTCGAGCGTCGCCATCCTATTGCTACCAGAGGCAGTCGGGACAGAGTCATTGGCGAAGCCCGAAACGCTTCCAGTCTGGGCGAATGTAGGTCTCGCAGCCCGAACATCCTCATCGTCAGCCTCGTCGTCGGTATCGACATCGGAGACCGAGGCATCAGAACGGATTGGAGCAGAAGGGATTGTAGTCGTGGCGGCGGTAGGAGCAGCTCCACCGGCTTTCCACTCAGCCTCGTGTGGCGAGTCGCCGGTCGTCACGTCCTGCTGAGCGACGGAATAAGATGCTTGTTGAGCATCCAGCGGCTGCTGCGATGCCACATCCTTTCCGTCCGAATCAGCCAGCGTGGCAGCAGTTGCACCCGCAGCAGCACCGCCAACAAGTGCGACTCCGGTAGCGGCCGATTTGTTGGCGGTCTCCTTGTCAGTCGACTTCTCGTGAGATCCTGTAGTCCTGAACTTGGCCTTCAGCCTTGCAAGAGCAGATTGATGCTTCTCTCTGCCATCGGTGGCTGTAGTCTCCTCAGTCCGCTCGTCTTCGATCGAGGCGCTTCTGCCTGCATCGACTGAGCCTGCCGGCACGACACTGGAGCCGATTGTGTCCCGTTTCTGTTCTCGACTCTTTCGTTGCTCTTCCTTCTCCCGCAATTTGTCGGCATCTTTGCGGGCCTTCTCTTCAGCCTTCTCGCGCTTGGCCGACTCCTTAAGTTCGTTCTTAACGGCCTTTTGACGATCCTTCTCTTGCTGGCGTTCGATCTTTTGCTCCATTCTGGCTGTTTCCTGCTGGTCCTTTTCGATACGAAGTTCCTCATCTCGCTGGCGTCTTGCGGCCGCAGATGTGCTAATCTCATCGAGAGTAGGCTTCAAACGGGCGGCAGCAATAGCTTCGATGTCCTTCTGATCCATGAACTGACCTCCGCCGATATGGGTCTTGCCGGGGTTCAGTGCTCGTTCTTGGCGCTCTTTCTCAGCCTTTTCGCGCGCCTTTGCCTCCCACGCTTCCATCATGGCAGGTGAGACTTTGCCAGTGTCGCGATAGACTTGCGAATCCATATCATTCATACGAGCAGAGACTCGCTTTTCGGCAGCCGCCAACAACTTCGCGCGGTCTTCCTGTTGCTTCTTCGCGTCCACCTGCTTTGTGGCAGAGTTGAGTCCGGCCATCTGTGCGCGAATGCGGCCTGCCTGTCGCTCGTCGTCTGAGTCGGAGTCGGAATCAAAGCGACCACGGGTTCCCTCGCTCGATGCTCTCTGTCGTCTTCCACGAGACTCCTTTCCGGAGCTTCGAAGAGAGATGCGCGAGGACAATCTTTTCGGCTTGTCGTCGCCATATCCGTAGTGCTCGCGGAAGCGCTTGCCTTCCATGTCTTTGTCAATCTTGGCTAGTCTCTCGGCCGCGAGCTTGTGTGCCTGATCCTGCAGACTCAGATATTGCAGCGCCTCCTGCTTCACGTCTGGGTGAGCGAGGGCTTGGTTACGCGCCGCTGATCGTGCACCGGCCAAGTCAGATCCATCAGGCTCAAGCAGCATTTTGTCGCGGTTCTGATTTGCGTAGAGGCTCTTGGCCATTGTGATTGCGGACGCTCGGAGAGCCGCTTGGTGCTTGTCTTCTTCGTACTGCCAGTCTGGTGCACTGGTGAACATCTTACCGCTCACATTCTCGCCCAAGTGCGTGACTCGCGCAGCTTGATTGGCGTCAGAGTTCCAGCCTTCTCGGACAGATACCGTTGCAGCATTCAGAGCGTTCCTGCTGGAATTGGCCTGGTCTGGATACAGCTCTGGTGGTGCTGAAGGAGAAGATGTGGCGCGCGATCTGCTCTGCTGGGTGGACTTGGTGGCGGCCAAGAGAGCCTTGTTCTTGTTCTCTGCGCTGTTTCCGCCGTATGCCTCGGGACTCAATCCCTTGTTGCGGAAGGCCAGTGTAGCAGCTGATTGACCATCAGCGCTGGCGGATGCCTGCCAGAGATCCACCTTTCCGCCCTTGCCGGCAGCCAGCACAGCAGCTTTCGATCCGGCCAGACTCGTCTCGGGCTGCCACAGCTCCTTCATCTTGTAGTCCTTGGCAAGCATTGCAGCTTTGCCTGCGCCTCCCGACACATTTCCTGAAGATGGGAAGCTCGGCAAGTCCTGTGCATTCGCATACTTGAGCGATGTCGCTGCGCCTGCGGTCGCTTGTCAGTCTTGCGGCCTCAGATGTGTCAAATAGTGTCCAACTCACTCTTAGACGACAGTCTGCCATCGGGACCCAAGACGCTCTCGCTCTGGATGGAGCTGTTTCGCGTGTGATCGCCTTTCCGCGCTCCAGTGGCAAGGAGAGCTGCTGTGGAAGCCTGACTGGCCAGTTTGTCGTCGTGGTGGTGGGCAGAGGGATCCGGACAGGGAGGAGCCTCCGCATTCGTGTTGACGGTGGCCATGCCTGGGTATCGTGACGCGCTGGTGTTTCGCGTTCGGAGAAATAGATGTTGCAAACCGTGGGAGAGGGAGGATTCGCAACCGGGGGTCTGCGGGTCGTTCAAGAGGCCGTCCAACTATTTCCCGCGCAACATGTCGTCAAGCCAACAGTGATGATGAGATGGGAGATGAGCAGCTCTTGCGCGCGCGCAGTAGAGTTCAAGCCAGTAGTGAGCGCCTCCAGACCAGCGGACGTCATCACATGCCGTGACGTCATGCCGTTGCATGCCTCGGACGCGGTGACAATGGCCAGAAGTTGCACAAGCCACGATCGCTGGAGAAGCTGGAGGTGAAGCTTTCACATTTCCATCACGAGATGCGAATGTACTGATGATGGAACAACGCGTACCCGGTCTCCGACAGCAAGGAAAGCACCTTCTGCAGCAGAGCATCGTGACTGCCCACGTCGTCGCGCCAACGGCGCGGTGGAGCTGTGGCAGTTGCGATCGGCGTGCACAGCCATCAGCCACTGCAGTCAGCTCGAACTCTGTCCTTGGCACATCCTGCCAACTCTATCGTCTGTGCCTGCCATCCATCCCACGACACCACATCGGACTGGCGGGTGACTGCAACATCTTGTGAAGAACAGCCAGAATCCAGAATACTCGTCAGTCTCATCCTTCACAAGGGCACCGTAGGACCTCGTAGACACATTCATCACCGCTTCTTGCTCGTCCCGCTGCTACCAAACCACATTTTGCACCACGTGACTTAATTCCTCGTCAACCCCGTCCAGTTTCGTTGAGACAAGCACATCGATAGACATGCCGGGCTCGCAATTGCCAGTGTTGGAAAAGGTCGCCAACCTCCGCGATGTCGCCTTGTCCACTGCTTCTCCACTGCTGAAACCAGGCCTGCTCCTACGCTCTGCCGCACCGGATGATGCCACGCCCAATGACCGAAATCTGCTCGCGTCAGAACTCGGCCTCCAGACCATTATCGACCTCCGCTCGGACACCGAGCATCGCGAAGTCATCAAGAAGAATGCATTGCGAGTGCCGCCCGTGCCTGATCCGCCTGTGAAAGAGCATCCGGCACAAGATGGTATCAATCACACTGCTCCGCAAGATCCAGCGCGGATTCCAGGCGTGAAGTACGAACTGATCAACTTCAATGGCTCCGCCTACACGCGCCATCTCATTTGGCAACTGTCCTACTTCAACATCGCGAAGCTCTTGACGTGGTACACTCTGGGTTACAGCAACGACGCCATCTCCATCATAGCCACCAATGTCATGCAGAAGCGCGGACTCGTCGGCCTGGCTCAAGACAGCTTGCATTTGTGCAAGGCCGAAGTCAGGCTTGTCTTTGACGTTCTTGCTTCAAAGGAGAGTTACCCACTGCTCGTGCATTGTACGCAAGGCAAAGACAGGACTGGCCTTGTCATTTTGCTTGTGCTGATGCTTCTTGGCGTGGATCATGCTGCAATCGAGAAGGACTACATGTTGAGTGAGCAAGGTCTCGCCCTTGATAGAGACAAGCGCGTGGAAGCCATCACCAAGGTTGGCTTTCCCGACGAGTTCGCAGACTGTGCAAAAGACTGGGCGCAGACGGTCATCGCCACAATCGAAAAGGAGCATGGTGGTATAGAAAAGTATCTCACAAGCTGTGAGGTCGACGTGGCTCAGCAGAAGCAAGTGAGGGAGAGTTTGAGCCAAGACGTGGCGTGAAGACATCTTCGTTCGGCAAGTGAGAGGCAGAAATGACTTCGAAATTACCATTTGCCTCACTTCTTTGCCAATACCGTTGCATCGCACTCATTCTCGCTCGGGCTAATCCTCATACCAAAGGTGAAGCAAACATTACATTCTTCTCGCTCAAGTCTTCGAACCGCATTACTTCTCTCAGGTCATTCAATTCTCATCGGCTTCCTCCGTTCTCAAGACTTTGGGCCTTCGGTTTTGGACCAGACGCAGCACCATGTCCCACTCCTGGCTCGCAAAAACCCCACAGCAGCTGCTGAATGCCCACTCCAAACCCCACGGCAACCGCTATACCGACCTCTACATATCCCTCTACATCATTGACTCCAAAAAGCTCTTCCTGCTTCGAAACAGCAAAGGCCAATACATTCCACCAACATACCACTTCTCACCACCTGCCAAACCCCAACAAGAATCAATGGAACACTACGCCTTCAAACTGCTGCAACCCTTCATCGAATCCAACCTCCTCCACCAAATCCACTTCGTCGACCTCGCCTTCGACAAACCCCTAATCGAACAACACCCACAAACCGACCGATCAACACTCCACCTCTCCCTCATCATCACAGCACAAAATGGCTGCTCAATAACTCCAACCTGGATCAAAACCCACCTTTCGCCTTACACATCCTCCGACTTCATCGACTTCCCCTCTCTTCCTCACTTCCTCCCCTCCCCAACCCACCTCCAAACCACCCAAACCGTCCTAACCCGCTACAAGAACCTCCTCCCTCGCCTCAAAAACATCCACGGCGCCGGCGTAGCCGAAACACCACTCTTCCGGACTTACCTCATCCGTACCCTCAACTCCTCCATCCTCCAACATGAACTCCTTAAACAAAAAACTCTGGCAAAAGGTTACATCTGTCTATTCGAAGAAGACGGGAAATTGTACCTATTACCTGCGGTTGAAGATGAGGAGTTGGGACAGAAGAAGACGAAGTTGAGGAAGGGAGAGGAGTGGGAGGTTATTGGGAAGTGGAAGAGGAAAGATGGGAGGGAGGGGTTTGAGATAGGGGATGTGAGGCCTGGAGGGGATTTGTTGCAGGTTTGGTGGAGTTGTTTTGGCAATGGGAGGGATGGGGGGATGGTGGTGGAGGTTGTGGAGGGGACGAAGGGGGAGGAAGGGGGTTGGGATGCGGTGGGATGGAGGAATGGCGCTGGATCTGGTGAGAGGGACGCGGTGCCGAGATGGGTGAGGGAGAATAATGAGAGGTGGGTTTTGCAGGGTGTGGCAGGCTCTTAGACGAGAGGTTGAAAATGGCATTGGATGATCAGAGGCTACAATACGACTGTCGTAAGCAAGGAATGCACTGCATTCAGAAATAAACAAGAACCAAACGTTCATCATCTTCCCCCTCAAACAGGCATAATCTCCCTCACATCCCACCTATAAACCTCCGGCAAATCCCTCTCACTCTCAACCAAAAAGTCCTGAGGATTTCCATGCCAAAATTGTAACCAAGCACTTTTATTCCTTCCATTTTCCAAAAAGAAGTGATTCATCGACCACTCTGATTCCATCAGAACCGCTTCGCCGTGCTGATGATGTCTTCGATCAAACCAGCCTGTAACTGCCCAAATACAAGCCGGCATGCGGCCGTCGGCGTGCATGATTTTCTGACTTCTCTTGATTATATCCATCCGGTCTGGGGCCACGTCTAGGAGCATGAGTCCAGTGTTCTCTTTGGCTTCTTCGAGGATATCGACGGGTTCGAGGATGGCGACGCAGGAATGGGTGATGTTCTGTCCGCTCTCGGAGATCCTGATGAGGTGGGCTAGTGAGCGGAGAATTTCGACTCTCACAAGATTGCGGTTGGGGAGGGTGGTAAGTGCTGTTGGAGTCATGAAAGATTAGCTCGAAAAGAAATATATTTACTTGATGCCACTCGACATCCATCGTAGCAGGTAGAAACAGACTTACCTCTCTCGGCTCCTAATTGCTTCAGCCTCTCCATCACTTGACCGCCCAAGATCTGTTCAAGGACCCAAGGATTCGTGTCGCGGAACCATGCTCTCTTCTTGAAACCAGGTATAATCCAATTGCGGTTCGCTGCACTCACGCTCATGATTACTGCCAAAAGCAGAACTTTCTCCACTGGCTTCTCTTTCAGGTTCTTCTCCTTGCAGTCGTCTCTCACGGGCTCCTCTACGTCTTCGCCGCCATCGCCATCGTTGTCGTCTTCTTTGCCATGGTCATCGCTGGCATCTTCTTCGCTCTCGTCATCGCTCTCGCCACTGCTCTCGTCATCACTCTCGCCACTGCTCTCGTCGCTCTCATCGCTATCACTTGCATTTCCATCACTGTCATCACTTCCACTTCCACTTCCCTCGTCGCCAGCCTCCCCATCTCCATCTCTCTTCCTCTTCCGCCCACCTTCATCCTCCCCTCGCTCCCCCTTCCCCTCATCCCCTCCCTCTTTCTTCCCCTTCCCATAAACATCCACACACTCAACCAACGGTTCCTCAAACCTAAACTCCAAAAACTGCGGCGCTTCAATGCTCGCCGTTCTGATGCCAGGCATGAGCCAGTCCAGGATCAGCTCGGAGAGCGGGTGCTGAGCGGCTTCGGGCCATTTGCCTGGGTCGATCCAGGACCATGGAACAGTTATCACCCCATCGTTGTTCTGAATCGCGTAGATTGACGGGCGGTATTTGATGTACAAGTGGAGGTGGATGGATGTGGGTTTTAGACCATTCGAGTCTGGACTTGGGGGGTTTGCTGCGTTGAAGTCGGAGAGGATTTGGACGCCGGATTTGTGGAGCCAGTGGGTTGGAGTGGTGGAGGTTGGGATGGGAGAGGGAGGGCTCGGAGACATGATGGCAATGTTCTCTCGTGCAGAGGGTCGTGCGCGAATTGCGAGTCTTGTGACTCGCGGCTCGAGGCTCATGTTAGTTTTAATGTTAGTTTTACTGTAGGTGGTTGTCGGCCATATCAAAGCAGTGGAAGTCGCACAGACGACCCACAAATAATTATCTGCAAGTGAATGAAGTCCGAGCAAACATTTCCTGTGCCCACTCGAAGCAGCTCCAGACATCTTTGCCCCATCAGCCACGTACTGCGAGTCGAGTCGATTCTTTACGAGATATTTGGTTTGCTTCGATCTTCCTGCCAAGTACGATCTTTCCAGCGCAGCTCTTATTGTGCGCTCGTAGCACAGCCATCCTCGCAGCATTCACGCAAGATGCTTGGCGAAATTACTAGACGAGCTATCGTCTTCAATGATATTCGAGGACTTCATCTTTCGCTTATTCTGTCGATAGCAAGTCCTCAAACGCCGCTCGCACCACGATTCTGATTTGCTGCAGAGTGAGTGATGATTCCAGTTCTGCCTTCACAGACTGCGTGGTTCGCGGCCGCGGTCAATCGATTCGCTCGAAAGGAGCCTTCCACCAGTCAGTAGTATCGTTCGTGAACGACTCAGAATCTACCACGGTATTTCAAGTACACAATGGAAGGGAATAGATGTCAGGTTGGGAAGCCACGGTCTTGTAGCAGACGCTGTACGGCTACAACTTCCTTGCGATGATTCTGAGATCTGGCGAAAGATGTCGCTGAAAATTAGCGCGAGTCCTGTCCACTATTGGGCCTCTCAGGTGGTGGCATTGGCTCAATGTGCAGTGTAGGAGAGAATCCAGGCTATCCCGATAACCTGGTGAGCCGCGACCAGAAATGCACTGACGTTGGACATGTCATAGCATGCTTTCTTTGATCTTCAGGGCTTCAGCACCCAACGGACTGCTGTAAAGTTTGAGGAGGATTGGCCAAGCCATGGCATGATCGTTCGCTCGATGTCGTGAGGGGTTCCTGCCGCCTTCTTTGCAGTCTTGTGGTGGCTTGTGTCGGCCGGACATGCCACTTGTCGTGTTGGATCGGGTTTCGAAGGTAAGTCACGCAAGATCGCCATCGTGACCACCCGCATTCATTAAATGTCGCATGCGAACACCGCATCATATTATCGTAGCGCTGGAGGAAGACCATTGTGCACTAGCCAAACATCGCTTAGATCATGAGCTAGAAGGCGCAAAGAACAAGCAAAGAAGTCTTCTCGAAGGAAAGAAGGCCCCGCACAACGCATGCCCAGGCAACCAAGATGGATCTTCAGCAATCCAAACGATGTGGTTGGTCTCTGAGAAGGAAGATACTCACGTAAGTTCACTAGAGTACCTGAAGTCGAAGTCTTCAGACCCCTGTCATAGGCCTGCTTAAACGTTTAGTCTATGAGTTGAAGGTGGGATTTTAAAGTTTATGCAGGTACTGCTGCTCAGCTATCGGAAGAAACAGGAACAGCCTCATGAGGCTACTCTTGCTAAGACAACGAAACGAGCCTGGGCGAGTACGGGAGGTGGCTCCCTTGGTGGAGGCCATGTATGGGGAGGTAATCAATCTCCGCAAGATTGATCCCCATATAAACGCCGACATGCAGCCAGGTCGTGCGTTGAACACAGTTTCGATTTTCTCCAGCTTCCAAGACGCACTTCAGACCAACTTCCCCAGACCGGGACTCCACAATTCTTGTTTCGACATTCATTGAATAACAAGCGAGAGAATAGGATCCACATATTGCTGGTCTCCACTGCTTGCAGATTAGTCAACATCGATTGGATTACTTGACGTTGATGTGATCGATAGCGAGACACATCGCAATCGTCAACGAAATTTCAACATTGTCATAGAATGGGTATCGCCCTTGCGAATCGACCACAGCGGGAACGCTACGCAGTCAAGAAGCCGATGGAAGACTTCGTCCCTTTACATCAGCATTGGCTTCAACGGACGCCGACAGAGTTCCTGCAACAGCATGTCAACAACGAATGGGAGACTAGCATCGGTCAGCCTCTGTTACGAAAAATCCGCTACTTCAGCTTCACCATCCGAGCTTTCGTTTTCCGAGGCGAGAAACTCTTTTTGACGAATCGCAACAGCACTTCCGGTCTGGCAGAAGAACTCACAGTCCCGACTGATCACTTCGATGTGACTGTATGGGCTCAAAGCGAAGATGAACCACCGCTGTATCTGGTGAATCAGCAAGAAGAGCGATCCATCGCTGATCACATACGGACTGTCCTCTCATCACGATACCAACACCCCAACATCCTTCAAAATGCACGCTTCTTGGACGAATTCTCCAATGCGGAGCCTCTCGTGCGAAGACGAATGGAAGCCAAAACCTGGGGCGAAGAGGAGACTTACCTTTGCAACCTCGAAATGTCAATCATCATGTCCAAATACGATGGCTCGTTAGGTAACGGCCCAGCTTTCCGCTGGATCACAGCAGAAGACGCCGCTTCATCGATTGGCGGGCATGAATTACAGTTCGTTGCAGGGCTCGACAAAGAGCATGTCCAAGATATGTTCGCTCGATATCGTACTTGTCGCGAAAATCAAGCATTCCAAGAACACTGCACAGAAGAAATCAGAGCCATCCTCCGAGCGCGATGGAAATCGAATGAAGTCGATCGATCGAATCGTTTTGGCATCGTGGCAAGAAGAGTAGCATTGGAAGGACAAGGTGTTTTCTTATTCACCATGACTTCCACAGATGCCGCCGTGAGGAAAGAAGCCACGGAGATGGTGTACGAGTCGATACGATATCAGATCATCGGCCGTTTTGCCATTGAAGCCGTGCAATTGAAGCCAGAAATCGAAGTGTGGGCTCCTGCAGTCGGTGTAGATGGAAGGCTGATAGCGCATTGGTGTGATGGCTTGTCCAATGGTTCCTCGTTTCTGGTACTGACATAATGATGGCGGCATCTTCGGAAGGATCTGAAGAGATCAGCGATACCAGCAATATGTACGAATGAATGAATTACGAAAGTCGTGCGCCGCGGGCGCCGTAATGTGATGACGGACCAATGACTTGGGACAAAAGGCTGTTTCTCTCCGCTGCGCGGAATAGCCGTTCCTGATATGCCTCCAGCAGGAATCAATCATGCAAGATGAGGTGCGGTCAGACTTGATAGTCGCTATTGACTTTTTGTGTTTCCCGACATTCGCCAGAAAGTTTTGCCTGTTCGTGGGGCAGCCAAGGAATTGAATCTTTAGCCGCATCCCACACACCGTGTTCCTGATATCATATCTTACAGCAGGATCGACCACTAGATCTAGTCGTTTCACAGTTGCAACAAATGCCTCACAATAGTCGTAGCTTCATGGATCGCTGCCAACCCGAATGTCTCCGTAGTGGCATGGCGGTGTCCATTCTCCCAAATGCCTTGGCGGCATTGTCCTCTATGACGAAGGGGAATTAGGCGATTTGTTTTCGCGGTGATTGGGCGGTCGCTGAAGGACGTGGAGCTTCTCGACTGCTTTCGTTCTAAATACCCGGGTATTTGTCCGTACTGAGACTATGGTAAGTTCAGACTCGAACACATGCCAGAAATTGGAAGACACGAAAGCAGAACATACAGAACTCCACGCTCAATCAGCTCATCATATCAGGACGTCGGACAAATGTGCGGCAACCTCATCAAAGTAGCAGATACGCGCCAGCAGTCCCAACTGCCACAAGTATCCAGCTTCCCACGACGCCGAACCATGTATTGCTAGCAACAGTTGCCGTTCTCATACCCGAGCTTGAAGATCCAGTCTGGCTCGCTGAGAACGTCGCGCTTGTCCTGCTGATCGAGCTACTTGTTGTTGGAATATCCGTTGGAATGTAGTTGGGCAGATATGTCGTGAAAGGCGCCTGGCTGACGTTGAAACTTCCATCTGTCTGAGCAGCCAGGACCGGGGCTTGTGTCGCGCTCGTGGGATTCGGCTTCGTGTCCTTCTGATCGGGATCCAGTAATACATCAATGACATGGATGACGCCATTGTAGATCATGATGTCTGCCTGCACAATTCGTGCCGAATTCAAGAAGTAGGAGTTCGGATAGAACATCATGTTTGCGTTCTGCCCATCGTGCATCGGCAGTATGGCACCATCTTGGAAGTCGGAGGAATATAGTGGTCCCCCATTCGGGAGTACTGAGCCAGCTAGAACGTGGTATTTAAGCAGATCCAAGCGAGTTTCGTTTGACATGCTGGTGATGGCATTGGAGACAGTTTCGAAGGCGACATTGGCCGGCACGAATATGGTCACGTCTTTGGTGTCGTTCAGGTATTTCTGCAGCGAATCGTCCGGCGTAGAGTAGAGTGCCCCAAGGAAGGAGTTGATCGCAAACGGGTAGTTGGCTAGGTTGAAATCTTCTGCTGTGGGCACCAAAGGCTGGGGTGGGTTGAGAGGATTGTCAATCACTTGCACGATACTGCAGAAATCAGTAGGCGTCTAGAGTGCCTTGCAAGTTGTACTCACCCGCCTGAAAAGGGAATGTCTTGTATCGATGCCACACTCCTCTCCGCAGCACCACTGATGAAGACTAATTCCCACTTGTACTCTGGCGTATCCGGATTACCATTTTGCAGCACAGCGCCAACTCGTTGTCCTCCTGACACGTTCGAGAAGTTGCTTCCTATAGTCATGCTCGGCAAGAACGTGAAATTTGTGCTCAGTGTATCCGTGGTCCACTTGCCGAGCAGGACGTGATATGCGATCACGCGTGACATTTCTGTAGTATCATTGTTGGCCCAGATAGCGCTGAGCGCTGGGTTGTATTGGATGCGGTCAAGGGCACGATTCGAAAGTGCTAATACAGTGATCGGATTGTATTCGGCATCGTGACCCTCTTCGATGGCTTTGAGCGTAATGGGAAGCTGCTCCGTCAACAAGGTGCTGAACGAGCTGAGATTTGTGTGTGCTGCGAGGACTTCGCTGAGGGATGAAGAGGGAGAAAGATCGTCTTGAGCATTGCAATGTGAAAGCAAAGCGAACGCAACAGCTGCCAACGAGTGAAGCAACATTTTTGTGGGTACGTGAAACTGTGGAACACAACCAGGAATGGCAGATTAGAGGAAGATCCCCTACTTGAGCTTTGCTCCTGCGGCTGCACGCTTCACAAAATCTCGATCAATCCGGTAGCCTATGCAAAGAAGCACACGCCGTGCTTGATCGAAGGTTGAGTCTTGTCCAGAAAGGCGTTCAAGCTCGGAATAGCACCGAGGCGTGGCTGCATGAGGCTTTTGGTAACTCCTCAAAGCAGAATAGCATCAAGCGGATGCGTCACCACGTGCTGACTCGTTTCGGCATCGCGGGACATGGCGCAAAACGAGCAGCCGTGATGGTAGCTGTGGTAGGTTAACCATGGAGCTAATTGCGTTGACTTCGAGGACACCGCAGAGAAACTGCTAGCTTTCTGCAAGCCCTTCCGGCATGCACAAGTCAATAGCTGTGATGAGGTGACTGGATTGGGAACACGCTCAGCCAGATCGAGTAACGTTTCCTCGGCAGGATTCCGAAAATCCAGACTTAAGGTTCGGCGCTGCACGCCAGCTGCGTAGTATGACTTTCTGATACGATAGTCTTACGGTCTTAGCATGACCAAGGTACCAGAGTGGGCCATGAATATGGAGCCGGACTGGAGACGCGTGCGGAGCAAGAGGGTCTCCAGGCGAGTCAAGACAGGCCACCAGCGACTGCTCAGCATCGATTGAGGTCACCAAAGCATTAATGGTATGAGTATCTCGAGGCGGTCGTATCTTAACAGTCTCGGCAGTGCCTAGGCGCGTCTCGAGTGCGGCAATCGGTCACATCTTGGAGAGAAGTGTGGCTTCGGGACTGTTCCACGCCGCCGACCACTGCTCATCATGGGGCGCCACCTTTTTTTCGCATCGTGTCCGTCGGGAGCTGAGTATTGTTGCTTCCGTCAAATGTGCTGATGCTGAACGAAATGCCCGCGGGACTGTGTTGTGGCATAGCAACCTGTGCGATGGAGAGAGGAAGTCGTGAGATGTTGGCGGAGTTGGGATTCGAATGTCGGCAATCTCGCCGGAGCAAGGATCAATATCTGCCGGCTTGGCGCTCTCCCATTGCACTTCACCTTCTCTTCTGCTCGCTCCAGAATCTTGAACACCCGGTGACCGTCGCCGGCGTGGTACAGTCATGCAACATTACCCACGAGAACCCATATTTGCCTACTTGCCATATTCACGAGGGCACGACATAGCGATGGCTTCTATAAGGGAAGCCAGCGTCCGCAGCAAATGCCACACATTCAAACGATAGGTTTCAACACCACGAGCCAATCCTGCAAGCGTTTCGTGAAAGCATTGTACCGCTCCTCATCACAGCACCGATGCACACAATCAGCCGTGGGACGATCATTCTCGTCAGACGCGAGCATGCCTACTACACATCTTCAAGCCTCCTGATGGTAACAGCGGCAGATGAGACTGACGAGCAATGTCTGAACAGCATACAAGTGCAGGCCGTACCAACTTCAACAATGACAACTGAGCTCTGCGATCATCTCTTGCAGTTTCAGGACGCGGACGACGTCTTGAGGTCGCATCATGTGCTTCAGTCACTTGTCACCTCGGCACAAAGGAACGGACCACCAGCTCTGCTCTCGCACTTTGTTGGCGAACATGACCGAATCTTCCCTAATCCTAGCGGCGGTGCCCTGCGTAAATATCTTCTCGGCGACAAATGTCCGAATCGATCGTGTCAGGGTGGCTACTGCATGGGCCGGGAACAGATCTATCAAGCTTATCCATTTTTGCAAGCTGGCCTCCGGCCAGATGTGCTGCACTGGTACCTGTCCGAAGTGCGCGATTGTGCCATGCTATGCCTCGCATGCTATGGTTTCAAGACTGTGCGCAGCAACGAAAGAATCGCGATCGCCTCGTTGATGATCGACACGGGAAGACAACAGCCAACAAATGCGGTAGCACAGAGAATCGACGAGCATAGGAATTACCTTACACATGTCCTCCGACCCTCGCTTGGACACAATGCTTCTAAACATACCCGGAGCGATGTGCCGCACTTTGCAGGAACTGGCTCCTCGAGGCCATTCAATGAAGTTGCGTCAGGCTCCAGTACAGATGATCCCGCATCGCCCATCATGAGCATTTCGCGAGGGGGTCGGATTCCAGGAACGAAGTCTGATATCTCTGCGACACTGGGGCTGGCGCGGGACTCCTCTGGGCAGCTCAAGTATCTCAATCCGACCTTGCGAGGTGGCGATGGCAATCCTGCACATCCCAGCCGGAGAAGCACTCAACAGCAGCTTGAGAGTATCGGTGGCTCGGGCCAAGGTCGCTCTACTCGCACGTCTGCGCGGCCGATGCAACAGGCCACGAATCTGACTCCTGCGCAGTTGGCTGGGCGGGCTGCCAGGGCGAGGTACGATCGACTGCGTGCACAACAAGTCGCCGAGAGTCAAGCAGCATATTCCGCCTCGACAGTCAATCCTACTCCCGGCTCATCTCGCAATGCATCAAGTTCTGCATCACGTCCCGGGTCAAGTCGTACTCGATCGTCTGTACACCGGCCACCGAGGGCTGAGGTAGGTCGATCACGCTCTTCCGCTCCGCCTGCAGCATTTGTGTACCAAGAAGCATCGACTCCCAGGCTCTCAGTGGCAGACGGATCAGCTCCCAGAGCCTCCGTCGCAGAGCCATCAATTCCACGCACCGCATCACACCCTCCGATACTGCCGCCCGTCACCCAGCCACTGCCTATAATACCCGAAGCGCCGCAATCCCCAATTCCGGCATTGACCCTCCGCAGCAGCAGTCCCGGATGGCAAGAAATCCCACCATCCTTACAACAACAATGGCAAGCAACACAAACCTGGCAGGCAATCCCACCTAACTTGCAACAACAATGGCAAGCAACCCCAAACTGGCAACCAATTCCACTCACCCTGCAACAACAATGGAACAACGAGTCCGACTGGCAACCCATCCCTCCCGACATGGTAGAAGAAATGCAAAAAGGCAATCCCACATATCCCGCCCGCCAACAAGCCATTCAAGACATGGCGAAGTCAAGGTTCAAGAATTGGATCAAAAGAAATCGCAAAAAGGGCGATGGCAAATGTCCAGTTTGTTTGTGTTTACTGGGAGACAACGGCGATGATACTTACATTTTGACGACACTCTGCGGACACGATTTCCACGAGGAATGTGTGTTGGAGTGGTTTAAGACGAATGATGGGTGTCCTGTGTGTAGGATGAAGCAGGAATAGAGCGATCAGACTAACTTTCATTCTTCGTGGTCTCTGAGGACTCACGCTTCTCTATCAAACCTGCGTTTCTCAGCGATGAGTCCTTCTCCCACGCTTGCCAGAATTTCTCTCCCAGCTCAGCAAGTTCATCGATCTCTTCTTCTTTTGCTTTTGGTGCCCAGAAGGTCAGTCCAGCAGCACTAGAATCGATTATTTGTGCTGAAAACGCACTCAGATTCTTGCCTTTTGCCTTGAGGTACGCCTCGAACGCACCGCCAGGGTGCTTCGGGTCGTACGCTCTCAATCTCTTGCATGCCTCTCTACCAAGCACAACTTTCGAAGCCTGAGTAAGCTCATCTGCAATGCCCGACCGGCTGTCTGCAATCAACGAGCGAATCTCCTCGCAGGCGTGTGCCAGAGTCGTGCCTTGTATCGGACTGCCTTCGCGTCTCGCAGTGTCGAGAGAATCTAGTGAAGTGTATGCGAGGCGGACGCACATGTCGGCGTTTTCAGCCCACCGGTCATCCCACTCGAGGCCGATGTACATGCCGATCCACCAGCACTTCTCTATGAGCTCAAGGTAGTCGAAATTGAGAAGCGGCTCTTCTGCCTCCATGACTACCTTGAGAGACGCAAGAATCTGGACAGTCGGGTTTGCAGGTGAGCTCCCTTGGTCTACTGGCACGGCGTCAGGCTTTCTGTCTTGCCCTTTTGCAAATCCTTTGACAATCTTTTCGGTCTTGCTGAATCCGTCAGAGTTGCTATGACTTAGCTCCAGAAGTTGAGAAGTAGGCTGAATACTTTTGCATCTCTCAATAATCTGTCGCTGGCTGGGAAGGGCGGGCAACTGCCCGGGATGAAAGTGCCAAGAGGGCAAACCGAGCGCTTGGATGAGGCGCTGTAACGACGTGTGAGAGTCGTGGGTGCTATCATTGCTGAGGAAGATTTGACTGCCGTGTCGATCAATGAAGGTCTCCATATCTTGCCAAGGAGACGGGAGCAGCCCAAGCTTCCTTCCTGCACTGTATATGTGCGCGATCGGAATAACCATGGTTGACAGGTTGGCTACTTCGCATCGGGACTTGCTTGCATCGAGCACGGCTTCGAATAGTCGATCCAGAGCGGCAGTCGGCGTGCCCATGAAGTGTGCTATCGGTTTGCGCGGCGCTGGTACCTGATCTTCAGCAGTGGACGAACGAAAGTCTTGCTCCATCACATCACGACATGAAAAGTGAAATTGCATCCTCTGTGTCAAAGGACCAATCGTTTGCGTGGCAGCACGCTGATCTAGAGCAAAGTCATCCGACATTTGCGCCATTGCGTCGAGGTAGATGTCAGAGACTAGACCTGGCTCGCTTCCAACAATCTCATAGATTGATTGTTCGATAGCTGTGGCATAAACAAGCCAGAGTGGAAGATGTGAAGTCTTGATGAAGTCCAGAAGTCCTCTGTTGAAGGGTGAAAACACGTTCAATCCCTCAGTTCCAGCCCCATTGCGGCCTCGAGACCTTGCACTGGCCCGAATTTCCTGGACTTGGCTTCGCAGGATCGCGCCGAAGTCGAAGCAGCTGTCTTCCAGTACCAGTGGGGACGAGTTCTTCGTCTTCTTCTGCTCTGCAAGCTTGATCTTGCTGTGAATATCATTGAGCAAGCTCGCCGCAGCAGGACGTATACCGCTGATTGTCTCAAGTGCAGCGGCAGTCTTGCTGGGAGCATGATCGTGCTTCAGAACGGCATTGCAAGGTCGAACAAAGACCATCTTGCCACTGCGTATGACTTGTGGCTCCAGCATCTCCGAAAATTGCGACCAGGAATCTAGTAGAGGATGTGCTGACACGGAAGCCTTTTCGAGGTCACGCATCAGGAGATATGCCGCGTTCGACAACACGCCGCACGTCAGTAAGTTGCCCTCCCCTTCCGGAAGAGATCGCCAAAGACTCAGCACATAGTTTTCCACCTCTTGGAACTGTTGCAGCAGGTTCAAAGCTGCTAGCCTGTCGCCCTTGGAGAATGACACACCGGTGGAAGGTGCTTGGCCCAAAGGCGACGCTGACGGCTCACACACCTTGAGACGTGAGAACTGCTGGCGAGCGTCTTTCTCTGACTGCGCCTGCGTCGTGTTCGCTTCATTGGGTTGCCTCGCTATGCGTGGTCGGCGATGGGCATAGAGAATTCCGCGGACTTGCCTCAGCATGCTGACCATGTGCTGATGACGGGTAATATCTTCTAGCGTTGAGTCCCCTTGCATTATGTGGTAGTGAAGGTCGGCCTCACGCCCATCAATAGCAATACGAATGTCGTCGAAGATCCTGTCCTCAACACCATCCGAGACGGCCTCAGCCAGGTCCGGAAGGTGGTCGACCTTTGCGCGCCCATTCTCGTGAAGATGTGTGGTGATGGGCCCGTTTCGGCTGGCGGCAATGATCAGGTAGTTGATGACCCGATCTGTCGCAGATTTGTATGCGTTGCGATCTGCGCGCGGAGGTGTACGCTTTCTTCGAGCCATGGTGTTCGATTTCTATTGTAGGCACAGTACAGTGCGGACGGCAAGGACGAAAGTCGGAAGCGGTGCAAGGAACATAAAATCTCGGTGAAGTTGTCGAATCCGAAGCAGCGGATGTAGAATCTTGCTGAGTGTAGACTCAAGAAAGCCGGCGTTGAAATCGTCCAAGTACAAGTAGCAAAGGAGCGAGCAGCATCTTGTGCGAAGCCTGCAACAATAAGAAAAGCAGTTCGCGCATGTGCCTAGCAACAGAGTAGGCAACAGTCTCCACTTGAGTGAATGTAATCGGTTGTCAGAAGCCGAACACATCTCATTCACCCACCATCAATACATGCATGAGCGGGACCAGCCGCTTTGCACCCGACGGTTCACCAATTCCCTTGACGTGAGATCGGTCGAGAGGTGTAACTGACATATTATTGGATAGTTCGAGTTGTATAGCTGCGATGCTTCTTGGGATGCCGAACATTTCTGAGTCGCTGGTCTCAAGTTGTACCGTCGATTAGGCCTGCGAATTCCGCTGCGGCCTGTCTGCTCTCTGCAAGCTATCCAGGCTGATCAAAGCCCCTCTTGGTTAACCTCAGCAGGCAGCTTTCGTGCTTACAAGTTTTCGAACAAGACCTGCTCGCGCAAACGGGCCCTTGTACAGAAATAACCGCCTGCTTCTCCTCGTGCTGTACTCGCACAGCACGATCAAGCGCCAACAGTCTCCAAAAGTCGTCCCCCTCTTTCAACAGATCGTTCACGTCCTTCTCAAAGGCTCCAGCCTGGGCCAGGAACGTCAACTGCCCTGCACCAGAGTCCGCGATTGTCATTGGCAACTTTGTGAGGCCCTTGCCTTTAGTCCTCAAGTAGCCCTCGAAAAGCTGTCTTGGTTGCTCCGGATTAAAGGGTTGCAATCTGGACTTTTTCTCTGACGCTGCCAAGCTCGATGTCTCTTGCGACAAAACATCTCCGCTCTTCTCAATGAATTCCTCGAGGACCTTCGCAGCTGTGTCGATAAGCATGAACTTCAGCATCTGCTTGCCCTGAGTCTTGGCATCTGCTGCGGATTTTAGAGCGTCGTAGGTGAGCTTGTATGCCGTGTCTTCTTCGCCGGATCCACGGGGTCCAACGAAGTCTGCAAGCTCAACAGCAAAGGAACCGCACATTGCTCGGAGGCGAAGGTAGTCAAAGTTCAGCATTGACTCTGAGTCTTTGAGCTCAGCCAAGAGGGTATTAAGAAGCTGCTTGAGAGTGAGGTCCTTGCGTTTACGTGGTGTGGTTAAATCAGCCGTGTATCGTTCGTCAGCTGCGGTGAGCTCAGTCAACACGCCGGTGACAAGATGATCTTCTTCCAAGCCAAGTTCTTGCATCGCAGTTCTACGATACAGTGCTTCCATTAGTCTAGAAGTCGGCTGCAGAGGGTTGCAATTTCGAGCGACTTGTTTCGGAGTCGGAAGCTTGGTTGACCGCCCTCCCCTGAACCTTGGCCTGTGTACGCCTAGTGCTTCCATGAACCGCTTCAAGAGACCGTAGTGGTCACTCGATGGATCGCCATTGAGATTGAGCTGTTTGTTATGGTACTTGATGACAGGTCCATGTCATGCCAGGCAGTCTTCACAAGGCCATAGTGCCGGCACGCTGTGTACAGATGCGCGATCGACAAGATGCATGCCTCGTCGTTCGCTCGTTCACAGACAGCCTTGGTGCTGATCAGTTGGGTGAGGAACAACTTTCGCATTGCCGAAGTTGGGGTTCCAGATACATGGAAGAGAGGCTTGCCCGCGAGTTGCTTGAACGCCGCGGGCGGTATGCCGTATTGTTTGCGCGTGGTCGTCACATCGTCCAAGATGCGGAATTGTCGTTCCATTTCGTCGCGCCTACTAAATTCACGCTTCATCGCCTCGATCATGTCATCTTTCTGACCCCGTGCTTGCTCAATCGCTGGCTGAAACTGCTTTTCTATGCGTTCTACGCTGTTGAGGTACAGCTCAGACGCTCGAGGACCGTCAGCTCCGATGAATTCGTACATCCTGCACTCGATATCCATTGCGACAACAAGCCAAAGTGGCAGCTTACGGGAGCTCAAATATGCAATAATGCCGTCCAGAGGCTCGGAGTGGTGAAACGTGGTGCCCGCCTCGATCTGGGTCTCGAGCACGATCTGAGACATCTTCACGTTCGAGTTCAGGATATGGCCGAAGTCAAAATCGGTCTGGTTCAGAACATACCGGCGAACTGTTGTGCCTGTCTCCTTAGGTGCTGCGAGAACTTGGATATATAGCCTTTGCAGCAGCATTGCGGACGCTGCTCGCAGGGAGCGAACAATTTCGGAGCTAGGCATGGCCGAAGGGACTGCCTGCGGTTGGCTCTCGTCCAACGAGCACCGCGTGACCATAGTAATCTTGCCCTCTGACCGCACCTGATAACCGAAACGAGCGAATCCCAGTCGCCCAGTTCAGGGAAGGTGGCGGCGAACTTCTCATTGGCGACTCTCATAAGGCCATATGCAAGTTCGGCCAGAACGCAACAAGTGTTGAAGGAGACTGTGCAGTCTGGTGTATAAGTATATCAGTCAATCAGTATACAAATCATAGATAGGAGAAGACGTGGAAAGTGAAATGATGAAGAAGTCAATGATCATGGAGAAGAAGAATACAATTGAAATAACCAGAAAGCTGAAGGAGCAACACATTTCGAAGCAAGTCAGTTCAGCTTGCTCTATTCTGCTCCCCATCTTCGGCAAGCGAGCAGGAAACCAAAACATCATCATAATCGCCTCAAATCAGACTGAGGCAATGGGAAAGAGAAAGAACAAAGAAAAGACCAAATCCAATTCACAAACACCACAAACCAGCTCCTTTGTTTCCATCCATCAGGAGGAAGAGCAACCAAAAAAGCACCGCGAGTGATGCAGATGCCCTCAAGCAGCCGCAAGTGTCCGCTTAGCAGCCGGGCCCATAGTCTTAGTCCCCTCAAACACCGGTGGCTTATACGTCAAATTCTTGAAAAGGTCCTGACCAATTCGGCCGAAAGCCAGCAAACCATCCTTGCCCTTTGGGTCCGGCTTCGGGTTCAAGGTGTAATGTGGTAGCACAGGAGCGTCTTCCGGACACGCGATGAGCAAGCCTCCTTTGTTGCAAGAACGTTTCTTGATCAGAGTTTGGAAGGTAGGTGTTGGTGTTGGGAGGTCATTGATATCGTGAGTAGACAAGATTGCAGTGCGTGTTATCGAGGCAACTGTCTGCGTGACGGGGATGGTCTCTGGCGCCAGCGCACTGGAAGGAATGTAGACTGCTGCTGCGTACTGGCCGGCCAGTAGAGCGCAGGCGTAGAAGCTGGTCGTGAGCATTGTCGTCAATTCTGTGGGGATGCGAATTTTTTTGGTGAAATAGACAGGAGCGTATATGGAATTGCGGAGCGTATATGGAATTGCAGAGCGTATCGTCTACTCGAAGTACAGCGACAGAGAGGCCTCTATACAGGCTGATCAGCTTTCTTGGCCACTGACAATGGGCTTTAAACAGAATGAAGGGCGGAGATGCAACAAAGACGCAGAATACTTTCTCATTCTTTGTGTTTCCCTGGTCAATCAATGATTCTGACGTAGAACATGGGCACACCTTTTGTTCGCCGCGTCGAACCTTGCGCCTCAGTAGTCATTATGCTTAGCTCCATGCTTGCGGCCACCTCCAAGAGGGTCGGCCAATAGCAGGCTGTGAAACTCCAGAGGTTTGTTCATCGCGGCAGCAATCCGAGTTCTTCTCGTAACAGCAGGCGACGGTTCTAGCAGCAAGAGTCGATTCACAAGCGTAGCAGGCCTGGTAACCGCAGTTGGTAATGTCGGTGCAGCGGAATCGATGAAGCGGACGGCGGTTGGCGCAGCCAGTGGTACAAAGGTAACTAAGCGACGGCGCGTGGAAGGGGGCCGGCAGATGGCAGGCAAAGGATTAGTGCGTTTGGCACGGTTATTGTCGTGGACGGCAAAACAAACAAAATAGCAGCACGCGGCAGAAGGGGTGCGAGTTCTTGGAGTTCTCGCGAAGGTAGCAGTTCGAAAGGCCAGTACGTGCGAGTGGCAGTTGATCTTGCGCAGGCGGAGCGGTAGCGTAAGGACGTCTTGCCCAGTGTCCAGCGGACAAAGGATGGTTGATCAGACCATGAAAGTGAGGGCGAAGGTCAGACCCTTCGAACTCAAACAAGCAGCAGCGGCGGCGGTACAGCGTACGACGGCAGAGCGAGCACCGAGAGGCACTCTCAGTCTCACACAAGCGCGTGAAGTCTGTCCATTTTAACAGGTCAAATTTTGTTCGCACAAACGCGATGTTCTCGTGTAACCAACGCGGCCAGAAATCAGTGTGTCCTTATGCAACGAAGCAGCGTTGTCGTGGGTTCATCCATAGGCGTGTCCATGTCTCAAACTATCAAAGATAGTCGTCTTTCTCAAGCGAGTTAGTAGGCAGTCTCGTGAATCAGCGTTTTCCAGGGGTATCAAGCATTACTATCGGTGTTTCGACGGACTTCGTCGTACTCTCTCTCCCATCCTGGAGAGAATATGCCGGGCTGGAACGTCGCCTCTTGTCTCAACGTCTTGAGAGTTGAGCGAGTCGGAGTCGGATCGCTGGTTGTTCTGTTGTGTGTTGCAAAGAGGAAGAGTGTCCCCGATGAAGGCTTTTTTGTTCGCTTTGGACTGAGCATTGGCTCAGAAGACTTGGCCGCTACGAACATCGAAGAAGTTCCACGTTCTGGTCTTTTGGCACGCTTCGGGCTAAGTAGTGTCTCGGCAGATTTGGAATCTTCGCTTCTCCAAGACCCTTTCTAGCCTGGTCTCTGCGGCGCTTTTCGGCCAGGTGTCTGGACCTTAACAAAATTGGGAGTTGATATCGTCCGGTAAGTAAAAGAGGAGTAGAGGGTCTCAGAGCAGACATACTGAGAGAGGGAAAGAGGTGTATAGTAGGCAGATAGAAAGGAGAACAATTCGCTGGATGGGTCTAGCAGCTGAAGGCCAGACTGGTGAAAGAGGGATTTTATCGTTCGACACAGCCTCCTTTCTCAGGCCCTTCGAGAAAGCCCGTATCCGGAGTAGTCGGCCCCACCACAGCTTCCAATCAAGTTGCAGGTGCCTCTGGCCGACAGGCGTCTGCTTCGTGTCATTGACGGCGGCAGGGTGAGGGTCTAGTAGTCGCGGAAGGTTCTTGTTGTTGCGGAAATGCGTGCGTCGAAGTCAAAAGACTACCTCCCAAGTCAGACCCGGGGTTGCTGCGTGCGTGTGGTGTGCGAGAGGAACTCCTCAGGCACCAACACAACGTTACTACCCAAACCCAAACTGGAATGAGCGAAGGCACGCGCCTGACTTGGGAGGTAGTCAAAAGACGCGTATTGTAGGTGCCGATTTGATGATTCTCGCTCTCGATTTCGAACAGCTCAGTGAATAGGTCGATTCGGCGTTGGCGCCAGCGACAGCGATAACATTGTGTTCGCTAAAATAAATCGGCTCTTGGTGATAGATAGGCGCAACAGGCTGTTAAGAACTGCCCTTTGAAAGGTAGCAACTCGATTCCGAACGACGTTGTTGCGGAAAGGACTACGGTAGACGCGACGGTCTTTGCTCGCGGAACGGAACAACGAGAGCCCGGGATTTCAGTACGGATCAACTCCTGTCTGCACTAAACAGCACACAGCAGCACGGAGATTCAGAGACTGACAAGAATTCGCTCCCTTTAATTGCCCAAAGCTAGCTATCTCTAATGGAAAGTGCCTGGCCATTCTTGACCATCTGCAGACTAAATGGCCCGAAGCAGCATATTGTTCCAGAGAAAGACGGGGATTTGGCGCTCTCTCTCTAATAGCAAGTTCTTTGACATTCCTTGATCATCTCCACATTGACTGGCTCACAGCAGCACCGAAACTCAGAGAGAAGCGAAACAAGCGCGATAGTAAGCCGAAAACCGGCTCATTTGACGTGGATTCATCTCGCCGCACGCAGTCTCCCGTGCTTAATCGCCTACGTACCAAATGGCGCGCAGCAGCATGTATCTCCAGAGAGTGACGGGAGCTCGGCCACCCCTGATGTCAAGTACTTGACGTTTTCTAATCGTCTGCACATCAAATCCTGTCCAAACCCAGCTCGACGTCCGCCGCCGTCGCCTTCGCATTGCGCCGGCGCATGCATTCACATATTAGAATGCTAATGATAAATATGCCAGCCACCACGAAGGCAAGCCGGAAGTGCAAGGCCAAGGCAATTGACACCGGCTCGACAAGCAGCAAGAAGCCTGGCAAGAGGACCAAGACCAAGGCAGATACGGGCACCGCCGCACCCAACTGGGAGTTGGCTACGCCAACTGCAGCACCTGCTCCTGCCGAGGACAAACTCGCTGCTACAGCGGCAGAAGCGAAGAAGGCCCAGAATCCATCCCTGCTCATGAAGGGCGACAGGGAGGCCAGGAAAGCAGCGTGGTGGCGGTACGTTGGAGGCGGCCGATTCCTCAGTGCCGTGCCGGGACTTTTCTCCGTCGTCCTCGTTGTCACTGGCGCTGCGCAGAAGGTTCACGTCCCCCCCAAAAGCGACCGGAAGCTGCTGTAAAAAGTCTGGCACAGCGGCAGCATCGTTCACAGCGGCGTCGCTCTGGGGAGGCGTGTATGGCGGCACTGGGTCGACGTCTTCTGGATTACGCTCGTCCAGTTCAGGGTGTGGCTCTTCGGTTGGACGAGCGTCTGGAGGCGCCCTGCCTTGTGGGGGGTTCTGCGGGCGTGGACGTCCAGCGTCAGGTTCAGCTGGGACAATCGGCATAGTTTCCTCTGGTGACGGTGAGCTTTGTGAGTGTACAAGGCTGCTCCCGTTCCCACTGCATCGCCATGCCGCGCCATCCAGCTCTGCGGCGCCTTTTTTCGAGGTCACGCTTCAGAAGCACCGGCTGCTAGACCTTCAATTCTTCCGCCCAAGCGATTTTTTCCTTCCGGAGCATGTATTTGGCGTACCATGTCGTGGCCCCTGTCCATACACCAGCCTATATAAACGGTGCGCTCCAGCCTACGACATAGGATGAATAGTGAAGATCAGAATCGTTGTGACCATGGCATAGAGGCTCAGAGAAAAGTGAGAACCGCAGCAGGAGGACGCGACACTTAGCCAAATTCCGGCTTCTTTGACCTACCATCCCTAACAACAAGAATCTGGCATTTCTTAGTTGTCTGCATATCAAATGGCGCACAGCAGTATAGAATTTCAGAGAAAGCAGGAGGAGAACGCGATACTTAGACAAAATCTGGCTCAATTTGAAGGTAAATTCTCTTCACAATCTCTGGTAGCTCGCAGTCTCTGGCGAACGGCGAAAGACGTTTCTTGGTCGTCTGCACATCCAGTGGCCTACAAAAGCACAAAAATCCTAAGAGAGTAGGAGGAGGACGCGATACTTAGCCAAAATTCCGCTCAATTCGATGGTGTCCTCTCGTCTCTTGCAGTTTCTCGCGAACGACGTCTAACAATTCTTAGTCGTCTGCCTATCAAATGTCCTACAGCAGCACACAATTTCAGGGAAAAGAGAAGGAGGACGCGAGACTTAGCCAAATCCGACTCAATTTCACAATATATTCCTTCGCCTCTCGTAGTCTCTCGCAAAAAACAAAAGCCTATGACCTAGGCTTTTCGACACCTGGCGGCATCCAATACTGAATTTGCCTCGAGTCACAGGAAGGAGAACGCGATACTTAGCCAAATCCGGCTCAGTTTGACGTGTACTCTCTTCTCAACCTCTGTCTCTCGCGAATGGCAATAGCCCGCCACCTAGCCTTTTCCACCTCTGGCACCGTCCAATGCTACATTCATCTCGAGTTACTTGAGTAGAACAGCGATACTTAGCCAAAATCCGGCTCAATATAAAGGTAGATTCTGTTCTCAACCGCTCGCTTTTTACAGCCTCTCGCGGCCAGCAAAAGCCTTCCACCGGGGGCTTTTCCACCTCTGGCAGCATTCAGTGCTGTATTTGCCTGGAGTCACACGATTCTTTGGTCATAAAATGCACAAGTCGATGCATAATTTATGAAAGCTCTCGTCTGCTTAAGGAAAGAGCGAAAAGTGAGGAAAGAACGAAAGTATTTATTCCAATCAACTGAAGATATTTGTACACGCTACAATCCAGACCGAGCTGCGGCCGTACTATTCATCACACGCTATGCAAGTTATGCTTATTCATACAGTTCATTACACTAAAAATCCGGAAAATCCGCGTCAGACCTCAGCACGAGGGCACCAGCCAACGTCGCTCTGAACAGCTGAGCAGCACCCTCGAGACACGGGGCTGCTAGTCCTTGCCTTCGCTCGGCTCAGAGTCGTGGAGAATCGCGGGCTCGCCAGGCAAAGTGACCGGATTCACTTGCTTTTCCTGCAATTCTTCCGCCCAAGCGATTTTTTCCTTCCGTAGCATGTATTTGGCGTACCATATTGTCGCCCCGGTCCATATACCCGCCCATATAAATGGCGCACTCCAGCCCACCACATATGCTGCCTCAGGATGTATAGTGAAGATTAAAATCGTAGTGAGCATGGCCATTCCTTCCGCGCCAAGAGCCCAAAAGATGCCTAGTCGTCGTAAAAGTGAGCGGAAAACGTGCGAGGCTTCATAGCGGCGGTTAAGCGCTTCGCGATATTCAGTTCCGCCACTTCCATCCACGGCAACGACGTCCTCGATCATGCTGTAGATGGCAGGGCGAAGTTGGGCGCCTTTTGGAATGGAGGAAATGCGGACAGGAGCGGGTACTTCGAAGTATCGCATGATATCGACGACAATGAGCTCAGTTCCGAAGACCCACATCATAGAGGCGAGTGGCATTCCAAGGAGACGAATCGGTGGGTTTTCCGGAACGGTGCCGCTGTAAAATAAGTCAGTGATTGTTTGAACTGAGGCCTCAGAACAACTTACACGATCAGCTCAATCATGATGATTACCCAGCCCAAAGTGAAGTTCCAGTGAAACCAATCTAGGTATTTTCTCCTCGCGCCCATCACTCTGCATGTGCTGTCCTTCTTCCATAGTCTCCAGAAGCGCACAAAGTATTCCACAATGCTCACACCTCCCAGAGCTGCGGTGACGATGGAGAATGTTGCGTTTGGCGACAAGCTGGTCAGATACCAGAGGCAGAAGTATAGGACAATGGGCGCCGCAACGCAATCCACCAGGATCATGGTCCAAAAGAATGCAATGAACCATCTTCTCTCCCACAGATCGTAATTGAGCGGCGGCGGCTCCAACGCAAACGGCGCTTCTGATTCTTCTGCTGTTCTGTATTGTTCCAATGCTTCTAAACCTGGCGCGGCAGGATCTGCTTGCTCAGAACTCTGGGTGTGGTTCAATTCTGGCCGTACAACGTTCGCGGACGAGCGCCGCCGCGTCATGGTGATCGAAGGGCGCCCATATGGTCCATCGCGGCGGATATCGAAATCTTGCGAAGGTCGAGGATTGCGCTCTCTTCCTATTGTTGTGCTGCGACGAGGCGGGGATGTGGGATCTGAGGGCGATTCTGGGAGTTGCACGCTCTTGCGCGGTTTCGTGGCGGACGGTGTGGCATTGTGCGGGCTACTCGGACTCCTCAGCGCGGAGGTGGCAGTGGTATCGATCTGTACGGAAGGGCGCGGCGGTGGTTGGTCGAAGGGCCCGTCATGGCGTTGGTCGAAGTCGTGTGTTTTGGGGTCGTCCTCGGCAGGCATGTTGGCGCCAATGCGTCAAGCAGCTGGCAAATGCTTGGGTCGGGTTCGGAGTTGCTACTGTAGCGATGTCTCTGTTGCTGGATGGTGCTGGATGCAGAGTGCCTTCCCCGACGGACCGGCGCAGTGTACGATAAGGTAGTGGAGTGTCGACGATGAGGAATGATGTTTCCGCTGACGTCCAGGCCTTTCCACTCCCAAACCTGCAGCGAGAAAGACAGTCGAGTAATCCGTAATCCGGCAGTCATCGCCTCCGAGCATCCCTTCCCCAACAGGAACTCGTCCACAACGTCATCGCCAAGACATGTCTGCGATGAGCAGCGCTGCACGCCGCTGACAAGCACCTCTGTCTGCTTATCCATCCGCACGCGAGCTCGCCTGTGTCGCTGTCGTTCTGCGGCAGGTTGCTTGTGTCGCTTGGACGATTTCTCCTCGCGCCGCCGTTGCTGCTGCTCGACGCGCGGAGACACCGCTGACCGCTCTGTCAGCGCCACCCCTTCCGCCATGTGAGGACACGAGCCGCTTCTCGCCCTCATCACACCATGCGCCCATGTCTCCTCGCACTCCTATCTCTTGGCTGCTTCGGCTGCCACGGCTCAAACCAGATCCCGGTGCTCCGACATCCCCACCACCGCCATGTGAGCCCAGAACTCTTCCGCGAATTGGAAGAGCTCTCCCGCATTGTCGACATCTCCTACTGTGTTGGCAGCACCAGCTGGGGCATCTCCAAGCCGTTCAGCTGTCTCTCACGCTGCAGCGACTTTCCTGACTTCGAACTAGTCACGACATGGAACACTGGAGTTTTGCTGAGTGATTCCTGCGGCTACATTGCTCTCGACCACGGCAAGCAGCGCATTATTGTTGCCTTTCGAGGTACTTACAGCATCGCCAATACTGTCGTCGATCTCAGCACCGTGCCCCAGAAGTATGTCCCATATCCCGGCGAGGATGAGGGCGAAGACCCTGCCACGCAAGCACCCAAGGAGCCCAAATGCGCGAATTGCACTGTTCACATGGGCTTCCACACCTCTTGGCTGAACACAAGGAAACAGATCTTACCAGAGCTCCAGGCTCAGCTTTTCGTGCATCCCGACTATCAGCTGACACTGGTCGGACACTCTCTTGGCGGCGCAGTGGCAGCTCTCGCCGGGCTCGACCTGCTCGCTCGAGGCTACAATCCTATCGTCACCACCTTTGGTGAGCCCAGAGCGGGCAACGAAGGTCTTGTCAAGTACATTGACGCACGTTTCGATCTGGGGCACGGCGCACCCACAGACGACACGAAGTCGAGGTATCGAAGAGTCACCCATGTCGACGACCCGGTCCCCCTCCTGCCGCTGACAGAATGGGGCTATGCTATGCATGCTGGAGAGATATACACATCCAAGTCCGAGTTGTCCCCTGATATTGCAGACCTGCATCACTGTAACGGCGATAGTGACAGAAACTGTATCGCCGGACAGGACTCGACCCTACTTGCCTCCGTTGAGGACGAAATACACGAAACGATCACCGAACCTTGGGGTATACCATCACGCTACAAGTTGTGGCAGCTGTTCTTTGCTCATCGAGATTACTTCTGGCGCCTTGGTTTGTGTGTACCAGGGGGCGATCCACTTGGTGGCGGTGGGAAATATGGCGCTGCGCATAATGACTTATGAGCCGCGAGATTTGATATGGCGAACATAGGTGTGCCCGTGGAATACGTCGGAGTTTATTGATTGACTTTGGCAGCCTATCTCGAGTCTCCGCTATGAACAGCACAAAAGTTACTGCAGTCCATGCTTTATACGATTTGGTAGAACGACCGCTGCGGAAATTCGATTGTATCTGCGCTAGTAGTTGCGTAGTGAACAGAATCAATTCGGGCAGAAGGGACACTTAGTACCATTTCGCGTAGAACAACGCGAAGCGTCCTCAGGCGAACATAGGAGCCGTCAGCCGACGAAGCCCTAGCCCTGAATGTACTTGCCTATCGGAACGGAAGTCGGCGTTCAATTACAAACAGCAAGGGCTGTCGCCTGAATCGCGAGGTAGAGCACAAGAGTCCATCACAGGGACCAGATTGTCGCTTCACTCTTTCAAATTTCATGCTGCCTACAACTGTATGGGTACGATACGCAACCGATCAAGAACAATAAAATATCTCTTACCATCAGAGATAGCCTTATAGGCAAATCCTTGCCACTTGCCTGATCATAGACCCTGTTTCTGTTTCTATTCCCAGAACTCGGGCAACTACCCAATCAAATTTCACGTCTCATTGACGCTTGCCGACTAGCACCTCGTATTTCAACCTCTCGGCAAAACCACGTCTCGTACCTTTTCATCAAACTTCCGCAATTCGTCACTTTGCCATTTTGAAGTTACATTTCTCGCTACCCGGAAATCGACCAGCGCGCTGCGTGACAAGTCCAAGACAAGATCTTCCTAAACCCTAAAACAAGACTTGACTAGCATGGACTTTAGGAGGTAAGGACGTCAGAGGCTACGAGGTTTGATTCTCTCTTTTCGCGAATGCTACGCTGTCCTTTCTCTACTCTCTGCGTAGGATTGCAGCCTTGTCTGTGCTTTTCCCGTCTCTTTGACGCTTGTCACTTGTCACCTCGTGTCTTGTCGCATTTCCTTGTCGTATCCATGAGGAGCTCTCCGCGAGCCACCTGCGCATCTGATTGACTGAGCAGCCTGCAACCCAACCCACGCGATGATCATACCCACTTCCAAGACGACGGCGTCGTCTTCACCCTACTCCTCATGGGAAGGCTATAGCAAAATGCCTCCCGCCGCGTCTTCTGCTTCGAATCTAGTCGCCGACGACCACAACAACAACAACCACCACACTCATTTATCCTCCACTGGCGACTCTAACTTTTCGCGACAACAACACAGCCCCAACGGCACTGGCGAGAAAACCATGCCATCAAACATCTATCCCTGGCAACCTGGTTTCGCGCGCCGAATTCCCTGGGCAGGAATCTCATGTCTCTTTGGAGTCTTCTGCGCTGGAGTCGTGGAAATTGCGATTCTGATCGCTTCGAATGGGAAACCGATTACGAGTTGGAAGTATCCGCCGAGTTTGTATTTGTCCATGGCGTATACGATTGGGAATATTTTGCTCGCGGCGGGATTTAGTCAAGGATTGACTGTCAGTATTATCCTTCCCCGATTCTCATTCGGTTTGAGAAAGTGGGAAGAGAAGACTCTGTTGCTGATGATGACAGATCTACTGGTGGCGACAAGCACTCAAAGAAGGTACACAATTGGGAGATTTACATCGAATATGGGACCACGGGATGAGTCCTGTAGCTGCACTGTTCGCAGGACGACATTTTAATTATATTTCTTTTGCGGCTTTGTTTCTGGCGATTACACCGATTAATGGACCTTTGCTGCAACGGGCTTCTTCCATTACGACGGAGAGGAAGCAGTTCTTGTCTGAAGAGGTGAATGCGAGGATTCCGGCTGTGACGAGTTTACAGAATCCCACTGGATGGACTTCTGGAAGGTCATATGGAGTGACTACGCTGGACGCGAAATTTACGCCTGTGGTGTATGATTGGAATACGGGAGCGAATATTATGGCTAATGGCACTGGTTGCGCGAGCGATGGAATTTGCAATGGACAGCTGGAAGCTGCGGGACTGGCTATCAGCTGTAATGCCAGCACGGCGGACTTCGACATTTCGAGCTTTGACTCCGATGGGCAAATGAGGAATGCTTCCTTCGAAGGAATTGATCTGTTCCAGCTTACGCTTAGCTGGAGTGCACGGACAGAGGCTTCGAACATGACACTCGACGTCCAATGGAAACCCGGCAACGAATGCCAGAAAGGAAAGCTCGAAGTACGAAACTGCACGATCGGCGCAGCAACCGTCCGCTACCCAGTCACCATAGACGGCAACAAATCCACCATCGCCCTCCAACAAGCCAGCAAACACACCGACGACACCATCCTCTCACTCACCGACCTCCCCGCAGAAAACATGTACGGCATCCCCTCCCCCTTCGGCGGCTTCGCCTACGCCCTCTCCTCCAAATTCAACTCCAAAACCCACATCTCCTTCTCCGGCGCCGCAGGCTACACCATGGTCTCCGATGGCTCCCTCGCCGCGCAGTTCATGGACATGTCCTCCGTCAAAGACTACACCCAGGGAATCTGCAACACAAAATTCTCCGATCCTACACCTTACATTTTCCAACAAGCCCGCGATCTCATGTTCCGCACAGCCTTATCCCAAGGCAACGCAACCACAATGCAAAACCTCCAAAACCCAACCGAACTTCGCACTGTAACAGTTTACCATTCCCATTACGAATACCTCGCCGGAGCAATCGCCCTCACATTCCTCGCCATGGCTCTCGTGATGGCGACATTCAATGGATTCTGGCTCCTAGGGCGTAATGTCACAATGTCCCCCATCGAGACTGCGAAAGCTTTCAATGCGCCCCTTCTCGCTCACGAGCATCCGAATGCGGAAGTTCAAGAACTTGTGAAAGGTGCAGGAGCGAAACCTGTGCGATATGGAGAAGTTATGACGCAGGTTGATGAGGAGAGGATGAGAGATGATGGGAACTCAATGTACAAAGGCGTGGAAGCGAATAATCGAAGTACGGAGAATATCATTGAGTTGAGGAATTTCGTCTATGGGTTTGAGGATCCTTCGAGGGTGCAGCCGTTGAGCGGAAAGAGGAGGGGTGGAGGAGGTGGAGGAGGAGGTTTGTCATGAGTATGAGGATTTTGTATAAATAGATATTGCGGAGCATACCGTGAGCTAGACTTCATGTACAACCCAGTGAAAGAACTGTTCTAGACCTTCTCGTATGTGGCCTTCCCCAAGATTGCAAGTAGAAATTCATGCAAGCCACGTTGCTATAAAACGGGATGGCCTGCGAAGTCCTATTGCACACCTCCACGCGGTCGTAGGTAGAAACAGATAGCTTCGGCTATGCTGGCAAAGTGTAGGGCGGCTAGGCACCTATAGAAGCAGGAAGAAGGCGACAAAAAAGTCCAGAATTTCGACCTAGGGAGATTAGAGAGCTCCTAAGAACACGAAGACGACGCCAGCGCGGTACAACTACTATAAGATTCTAATGCTCGACTACGGGATAGCCCTTCTAGGTAGT